CCCTTCTACTATGGTCAAAGAGCATTTTCAAATATTCTTGGAACAGGACCAAAGGGCCTAGAGGTTCTGAAGCTCCTCACAGAAAGGCAGTCTGACAAGTGGAAACTGCCCCCGTCCCTGTAACAGCAACAGTCAGACTGCCCGGTTCCCGTGCAGAATCCCTCTGCTGGGACTGACACCCTACAGGGCCAACCCTTCCCCATCCTGGAATCACCCACCGGAACAGAAAGGCAGACTCTGACGGCCAGAGACCCGGGGCCCAACCGCAGCCCCAGGCTGAGTCCTTCCGTCTGGGAACTGAGATAGAAACGTTCTCTTGTGGAGGTTATTCTGAGGAGCGTGTGTAAGAGAAAGCTCCCAGGGCTGTGGGACGCGGGGAACCGGGAAGGCTATCACTACAGGGGGAGGGTGTGGGCAGTGCTGTGTGATGGGGCTTCTGTAGCCTCTCACCAGAATCCATACGTAGATCGGTGCACCAAAAGAAAAAAAAAATGTCACTGCATGATAATTTTAATTAAAGGAAAAAGAGAAAGCTCCCCAATCTGTTTTATAGGTGTTCGCTCATCTTCTCCAGCCTGGTGCCCCTGAACCACCCTCCCAGGACTCACATACTGAGAGCGCATGTCCCTGCATTTTCTGAATCACAGTCAATACGATGGGAGGGAACAGACAAAAACAAAATAAGTCAAATACCCTCTTATCACCTCCATACAGGAGAGTTATCACCAAGTGATCATCGCAAAACCCCCGAACGGCTTCCTTATCTCTTCACATCATGCACACAGCGGTGTTTGGAAGACAGGTGGACTTTGTGTTTCACACATCAGCACCTCAGTCCGAAGTTCACTTTCTTATACTAGTGTTGGAGTCACCCGCTTATCCACACAGAAGCCGACGAGCAAACAAAGAACTCACTTACTGTGTGAACATACGTGTTTCCAGGAGAACCACGCCCCTTCTCATTTCCTGCCCTGGATATTTAAATAATGGCTGTGGCGGAGCTGTTAGAGATAGCACAAATTAAAAGAAAAAATTTCCTTCTTCCTTCGACAAACTGTTTCCACTCTGTTTCCAGGTAGCAGAAAATTGCGTTGACTCTTTTCTACTTCTCCGGTCTTCTGGCCTTCTAACAACCTAGATTTTAAAAAATAAGTCCAGCTGGGTCTACATTTACAAAGGTCAATTTAGACTAATGTGAAAACAGCTGCCAGGTGCTTTTCTGTCGCACAGAGGGTCTCTGCCGTGAAGTCAGCTGTCTGCTTTCTCGGGAAATGGAACATCTTGTCAGAAGAGATAAGATAGGTTCTCAGTTAACTGAGCCTCACTGGGCCGGCAACCCCCCAAGACACATTTGGATGAAAAACGTTTTCTGCCCATTTCTTAAGCTTTTTTTCCCACCTGTCCACACATAAACAATCCTTAAACTAGCAATATTTGCACATATTTGGGCATACTTCAAATACCTGCCACCCAAGCCCAGGCCACATTTAGTTACAACCACCTTTTCATAAGAAAGTTTAACATTCTAAGATAATGGTCCAAGAGGTCATGTTAATGGAGACCTTTCTTAATAAGACTACGTGCAATGACAACTCAGTTAACCCCATCTCTCCAAAAGAGGGTGAATAACAGCAGTCACAAATTAGGTAATACTGCATGTAAAAGCACAACAAGATAAATTCAGAATTCAGAAATTATCTCACAAACAATCAATGGTTGCCACAGAGTTCATCGAAACACACGCCCTAGGCTGGTGAGCCTTGGGTTGGCATCTCAGCCCAAACTTCAGGTTCACCTGCTGTTCTTGTCCTTTTTCATAGGGACCCAACAGGTCCTCACATTTCACAGCGCATAGGAATTCCTGGAGCTTGTGCCAGCATGATGGGGCCCCACAGAGTAAAGTAGAAAGCAGACTTCCAAATTTAGTACACCCTACACCTGCTCCTGGGCGCCACTGAGGGTGATCTTGGTAACCAAGAGAAAAACAGATGGGCTTTTAAAGAAGAGCTGCAAGATACTGAGAGTCAGCTCAGCTGGGCACAGAGCGGAGGCCATCTGAAAATCTGTTTTACCCTCCACACGTTCCCCCCGTCTGACACATTCGGCTTCCATCTCTGGACACAGGAGGCCACGACAGTCCCACCCAATGTATCTGACTTTGTGGGTGAGCCCATGTCAGGCACCTCCCCTTCCTGAAAGCCCAGGGTTTTCCATGAGCCCCAATCCTTCTGCACAGGAACATGAGCGCCTGACAGTGAAGGGGCCTGAGAAGCAGGAAGGGAAAACAGGCGGAGAAAGGCTCAGGCTTTGGGAAGGAAGCAGGGTGCTCACTCTGGGGGAGGGGCAGGCTGCTTGTTCCTCACAACCAGCAAGAAACAGCAAGGGCCGCGGACCCCAAGAAGCAAAGATGGATTTGTGCTTCCGTGGCAGGAAGGATGCTTTGGTTTAAAAATAAACCATCACGCCATCTAGTTCACAAAGGAAGCCGACTGCTCCTCCTCTCTCTCAGGCTCCGTGTGGGCTTGCTAGTGAATGAAGAATATGTGTGGGCAAATCAAGGGGCAAAAAACAAAGGAGGAAAATAAACACTCACCATCTTCAAAGACAGGTGCATTGGTGAGGTTTGAGTTTGCATTCTCTAAGCAAAATATGCATGAAAGGCTGACTATGACCTTTGGCAAAGGATAATCACATCTCTTTAGCAAAGGGAGGAGGGTCTTTAACGTGGCCACCCTGAACGGCAGAGCTGTCTGAGCAGGCTCACAAATGGGCTTCCCTGTAACTGAAGACCGGCTTAAAGACAAAAGGCTTACACTCACATCAGATTTATGGAAAAAGTACTGCGCACTAAACAAAAGGATGTCTTGAAATCACGGAGAAAAGCAGAGGGAGGAAGCAAAGGCAAACACAGGGAACGAAGTCAATGAAGAGAAGAAAATCGCTAAACGGTGCCAGCTCTGACAATAGCGTCACAGAGAATGGTAGATACTATGTGTCACAGGGAGGCTTTTGCACCAGAAACACATGGGCACATGAGCGGTGCAAGAGCAGGAAGCTAAAGTGATTAAAGGGGAAAGGGTGACCTTGAAGAAAGGGAGATGCGGGGGCACCCCACTGCCCGGGGATCAGCAAGGAGCGAACACGAGGATCCCTGTGAAACGCTGTGTTCTGCAGGCCTCAACCTGAGGTTGCGCGTAAACGGCTAAATGAACAGGTTACAAGGGACATGGCTGCGGCCGGAACGGAGGTGCATCTTTCATACGCATCGCTCTTTGGAATAACAAAGTGGGTGTGACCGTGATCACACAAGATGCAGCTGGCAGAGGGAGAGAAAACCGGCAGCGCGTGCCGGTCACGGGCGCCCGCGGCCCCTGCTCTTCGCAGAGGCCGAGCCGGGGCGACGGGGTGCGGGGGCGGCCCGGGCGGGCAGGGCGCCGGGAGCTGACACGGGGGCCCAGGCCAGGCGCCCGGCTCGCCGCGTGCCCTGCCGGGCGTGTCCCGCCGGGCAGCGAACGCAGGGGGTCCGCGCGGCCCTGGCGTCGCGGGGTCCGTTCTAATGCCCTCTGGGCCCACGCCGCTGTCCCACGGGAAGGCTGCGCCCAAGAGGCTCCCTCGGGGCACAGACGAACGGAGGGAAATGCACTCCTTCCAGCGACACGACTCCACTTCGCGGGCCGTCAGAACGCCGCCGCCGCAGCCCGGGCAGCCCGGGCAGCCCGGGGTTTCTCCTCTCGGCCCGGGCCCGTCTCCAGGGCGCCCGCGGCCGCCCCTCCGCCCCTCCTCTGCGGTTCCGGCGATGGCCGCGCACCGGCGGCGGCGGGGGCCCCGACGGGCCTGGGACCAGCCGCCGCGCCCCGCAGAGGCTGCCGACCCCGCAACCCCAGGCGGCGACGGCAGCCGCCGCTGCTCCTCCCTGACCCGTGTGACCGTGGCGGGAGCGTGGCGGCCGGGCAGCTGAGCAAACAGCCCGCAGGAGGTGACAGGGGCCCCAGGGAGGAGGGGACCGGCCGGCGGCGCCCGGGGCTGGGGCGCGGCAGCGGCGGGGCGGCCGCAGAGCGAAGGCGCCCGGGGCGAGGAGGACCCGCGCGGGGGCGGGGGCGGGGGCGGGGGCGGCGCGGCCCGGGACGCGGGCGGACTGGGCGCTCCCCGCGCGGCCGCCGGCCGGTGCGGCCCCGCGGGTCCGCCCGCTTCCGTCCGGGGCCCGGGCGGGGATGCGCCGCGGGGGCCGGGGGGCGGCGGCGGCGGGCCGAGCAGGCGCCCGCCCGCGGCGCTTCGGCGGCGGGTTCGGCCCGCGGCCGCGCGGACGGGGCCGCCGCAGGACGCAGCCCGCCGTCGCCGCGCGCCGCCCCGCGCCCCGAGGCTGACGTGGAGCGAGGCGGCCGGCTCGCGGCGACAACGCAGGTGGGAGCCCGGCCGCCCGAGCCGCGCGGCGCCCGGGCGACGGGCCCCCGTGCCGTCCGCTCCCGCGTCCCCGCCGGCCAGGCCTCGGCGCCCCCGCCCCACGCGCACGAGGCACGGACCTGCGGGGCGCGCCCACGCCTGTCGACCGGGCAGGGACGCGGCGCCCCGGACCGCGGGCGAGGGCCGCCGCCGGGGAAACTGAGGCGGGGGCGGCGCGCTGGGGCGCGCGGCCGCCGCACTCCCCGGGCCGCTCGCTCCCCCGGGCGCCCCTCCCCCACCGCACTTCCCAGACGCCCCGCCGCCGCTCACGCCCGGGGCGCCCGCTCCCGCAGCCCGTTCCCTCAGGCGCCCCCCCCCCACCCCACCGCCTCGGCGCCCCTCGCCCTCGCGCACTGGGGCGCCCCTGCCCCCACCTCGTTCCCTCAGGCGCCCCCTCCCCCACCCCACCTCCTCAGGCTCCCGCCCCGCTCGCACTGAGGCGCCGCTTTCCTGGTCCCCTCTTCCCTCAGAGACCCCTCCCCCAACCCCTCATTCACAAACGCTCGCCCCCCGGCGCCCTCCTTCCCTCAGACACCCCTCCGCACCGCGTCCCCACTCACCGAGCAGCCCCGGGAGCGGCCTGGCGAGGGATGCGGGCGCGGCGGGCAGGAGCGGCGGCAGCAGAAGCAGCAGCAGAAACAGCGGCGCGAGCGGCGCGAGCGGCGCGAGCGGCGGCCCCATGACGGCGGCGCTCAGTCCATGGCGGCCTCTCCTCCCCGCGCTCCGCGCCGCCGCGGCTTCAGCACCGGACAGCGCCGCCGGCCCCGCCCAGGCCCCGCCCCCGACACGCCCCGCCGCCCCAGGGCACGCCCCGCCGCACGTCCATCCTCCAGCCCCGCCCCGGCCAAGCTCCGCCCCCGGACACACCCCCTGCCCGTCCGCTCTCCAGCACCGCCCCCCCCCCGCGTCCCCGCCGCTCCAGGGCGGCCCCCAACTCCCGCTCTCCCTGGTGCCCCAGCCCGGCCCTCGGCCCCCGTCCCCGTGCGGGCGCCCCGCCTCCCGCGCCGTACCCCTGTCGGCCCTCGAGCCCCCACCCCTCCTTCCACCTCCATCCCTGCCTCACCGGCGGGCGCCGAACCCTTTCCGCCCGCCTCGCGGGCGTCCTCCTCACCCCCCACACCACACCCACCGCGGCTCTCCCCGCGCACACCCCCTCCCCACCCACCACCGCCCCTAGGAACCCTCGGGCCCCCGTCCGGCGGAGCCCTTTCTCACGCCCCCCCCCCGCGGACCCCTGAGGAGCCCAGGCGCGCCCACCCCGGGGGCCTAGGATTGGGGGGCGTGGCAGTGGTCTCGCTCAGGCGCCGCGAGGGGTCCACGGGGAGTCAGCGGCCCCCTGGCCCTGGGGCAGGAAAGCGGAACGTCCCCTGCCGGGCCCTTCGTCGGGTGATGCCAGCGCGGGCCCGGGCCGAGCCCGGGACCAGAGCGGCCGGGGCGCGCCGCGGGCCTGGGTCGGGGCCTCTCCTGAAGCAGGCAGCGCCAGGGCTCCCTGGGGCTGGGGCTGTGCGGGGCCTGAGGCGCGTGTGGCCCCGGGGCGGGCGGGGGTGCCCTGCGCCGGGAAAGGGGAGGGGCCTGCGGGAGCCTGACCTGGAAGGTCAGCTGGGACCGGGGGCGGGGGCCGGGGAGCCCCTCCTGAGGCGTGAGCTCCTGCCCGCGGGTCAGGATTTCCCCGCGGTGGCGCGCAGCGGGCCCTGGGCAGGAGCCTGGGGTCCTCCGCTCTTCCCTGTAGCCTGGCCCTGCGCCCCAGGGCCCGGGGCAGGGGCCGCGACCCGTGTGCTTCCCAGGAGACTGCAGCTGTGACTCTGTGTGTGCGTGCGTGCGTGTGTGCGTGTGTGTGTGTGTGTGTGTGTGTCGGCAGGCACAATGCGTGTAAGGACGTGTGCGTGTGCTGTGTGTCCCTCACAGGGGAGCCCCTACGGCCCAGGACCAGGCGGCGATTCAGAGGCTTGAGGGCACCGCAGGCACCCGGGTCAATGATGTCACTGTGCGCTGCGAAGGCCCCGTGGCCAGCCGCCCGCACTCCATTTCTGTTGCGGAGGAGGCTCCACGTCATCACTTGCCCGCCCAGGTGACAGTCAGAGCAGCTCTCCCACGACCACGGCCTAACTTTGCCCAGGGCGCCTTGGAGGCTAAGCCCGGGCCTGGCTCGGGTGTGAAGGGGGGAGGAGCGTAGGGCCCCTCCCGAGCCCGCATCCTGGAGGCTGTTTACTTTTGGGGCTGTGGTTCAAAGGGGCCTGGACTGTTTGCTCTTCCCCCGCTCCCCCGCCCCGCGGGGTAGGGGGGGGGCGCTGACAGTGTCTTCCTGAGCCCGTCAAGCTTCACCCAAGCACCCCAACCTCAGGAGGCCTGACGGAGTCACGTCAACTTGGAGGGTAGACACCCCAAGGAGGGGAAAGCGGGGAAGCAGAGGCAAGGAGTTTACCGTGACGAAGCCACTGGGAAGCAGCAGCAGACCCAGGGGATGGCCCCGAAAGAGGGTGAGGGCTCTGCCCTTCCTGTGTTCTGACCGGAGCAGGCCAGCCCCGGGCTGAAGGCCACAGGCCCAGACCTCAGCTCTGCCGAAACGACATCGGCCGAGGGCCGCGAGGTGCGGTGTGTGGGAAGAGGCAGGGAGGGAGCCATCCCCAGGCCCTGCTGCACACAGCCACCCCACAACGCTGCCCGCCCCTCCGCCGCCCTAGCGTCACCAGGAACCAACGCCGGCCGCTCGGGGGCCTCCTCCGCCCAGAGGGCCCTGTGCCCCCGCCCTGCGCCCCCCCCAGCACCTCCCTGCACCGAGCACCACTCCAGAGTGGGGAGAGGGAAGCAGCACCAACAGTGCTGCTCCTGGGCCACAAAGCTCAGGAGGACAGGGCCGAGCAGGTCGGAGGTTGTGTGCTGGCGGCACTGCACCGTGTCATCTGCAAGCGCCTCTCCCCTGCGGTCACTCCAGGTGGTCTTCGTGGGACTCCTCCCCGTGTCCATCAAGGTGTGCCTCGGGCAACGGCCTGGGCCCCGCCGGGTGCCAGTCACGGCAGAGCGACCCGAGCTGGCAGTGGTGGGAGCTATGGGCTGCAACTGGCCCCCAAGGCCGCTCCCCACCAGCACCTGCGTCCCCCAGCCCCACATGCAGCCCTCGGCTCTGCCGGGGCTGCTGGAGGCCTCTCCGGGGCTCGCTGGAAGGGGAAGCATGTGTGTTACCTCCTGTGTCAGGGGCCTCACGTCTTGATGCCTTGCTGCTGGGAGAGCAGTAGCATCACCCAGACTTTAGGGAGGAGAGTCGGCAGGTCTACGTAACTGGCCCAGGCCTCGCAGCTCAGGAGGCTGAACAGAGCGGGAAGCCAGGCCGCATGGCACAGCCACGCCAGAACATCCCGCAGCCGCCCCAGAACTCCTGGACCAGGACGCTCCCGGGGACGCCGGGGTCGTGTGCAGGCAGCGTGAGGACGAGGTTGGAGACTCCTCCTGGCTGAAGGGGGGACAACGTGACCATTTAGAGAAATGGCTGTAATGGTGTCAAACTCATTGGACACAAATGTGTTTGCTCACGATGGCACTAGGACGACTGGTGTCCTCAAAAGGCCACAAAGGCACCGGCACACTCTTCTAAAAACTGTTAAATGACTCAAAACATTTTTCCTGCCTGATCACAATCATCAACTGTTGGCACCTACAAGTGCGGCAGGATGTCATCCACATGGCAGAGTATGTTTTCTGCTGTCTTGGCCCAAAACACCGATTTTGACAATCGCCCACAGGAAATGGGCTTGGCAGAAGGCCGGGAGCCCCGCAGGGGGACAGCTTTGCTCCACGGTCACCTCCCCCGCCCCGGGGCCCCGAGCCCCTGTCCGATGCCTCCTGCGGGGACCCGGGGAGCCTGAGCACAGGGTCCCAGCTGTGTGGCCGCCCCTTCTCTCACCCCAGCGAGTGCTGAGGCCCCTGCACTATCCTAGTGACTGCTGTGGACTCCCGCGGGGGGCCCGCCAGCGAGCCACGGGGCCGCCTTGCCTGTGGGTGCCCCAACTGGCCCACGGGCGCCTCAGCACCTCACGTGCACACCCACACCCTGTGGTCGGCTCCGTATGCGCCCCTGGCCGCTGGCGAGCCTGTGGAGAAAGCCGCCAAGGGGCCCTGGGATCCCACAGAGGCCCCGAGGGCTGTCCCGGGGACAGCAAATGGGAGGCTGTCGGCCGCTGGCTGGGTTCTGCAGGACAGAGGAGGCAGGAAACTTAGGAACTCCCTCTGAGAGGGCGCAAACGTGTGGGGAGCCGTGTCCCCAGGAAACATCCTCCTCACCCACCACACCCCAGGTCTGAGAATGTGAGGATTCTCGAGGAAGCCTCGGAATCCCTAGTAGGGCTGCTGGTCGCTCACTGGTCCTGGGATTTCTGGGAGCGACCCCCACAGGCAGCGTACTCAATTCTTGGCTTATTTAACCAAACTGTTTCTAGGTCCGGCCAAGGGCTTTCCCACCCGGCCCCGGGCTTCGGGGATGCATCAGGAGCACACACTCCGTCACCCCACCGGCCCCCGGAGCCGTGAGGGGAACGGTTTTGCTTCACCGAGTTTGCTCCACCGAGGTGGGTGCTGACACTTCAGGGACGGCAAGGCCTTCTAAGCCCTCGCAACCCAGGAGGCCACGTGGTCTACCGAGGGGGCCCCCAAACCTGCCCACGCCCCTTCCCTAGTGACCGGGTGCGTGAGTGCCATCGCCATCCCATGGGAAGGTGGAGACACCAAGAGAAGAGGTGTCTGCAGCCTCCCCCCACAAAAGTATCACATCCCAGCTAAGGCTACGGACACGCTACCCGGCATGTTCATAAACACTCTCAGCAGGAGGCGAGGACCGAGAGCCTGCAGCAGCCAGCAGACAAACCCGGACACCGAGCTCACCCCGGGGGCTCTCACGTCCCCAGGCCCACGGACCCACCACACTACCCTGTGGTGACAGACGTGTTGTGACCTCAGCTGGAGTTTGTGCTGTGTGGCTGGACACTTTTTTAAAGATTTCATTTATTTTGGGAGGGAAAGGGAGAGGGAGGGAAACATCCATGTGTGGCGGCCTCTCGCACACCCCCTGCTGGGGACCTGGCCCGCAACCCAGGCCTGTGTCCTGACGGAATCGACTGGTGGCCCTTTGGTTCACAGGCCGGTGTTCAGTCCATTGAGCCACACCAGCCAGGGCTGGAAACATTTTTTAAAACCCATCAAATCGTTGACTAAAGATCAGTATTTTTCAGTTTTTAAAATAATAATAGCTATTCGCCTGAAATTTCAGAGGTCCGGCTGGGGTCCCCTCACGACTGTACCCCAGCGTGGTGTGCGGGGAGAAGACACGGGAACGCCCTCACCTGCACACGGGGCGGGTTTGCACTCAGCAGCCTCACCCGACCTCGTGCCACGACCCGCCCAGTGCACATCACGTGGCCAACCAAGGAGACCAGCCAGTGAAACCCCAAAGGGGCAGGGTCTGCGTGTAGCCTGGTGGGCTGTGTGGACACAGGAAGCAGCCCGGCCCACCTGCGAAGGGTGAGCAATCCCCGGGGACCCTCCGGACTTGGAGGGGCCGATTTCATGAGGCCCCAGATCAACAGCTCTTGCGCCGACCGGAGAGAGGGCTTTGCTGCTTGTCCTAACCCAGCTTGTCTGAGGTTCCTGCAGCCTCTGAGCTTCCTGGAGAAACGGGGCGCGGCTTTACTCTTTGGCCGGGGGGCTGAGGAGAGTGAGCACGTGCCTGAGGAACTCACTTCCCCTCTGTCGCTGGGTGGCCCCCCAGGCCCCAGGATGCTGACCAGCGATGACATGGGACCTGTGGTGGATGTGGAGACTTTCCTGGCAACGGGGGCCGGGGCCGTGGCCGGGAGTCTGCGGGCACCGTGACAGCTCTTGGGAAGGAAAAGTATCCATAGTTCGGCCTCAAACCAAACGGCTCCCGTGTGCAGCCGCAGGGCCTGCCCCGACCTCAGGGAGGCGGCTCCAGGGCCCGGCGCGGGGCCTCCCCTTCCACGGCCGTGTCCTTGGCTTCTGCACCTTCTCCAGGTAGGAGACGGCCCCCCAAGAATTCAACCTTTGTCCCTTAAGGGGAGAGCTCACACTAGTATTTTAAATTATATGGATATTGTCATTGCTTTATTGCAGTTTACAATATTATATACATATATATATAAAAGTCATTTTTAAAACCACCAGGTTTGCCAGAAAGGTGTCTTTCCTTTGCTTTGCACCATGGGTTTCTGGAGTCCTTTACATTAAATATATTATTTTGCAGGCACTGGGCAAACATTTAAGAAACTTTGAGCTTCCTGCTCATGCCTTCCCCAAATAAATCCCACCTTCTCTATTACATGGGATATTAACATTAAAAACACTACGAAAATACACATTCATGTTCTGTAAATCCCTTTTCTCTATTTTTACATAATCGAAGATGTTGGTTCTGTTATGAATTCAAAAATGTTCCCAAAGTTCTCGATGATGATTCGTAGAGAAATCTGAAACACAAGGAAAGAAAAGAATTGGCTACAGAAATAAGTAACCAAATTATCCAACTGTACATTTTCACAAAGTAAATCTAAAAATGGTTTGCAACTGAATACACTTAAAAAGGAAGTGGAAGGAACCTGCCCCGGTTGCACGGACTGTCCTCGTACACAAGAGGAGAAGGAAACCACCGTGGAATCTGAGCGGATGCACGGCCGGCGGACGAGCCGTCAGTAGCGAGGGCCATCGCCATCCCCACGGCCGGCAGCTCAGGGTGCCCGGGAACCCTCCGCGGCAGCGGAGGACGTGCGCACCGGCCGGGCTTTCGACGCTGGCTTTCGCACGCACTCTCCTCTCTGGCACCCACAGCCGACCCTTTCACACAAGGTCGCACTGCTGCCAGGATCCCCCCGCCGCCCCCGCCCCCGTCACCGGGACCTTCAGGCAGGCCTCCCTTCCCTGGCCCTCCCCTGCACACCTGCTCGGCAGGTGGCTCGGACCTCCCCCAAACTCCCTTGCCGGCGTCTGCGTCAGGAGCCCTCCCCGGGCGCTCCGTGCGTCTCCTGCTCCGAGACTTAAACGCACACAGTCACGCGCTCAGGCCCGCCCTCCTGCCCTCCTTCTCGTCCCTGGTGACTCCGCGAGGGTGCCCAGCTCTCCTCTCAGGGGGTACCTGGGCCAGCTCACCTCTCCCTTCCTCCCTAGACACAAGTACCAATCTCTATCCCAAATGGTGTCTCTCCAGCCAGCGAGCCAGCATGCCAGTGCCCTGCTCCCCAGGGACACGACCCCCCCACGGCTCGGAACAGCCCTGTCTGGTGTGAATACAAGCACACGTGTAACTAAATTTTCTAGCGGCTACACTAAAAGAGATCGAAAGAATCAGGTGAAATTCATCATCTTAATGTATGTTATTTAGGCCAAGATACCCACACACCCGTGTGACAGTGTAGAAACTCCGCTGTGACACTGTGCGGTCTCGGGTGCCGCCGCCTCCAGAGACCGGGGTACGCTCCGTGCTTTGGCCGCAGCGCAGCTCTGACTGACTCTCACACGTCTGGTTTCCACACGCGACGCGCGGCCAGCCTGGGGCCAGCACACGCACAGAAATAATTAAATTGTCTCTCTATCCCTTGCATTCAGGAATTTTCTGGCCTGACTTGGTGGGATTTTTCCCCTCAGCAATCCCATCCACAATTTAGTAAAAACAACATCAACAAACATCTCTCAATTACATGTTTCTTCCGATCTGGGACATTTTCTCCCGTCGCTTGTTCGATCACCGCCCGTCTTGGGTCTTCTGCGGGGCGTGGGAGCGGAGCAGGGCTGGGGCTGCGCAGGCTGCCCGAGGCGGCTGCGCGGATGCGCAAGGAGCAGGGGGGCGAGCCGGTGACTGACGCAGCCAGAGAGCCTCACGCGGTGACACAGACCCCAGAAGTGTTTGTTCTCCTATGATCCCTGATCGCAACTTCACGCAAGCAGTAAACAGAGGAGGCGCTGCCAGCCCCGCGGCGCTCCTGAGAAAGCACGTCCCGCCCGGCCGGTGCTGCGCCGGCGAGACCAGTCAGGTGGACGAGGGCAGCGGAAGCGCTTTTGCCCGGCGCCCGCAGCCCAGGTGAGGAAACGCCGGCCCCGCTGTGGAGAGGGCAAGCCCGTTCACCGAGAGGCGCTCGCTGCCACTCTGGCGCCTCCTGTGCTGACTGGGCCGAGCGGTTCCCAGAGACTTAAAGGTGCTCACTTGCCTTAACACCTTTACTCCAACATTAAGTCAGTATTTCAAAATATAGTCTTATTGTTTATCTCCCATCAGATTGATTTTTAGACTCTGGATTTTCCAATGTGCTTCCTGCATATTTAAGAGAGAAGCCAGTGTTCCACCATCCCTACCTACTGTCTTGCATGTTTCCTCTTTAAAGGGAAGAACTTTTTCCCCCGATCTGTGCATTAGCTTAGGCACACGGCTGCTGGAACAATGGAGCCCCAAACGTTACGTGGTCGATCTAAATTCTGCTAAAACCCTTTCCCTCCCAGAGTGTAAGCGGTGCGAGTTTTGAACTTGAGGCCTTTTCCCTCTCAATGGGTCAATAACTAACACACTCGAGTGCTCGCCGTGACTCTACAAGTGGAAGGGGAAGAGGTTCCTAGCCAGGAGCAAGGATCCCTCCTTCCTCACGTCTTCAGAACGGGACACACCATTCTGCAGCCCCAACACGGTCCTTGCAAATGCTATTTCTACCACAGAAACCTCCTCAAATGCTTGGACTTCTGAGACTGGCACTGTGAAAATCACGTATCTCTACAGCTGGTGACTTTGACGGCCACAGTTAATACTTGTGCCTGGTGAAAATATTTATGCTGCCCTGTGTCTCCTGAAATACACAAAGAGTCCTCAGTTCCCTGCAAATCAGAAGGCCTCTTCCCTCTTCAGCACACTGTCTAGAAATAAAACAATTTCATGAGACCTCTAGTCTTTGAGTTTCTCCTTCCCATACACAATTGCAAAATATTCAGTAGCTTTCAGAATAAAGTATAAAACTGAACACGTGTTCTTCGCTCACAACACGATGCCCCAGTGCCCTGCCCCAGGCCCGGCTCAGGCCTCCTCGCGGCAGCACTCGGCCCGGTCGGCGGGGCTTTCTCTTCCCCGCCGGGTCCCTGCAGAGCACATGGGCCCCCTGCCAGGGTCCCAGGGGCCGCTGCCCCCGCAGACCTCAGGGGGCGCGGTCCAGCTGGCAGCCCCTTGACCCGAGCAGGGTGTGGACGAAGGCTCCAGCGCTGGTATCCCCAGCTCCCGGCCCTGGAGATGGGGTGCCCAGCGAGCCCACCCCCCGGGGCCTGAGGACTTGCCCGTCCAGGGAGCAGGCCTCAGGCCTGGTGGGCATTGGCCCTGGGGCAGGGCTGCTCCTCGCTGCTCTTTGCCTGAGGGTTGGTCTTACCCCTAACGAGTCAACAACCCGCAACCCCAGCTCCTGACACCGGATCTGCCTCTGCAGTCATGGTGCGGGCTCTGCCTCCCGCCCGAGTGCCACAAGCACTCACCAGGAGGCGGGTGCACCTGCCTCGATATCTGACAAATAGACTTTACCGGGAAGCATTACTAAAGAAAAAGAGAGACCCTTCATAAAAACAAAAGGGTCAGTTCATCACGGAGATACAGCAGTTCTAAATTCATATGCAATATCCTAAGGTCACGATGACAACACCTATAGTCAAACCCGCCGACCGGAAATGGACAGGCCCAGCAGGCAGAGGCCCGGTAAGGACGGGGGAGTCAACCGCACCACCCCCCGCCGGGCGCACTGGCATCTGCAGACCCCTCCTCCGGCAGCTGCGACACATTCTCCCCGAGCTCCTGCGAACTCCCCGCCACAGAGCACACTCGGGGAGCCCTGAACACTTCTTGACAAATGTGAAAATACACCAATCCAGTGACGCCTGCTCCCAGACCACAATGGGGTTAAACCAGAAATCCGTAACAGAAAAATACCAGGGAAATCCTCACAGACGTAGAGAGTAAATACACTTCTAATTAACACATGGGTCAAAGGAACAATCTCAAGAGAAAGAAATATAAGAAGACTTTGAATAAACGACAACGAAAGCACAACGGACTGGAGTTTGTGGAACGCAGCGGAAGCTGTGCGCAGAGGGGGATCTGCGCCCCGACCGCACGGCAGGAAAGCAGAAAGCGCGAAACCCAATCCCCTGAGCTTCCATCTTAGGAAACTAGAGAAAGAGCTGGATGAATTTGAAGCGGGGAAAAGAAACGAAATGGTAAAAATCACAGCAGAGATGAAAACGATCGAAAATAGGAAATCGATGAAACTAAAAGCTGGTTCTTTGAAAAGATTAATGAAATTCATAAGCCTCTTAACAAGGTAACTAAGGAAAAAAAAGGGGGTCCAAATTACGGACGTAGAACCGAAAGCAGGGCACCTCCAAGGCCCCGTGAGCTAAAAAAGGCCAACGAAGGGCAACCGCGCACTCCGCCCACCAGTCTGGCAGCCCAGACGAGAGGGACCAAATCCTTCAAAGACAAAACTCACACGGAGGAAACAGACAACCTGAACAGTCCTATTACCTCCTTAAACACTGAACAAGGAATGACCCTCCACAGCAGAAAGCACCAGGCCCATCAGAGGTCGCGGGTGACCCCACTAAACATTTAAGGAAGGCGCCACAGCTGTCCTCGACTGCCTCAGCGTCCTTCCGAAATGACTGGCCAGCGTTCCACTGACACCAAAGACATCGCGAGAAAATGACAGACCGCTCTCTCATGAACATAGGTGCAAAAATACTCAACGAAATGTTACCAAGGCAAATCCAACAACGTATAAGGAAATCACACACCACGAACAAGTGAGATTTATCTCAAGTATGTAAGGCTGGTTCAACATCTGATAATCAATTAATGTAACCCGTTATATCCACAGGCTAAAGAAAAATCCTGTGATCATATGACTAGATGCAAAAAAAGCTGTTGCTAGAATCCAGTGCCCACTCGTAACAAACACTCCTGAGCTTGGAACGCAGAGGGACTCCTCAGCTGAAGAGAGAACACGGGCAGACACCCGGCCGCTGACCTCCCCTCGGAGGCGAGGGAGGGGCCGCCCCCGCGGAGGCCGGAGGCAGGACGGCGTGTCCCCTCGCGCCGTCCTCTGCAGCGTTCTGCCCAAAGGCCCAGCTCGTGGGCTAAGACGAGGAAAGGGAACGGGGAAGAAAGAAACAAAGCCGTCTTCGTTCATCTGTCAGCAACTTAGGATTCTGAAAGCCTTTCTCCAAACGAGAAAGTGGCTGGTTTCCCAGGCACGCAGAAGACTGATCACCTAGTTCAGAGCCCTGTAGCATTTCAGTTCACGGAACAGCAGGAAAAACACTGTTTCTGTGGCTGGTCTGAGAGTCAGACACAATGCCTGACACTGCACAGCGTGTCAAAACCAGTGGTCGCAGCAAAAAGACACGTGGCCGGAGGAGGAGCCCAGCGACCTCACCCCCAGGCCCCCCAGGAGGGAGAGAGCATGTGTGCGCCTTCAGTCTCTGGGGAGAACTTCCCAGCCCCATGTGCATGCTTGCGGAGGGGTGACTATCTTAAGAATGTCCATGGTTTCAAAACATAGCAAGCCATCAAAAACACTCTATCTAGTTTTCAAACCATATAAAGTAAGTTTGCATGCCCTCCCTCTTTTCTCTTCTCTCTTCTCGGGTAATATTCTGCAAATGAAACTGTTTCTGTTTCTCAAGACAGAAATAGAGGTAAGTTAAACACACGTTCCAGGGGTCTTGCCCACAAGAAGTCTCTACCCCCACAGCCCGTCTTCTCCCTCCCGGGCGGCGAGCGGTGGAAGCGAACGCTCGAGGCGTAGAACACGCCCCCGGCCCAGCGAGCACGTCTCGGACGGTCGCACTGCGGCACGACCGGGCTTTACCTTTCCATGCTGTCCTCCTCCAGGGTGATCTCCATGAACTTCTTTAGTTTTCGGTGAACAGTGGCTGCGACCTCCTTCACTTTTGAACTTTTGTGTTTTCCTTATGAAAGACAGAAAAATAACCTTAGCACAGCCACTCGAGACAAACCTCCCCGCCGCCAACGCAGGCACGGTCTCAGGCCGGCGGGGCCTCCCCACCGTGTCCCCCGCGCTGACGCACGCGCCGACGCTGGACGGTTACAGCCCCTCACAGGGGAGCGAGAAGGGCCGACGGCTGACGGAGCCGCTCGCAGCTCCAGGGCAGAGCGCCCACGACCGCGCCCCGCGTCTGTCCGCCGGCGAGTCGCGCTCACCTACGGCCCCGTCAGAGTGACGGCCGCCCCGGCGCAGCCACCGCCTGCCGGGCAAATACTGGGCCGGCCGAGAAGTCCGTCCGGTTCCCTCCATGAGATAGCGCCCATGGCTAAGTGGCACTGCGCTGTCTTTAACTTGGTTCAAAACAGTTTTGTCAGATTGCATTGTGACAGCTGTCCTATCCGCAAGCATCACAAAAGCAGCTTATCAAAATTGGTGAGTTTTTGTGTAGCCATTTTAATATTGAAGATGGGAGAAAATATGCAACATTGTTGGCATGTTATTCTTTATTATTTCAAGAAAGGTAACAATGCAACTGAAATGCAGAGAACGATTGGGGCAGCATACAGAGAAGGTGCTGTGACTCATCAAACGTGTCAAAAGCAGTTTGTTAAGTTTCGTCCACGGAGCTTTCTCGCTGGAATGAGACCAGCGAGTGGTGGACCAGCTGAAGTGGACAGTGATCAAATCGAGATATTGAGAACAATCAATGTTCTGCCACGGGGGAGACAGCTGACATACTCAAAATATCCACATCAATGAAGTGATTGGTGAACATGAAAAAAACCCCGTATGGACTTTCTGGCCGACCCAATGTTGAAGCCCCTAGTAAGCAACTCACCCCCCACCCACACACCCGCTGTGTCCTGCCGGTCTCCACAGGGGACACTCACTTTGGGGAGGCTTTTCTGAGGCCTGGCCCAGGCAAACCAGTTATTACAAAGTATCGTCATAAGACTGCAGAGGCAGCGCCAGCTGGGGTGGCTCAGTGGGTTGAGCGCCAGCCTGAGAACCAGAGGGCCGCCGGTTCGATTCCCAGTCAGGGCACGGGCCTGGGTTGCGGGCCAGGTCCCCAGTAGGGGGCGCACGAGAGGCAACCACACATGGATGTTTCTCTCCCTCTCTTTCTCCCTCCTTTCCTCTCTAAAAATAAATAAATAATACCTGAAACCCCCCCCCACCCCAATAAAAGACGGTAGACATAGATGCTTCAGGCTTATGGGGAGAGTTTGTTTCTATGTTTCTAATAGCAGCAGTATAACACATTATCTTAGAAAATAATTTCAACATTATTAAAATTGAACAAAAAGTTACAGTAACCCGCTCACAGGACATTACTGCATTGCACACTGAGGGAAGTGTTTGAGAGGCCCCTCCGGGCACTTTCCCAGCATTATTTCAACTGGCCAGGATATTCACAACAGGCAAGAGTAAGGCTTGAGCAAATTAGCAGATACATTAAATATTAACGCCAAAACATACCGTTATTAGCAAAACTATATTCGGGTTTTTAAACACAGGTAATGACAAACCCACAGAAATTCAGTTCTGAGGCACAGGAGGGACACACAAAGGGTCCAGGGCGGAAGGGGGTGGAAGAACATTAAGCAGCTCCGGCCAGCGAGCCGCCGGCCGGTGTAGCCTGGCCAAGCAGAGGGAGCCACGCAGACAGGGCGTCAGAGCAGGGGACCGTGGACACGGGAGTTCTGCCTGGGGTAGACCCAGCCACGGCCCAGACAACATATGAGAAACTTCACCAACCTTTATTAATAACCAAAATAATGTGTGTGACAGCCGTGAGACACACAATTCCTTCAATGTCGTCAGAAGTAACACATGCCTTTAACTCATCTAAAAATGACCTGCAAAAAATAAACATCCAAAATGACTCCACAGTATACATTCTAACGCTTTACAGAAGGACAAACACAGGTCAGATTCATCAACCACCGTGAATTCTAGTCCCCATACTTTTCGCTGTAAATATGCCAAACCACACTTACATTCAAATGGTGAGATGTTCAGATCAGAACGGGACTTCTGGTAAAGTGCAGGAAGCTACTCACATACACCCCACAAAAACGTAGTGTGTTACTGAAACGTAATTCACAGCTGCTAAAATGAGGATTTTTACGCTTTTCATTGACCTTATCCGCTATTCCAGTCCCACAGTTATCAGGTATCGGTGAGACTATGCTCTCTTTAAATAACCTGTCCTCTGTCACCTGCCACAAGCCTAGGATTTCAGGTGAGCGACGCACGGGCTGAGGGGAAGCGCCCGGCCCGTGCGCCGAACGACGGCCACGTGGCGTCTGACCCGGTCCAGGTCTGCGAGTGTGCGCAGTGAGAAGCGCCTCACTCTGTGAACACTTTGAATGTTTCTCTCTAATTGCATCTGAGTGACGGTCAGCACAGCCAGAGACTATTTGGATGAATGTATTTAGCAGAAAATGAGAGAAGTTCTACTTAACATATACTTATACAGCCCCAGAAAAGCTCTGTAAGTATAATGTAAATATTTACTTTGTACAACGTAAACATTTTACATCATACTTACACAGTTTACATTGTACTTACATCGTTTATACTTGTAAGAATAACGTCAATAGTTGACATTATAAAAAGCATAACATAAATATATCCTATCACTGCTGAAAGAAGAGAAAACTCTGTGGGATGTTTTGCCACAGAGAGAACCCCAGCTCGGAGCAGCCCCGGGCGAGAACGGAGCGGAGAAAACCCTGAGTGCCTGCAGCCCCAGCGAGAGTCTCAGAACAGGAAGAAGTTATTACCTGACCACATGTGGAGATTTTATGATTATTCCTATTAAACACCTTGAAAATGGCGGCAGGTCTGAAAGACACTCGGGGGGGGCAAGCTCCTCGACATCAGAAACCTGAAAAAACGTCCAGTCAGTCACTCTCCCAGCGGCTGAGGCTTAGCGCTGGCTCACACCTGCTTTGGGTTTTCCTCAACGCGTGCCAAGGGCTCTCCGAAACGCACAGGGGTGATGCTGTTAACTACCGGCATTTCTACAGTAACCGTGACTAGGCTGCTCCTGCGGGCAGGGGGTCTTAGCGCCAGTAAGACAGATGACGTCCCTCAACACGCCTTCTGCCAGGCAGCCGTTGATTCGATGTCGTCTTCTGTATGTAACGGCTTACACAGTAAGCGAATTGAATTCGTCTTGTGAGTCCAGATCCGGTTTTCTCCCTTTCTAAATTACTGACAGTTTTGAACAGGATTCCTGGCTGTGGGGGCACCCTGTACCCCACAGGGTCCTGAGCGGCAGCTCGCTCCCTGGCTGTGAAAATGTAAACGGCGCTGACGTGGCCAGTGTCTGAGGGGGCTGGGGGGCGGGCGGTGAGGACCGCTTGTCTGGACCCGCGAGGGGGCTCTCGGGGCTCTGCCCTGTCAGCGCCGCACGCGTTTACCGCCGTCCGTGACCGGCAACGACCCTGCAGGAGGCGCCCGGGAAAGTCCCCGCAGAGCCCCTGCAATGGCGGCGGCGTGGCCCTGCCGGCCCCTCCTGGCGCTCACCGCCGCCTCCTGCTGGCCTCGGGGAACCCCACTCCCACGCGGCCGACCAGGCAGCCCCCGGGCCGGCCTCCCCGCGTCGCTTCTGCGGGGCCCCACGTGCAGAGGCACTGCTTCCCGTCACAGCGCTTCCCATCCCAGTGTTGCACGCGCGCCTCTGACAGAGACACGCAAGACTCCTGACTTGTCACCCCAAAACCGGGCCGGGGGCCTGGGGACACATGGAGCGGGGCAGCTGCGACGAGCGCAGGTTGGAGGGCACCGAGGGGGCGCAGGGCCGCGCGCTCTGCAGGGAGATGGAGGAGCCACCCGCCCAGCCTGAAACGTAGAGAAGCCACGAAGAGCTACACAAACGATGCTGTAAAGTCAACAGAGATGACAGAACAGTATAAATACTAGATTTACCAAAAATTAGCAGGAAAGGAGAAGTAGGGGGGCTAATAAAAAACTAACATCAAAATGGTCAACTTACACCCAAGCATATCAATAATTCCATTAAAATCAACGAGTTAAGCCCCCCAAGTTAAAGGCAGAGACTATAAAGTTGGATGGAAAAAGGCGATCCCGCGTGGTGGTCACTGCGCAGACTGAGAAAGGCCAGAGAGCAGGCAGCGTGCCGGCCGCACTGCAGAGACGGGGTCCCGCGAGCAGCCCGGGGCCCTGGGGCGCCTGCGCCTCGTGACCGAGCTCCCAGACGCAAGGAGGGAAAGGCCACAGTGCCGGTTTGCACCGACGACGGGCAGGCCGGCACCATCAGCGAGGACGCAGGACAGAGGTCCAGCAAACTCCCTCTCCCCCGTCGTCCATGAACCGTGTGCACTTTGGGCTTGGCGGCGACACGGTCCACACGCCTGCTCACTCCAGCTGCCGCGGCACAGAGCAGCCAGCGACAAGGCGTCAGGGCCGGGGCGGGGGGCGCTCTCCAAAGCGACCCTCTGCAGAAGCAGAGGGCGGGCCAGCTTCGGCCCACAGACCATCGCCGGCTGACTTCGCACGGCGACCACTTGGCGCCGGAGGAAATAAGTTCCAGTCCTTATTCTATGTATAATCTAGTAATTACTTTCTTAAACCAAATGACCTCCCTTCAAGTTTTAAAGAGCGTCTTGAATTCTATTAATGTTTTAAGATTTAGTTAACTTTTCAAACCCACGACTTCACAAAACAAACTTTATATAACACACACCTACATTCTTATACGTGAATGACAGTCCCTGTCAGGTCCCATCTGTCACCGAGAAAACCTCTCTCCTCAGTCCCCGTTTCCTGCCTTCCCTCCATGCACCACGGGTTCCATGTGGAAAAACAGTGCGTTTTGTTCTGAGCTCTGTTATCTGATCACTTTGCTCTCTCAGCGCCTGCAGGCTGATCAATAGAACAGGCCGTTGCGCGGCCAGGAGCCAGTGCGCTGGAGGAGGAATGGGCACGTTGTGTGTCCAGCTGCTTTCGGAGCTCACGCTTCCTGTGCTCAGGGAAGGGCAGTCAGACTGGCGCCGCCTTGAGGCAGGTGCATGAGTGCGTCACCCAACCACGCGTCGCCGCTGCCCTGTACCCGCTCACTAAGACATCTCTAAAACATGGCACAATGAGATGTTACAAAGAAAGGACGGGTTTGGTTTTAATCAAGAACCCCAACAGCCTTCACTTATGCTCCCACAGCCACATGACTCTAAAATACAGGGCACCCGCGCAGTCCAGCGGGTGGAGAGCAGAGTCCCCACTAAACCGAGTTCTCCAAGTACCTGGGGACACACAAAAGGCGCTGCTGGCAGAAGAGAGCGCCTGGGACAGTCAACAAGACACACAGAAGGGTCTGGACCACGGACTTCACCTTTCGCAGTCGGTGGCTGATCTCGACGACAGAGGCGGCCATCAGCGTGGAGAGCACGCCGTGGTGAACGGGCGTGTCCGCGTGCCAAGACTGCACCGCCGTGATGAACTCATGCAGCGGCGTCTGAACGGAGTACAGGAGCTGCGGGAGACGCCGGCAGCGCCGTGCTGAGGCGCGGGCCCCGGGGCAGGGGGCGTCCCCGCCGCCCTCCCCCGGCAGCCGCAGCCGCTCACCCACCGCCCGCCTCCCCTCCCTGCCGCGGGCGCGCTTCGCTGAGCGCCACAGCCAGGCCAGGAGAAGGCCGACGGGGCGGACCCCCGTTTCCCGAAAGCGGAGAAAAAGTCTCCGACGACAAAAGTTACCAATAATACTGCTAAAGAAAAGACAGAAACAAAAGCCCTCTCCAAAGACATCATGGTCCTCGGAGCCAAGCAAACCTGGCACCCAGGCCACTAGACCCCCAGTCGGCAAAGGGAGCCACAGGCGCTGCCCGCTGTGCCTCCTGTCCAAGGCCAGGAGTTTAGCACGTGAGGGGAGGGGGAGCTAAGGCAAAAATGAGCATTTCATCAGGGAAAATCTTGTCACCTACAGATAATCAAAATTAGCATTCTCAAAAATATACTGTACTTAGAAGATCTCGGGAAATAAGAATTGAGGGGTAACTCGGGAGCCTGCTGCAGTTTGTTCTCTGCCTCCTGCCCTGGTTGGCGGGGCTCTCCCTGCTGACTGGTGACCTCCACGCAGGAACACCTAGTCCAAGGCCGACAGTCAAACCTGGCCCCCTGGCCCCCCCACTTCCCGCCCAGGTGCAGATATTAGCGTGTCACAGGCCAGAGGGTGTCATGCTGTGCAGGTTGGCAAGCACACCTGAAGGCTGGCACCTGGCCATGCCGTGCCTAACCCCACAGTCCAAGGGCACAGCAAGTGCTCACAGCCTGCACGTGAGCAGACCCACTCGGGGCACCCCACCCGCCGGCTGAGCACGTCCCCCCGACCGCCCGACATCTAACGGCTGTTCTGGGAGGGCGTGAGTACCCGCAGGCCTTCTTCCGGCTGCTTCCTGAAGCTCCAGGCCATACACTCCAACATTTTCTGAAAGACCTTCTGGACCATATCAAACAGCGTGGCAACTTCTTCGTCTGAATCTGTTTTCCGCTTCAAGGAACTTCCAGTTATCTCCTTCAAGATGCCAAGAAGTAATGACACATAAAAGAATCCCTTCACTGGAAAGAAAATTGGAAAAAATCGGTTATCTAATTACATAATTTGGTTGAAATTATCACACATTTTCACTTAACACGTGTACTGCACTAACTTTAAAGAGGTTGTTACTGGTAAGCCAATACCAAGTTGAGCAGATTAATCTAAATTTTAACATAAATAAATCCTGTTCCTCTTGCTATGAAACCAATACCTCTGATAGCAGCGCCTTTGACTTCCTGCACTGAGAACCATGCTCATGGTTCATGTGGACATGTGGTGCCTCGGACTCTGGATTAGAGAAGGTGTCTTACTTCTCATGCAACAAGAGACATCCAGTCAGCACCGGCCCCTCAGCACCAGCCTGGGACGGCAGCCCAGGGGCTCTGACGATGTGCTCGCAGCCTCGCGGGCTGACTCCGTGAGATTTCTAACACCCTGCAGAGCTGGCTACCTGCCTCTTCCCCTTCCGTACCCCAGCCTTCACTGTGTTAACTTGGGAGAATGTTTTCCACGTGTGAGCCTAATCCTACAACTCATCCTAGAGATCTTCAATTTACCCTGTTACACCCATTGTAAGCTCCCCTTGAGACAGGTGAGAAGCTAACCCCAAACCCAGGTTTATGTGCTAAAGTCAATAAAATAAACGGTTGTGTTCCAGTGGAGTTCACCTTTCAAGGAGTCTCTGGCACCATCAGAATCAACAAAGTTCCTGAAGTCTTTGCAAACATAGTAGAAACTTTCAAGGAACTAATCTTTACTATTTAAAAGGTGGCCAGAGGGCACACACCCTCTGTACAGGTGGGCCGCCTCAGTGGAGCAGGCAGCGGGGACGCCGAGCCCTTGAAACAAAGGGCCCACCGCTTGAAAGTGGCCGATGTGGGGGGTAAAGGACCCTGGAAACGGGAGGGTCTGTCCTTACAGCCACCGCAGCTGCGGGCTCGGGGACACCACACAACTCATTGGCACCTTCAATTGCTGACACAAATCTGAGAAGTTAGTAATTTTAATTCAAGGAGATTTCCTTATGTTCAAGCAGTACGTGCCCTAGAACCACACACACACACACAGTGGTTTAGTAACACGACACTCCTGGAGGCACGTCAAGACTCACACCCGTGAGAGAGGACAGACCAAGTTCCCGCTTCCCTGGAGCGAGCCGGCGCGCAGGCCGCGGCACGGCGGGCTGCGGGGGGCCCACCCGTCCGCAAGCCTGGCCCCGCAGGCTGGCCCCGGCCCCGCTCTGCCAGCCGTGTGCGCCTCCCTGAGACCCACGCGGGGCCCGGCAGCCCTCAGTCCGCCCTGCCTTCCCGCCTCAGACCAAGCCCTGTATTTGCTGTCACTTTTACTGGAAAGGTCACCCTCCTTTCCACCTGTGCTATGTTTGCGAGGACCGCCACTTCTCAGTGCTGTCACACACTGTCCGGCGGCCAGCCCAAGTCGCCGTCCCCGTGGCCATCGCTGCTGCCGCCTGCCCCTGAGGACATCTCTCCCGGGGCACACACCCTTCAGCCTGGAGAAGGCCGTGCTTCATTATTAATGACATTTGGTGACCGGATTTTTAATTAAAACGTGTCATTGGTCCAGTGAAGAGCGGACTCTGGGTCTAAACGGCTAAATCGCTCGGCACGGCCCCGTCTGGGACGGGGCTGCAACAGCGGCCAGTGCTGGTGCTCCCCCGGGGAACCCTGACAAACACCCACCTTTGCACAAATGCAAGTGTCATTTCAGTTCGGTCCGAAGCCACGTCAGTAGCTTAGGGGCAACAATTTTCAGTACTTTTCACCTTATGGTGTATATAAACTAATTACCAAAATTCTGTGGCACACCCAAAAATACATTTTTTGCTGATCTGACAAAAAATAAAAAAAGGTATAATTTTGATTCCCTCGCCCCGAACAGCTGCTGCTGCGTTGGCTGCCGTCATTTGTTTATTTGACAGTCTGGGGGGAGGGAGGTCAGTACGCGCCCCGAAGGTCAGGCGCTTCGCGTCTGGACACTTCTCGGGGACGCCCAGGGAAGGCGGCGGCTGCGGGCCTTGCTCGGGGAGCCCGGCACCGCTGCGTGGCAGGACCAGCAGCACGGACGGCCTAAAACTCCAGTTAGAGTCTCAAGAAAAGTGAATTTTACAAATATTAAAAACAGGGTTAGTCCTTGGGGGAAAGTAATTCCTAAGTGAAAAGTAAAGTTTAAAAAATGCAAATTATTTGTAGTGTTTCAATAATTAACCTTAATTTGAAAATGCTACTTTCATAATAGAAAGTAAGAGTTATAAAGCATTAAACAAAGAAACCAAACTCTAAAAGCAATACCGTTTGTTCCCTTTACTGTTCAGCCTGTGACTGTGGGTATTTCCGACAGCAACGCCTAACCTGCACTCACGGGCTAAGGGAAGGCTGCGCGCGGTCCCGCAGCCAGAGCGCCGGCCTCGGCGGCGGAGGCGTGAAGACAGAGCCCCGGGTCCCGGCAACGGGAACGAGGCTGCACGTGGCCAGCGACCACGGAGCCACTACAGACTCCCTGAATCTGTTTTTTCAAAATGCAATGTTGAGTTTGTTGCCTGCTAATCTCATTTTCAATCTCTTTTAGCGGGTACCTCGCCTTTCGAGAACGCCGCCAGCCAATCCCTCAAGTTTCTTTGCATCTCGGAAGGAGGCAGGTGCGGCTTCGGAACATCCAGTGAGAACAACTCAGCAGAGCCAGCACCACGCAGGACGTGGCCGCCCAGGGGCGGGGCGGGGCGGGGGGCATGGCCCAGCGCACTCCTCTGAACCTGCCTGTGGCCACAGCCCCGCCCTCCCTGCCGTCGGGCACCGGCGTGGCGAGAACGCGACCCTGGGGCCCACGGAAGGTGATGCACCACGGGGCCAGCCGCCCTCTTCACGGCACACATTTCATTTTGCACCAAGAGCACAGCCGGTGTGGAGCCGGGGTGCTCGTTCCTGGGGTGGCCCCGTCCTGCAGGTAATGGCAGCTCCCCGCTAGCACTGGGGGCGTTAAACCACCAGACAGACTCACAGCGCCCTTCTGCGATCTCTGCCTTTGAGTGCAGCCAGGAGCAGAGGGCTCGGCGGCCAGTGCCCGAGTCCACACATGGCCAGGCCACCTGACTGTCGGCAAACATAGCGAGGAGACCCCCAAAGCCTCATCAGAAACCCTGGACTTGCGGACGTCTGACTCCACGAAGAACTCTGAACTTCCTGCTGCACCAGCCTGTGAGTTCCATTTGGATGTGGGCTGGTTCCCATTACATACCTGTCCCTTGACAGCGAATCATGACCAGCATAGTGAGGGAGGGAGCGGGCTGGTTTGGGCTGTCAATGGTCCCAACCGGCCCTTTAAGGAAGGACGCATACCTGTGTGCATGACTCTCAGACTCCAGTGTAAAAGCTGTATCTGAAACTTGCAGTCGCCGAGGCCGACCATGACGACGTCTTTGCCAACAGTCAGGTAGGTCTGTAGGAGAGAGGGCGATGGGCTCTTACTGCCACACACAGCACCCAACACCTATCACAGCAATGTGTAAAATCACACTGAAATTATGCAGAGTTTACGCTTTGGAAAGGATAAACTGATAATCAAACGCCACCGTAAGTATTAGGGGCGGTACTACTGTCTGAAGCCACGACTTCAAAACAGAAAACAAAGTCTTGAAGCACCTGACAAACCTGGAAGGAGGAAGGTCTCTGCACTGAGTTCTAACCTAGAGCCCTGGCCGTGCGCCTCAGCTGGTTGGAGCGTCGTCCTGTGACCCGAAAGGTCACAGGTTTGAGTCCTGGTCCGGGCACGTACCTAAGGCTGCAGGTTCAGTCCCTGGTCGCGGCGCGTGCCAGAGGCAGCCCCCCGATGTTTGTCTCCCTGCCTCTCTCCCTCCGTTTCCCCCTCTAAAATCATTAAGCATGTCCTTGTGTGAGAATAAAAACCCGAAAGTTCTAACCTGGATAATCTGCTGATAAACCACCCTATGACGCTTCAGATAGTCTTCTTCTTGATCTTGAATAAAAGATAAAACTTTGCTCTCCAACCAAAACCCGGTGTCTTCCAAAACGGAGAGGTAAACTTTCCCTTCTGAGCAGAACTGTCCAACAACAACAGAGAGGCAACTAAGTCAGGGAACGGCTTTGGTGCCAGGAAGGGGGCGGGGACGGACGCACCCTGTGCTGGAGGTGGATGCTCAGGCGGCAGTGCAGGCTGAAGGCTTGCAGGGCAGCTGCTTCCGTGAAGTGCTCAGCTTTCCCGCCAGGGGACTGCAGAATCGATTCCAGATCCACCTGCAAAATAAAACGCCTGCGGCCACGTTCCCACAGACAAGCTGTGGCCACCCCGCGTGTGACGAGGCCGTTCGGCGCGGGCCGGGGGAGAGCACTGACAGCGGCTGCCCGAGGAGAGGCCGCGCCGCGGTGATTCCGCAGCACAGCAGAGCTTCCCGAGGGGCACGGCCTCTCGTCCTCGGCCCCCGCTGGGCCTCCCCACTGAGGGACAAGGGAACCACTGATCAGCTCTTGCCGAAAGAGCTCGAGGAACATGTTGAAGACTTCGCCCCTGGATAAACTCTGACCTGCCCCAGTGAGGGGCAAAGACGGCCCTGTCAGGACAGACCGACCAGCACAGAGAAGGGAGAGAAAGGCAGGCCCTGGGACTATGTCCCTCCTCACACGGGCAAGGTGGGGACCTCCCGCCTGGACTCCCCGACCACGCGCCTCCAAGGAGCAGTGCCGTGTCTCGTGGTGGTGACGTGGAGGGAGGGGACGTCCCTCTGGCATGTCACGGCAGGAAATGCCCCTTGTGCCGGGGGACACTCCCCCACTCTTCTAGAACCCACAGGCAGCCCTACCTCCTGCACCTGCTAGGCACCCGGGCCTCAGGCCCTCCTCTGCAAATGGAGGGAGGAGACTAGATGGCTCTCCACGCTTTGCCAGCGGGCAGAGCTTTCACGACGAAGGAAAAATTCAGACCTCACTTTGTCCCTCCTAAGGGACACATAAGGTCACTAACTCGGAGGGTGTCTCCATCTGCTCTACCGAGTTACCTTGGACATTTCAAGTGCTTTCAGAAGTTGGTTCAGCTTCTTCCGGGGAGCAGAGAGCAGGCACTCTCGGTTCTTCGGGTGGGTCAGCAAATACTCCACATAAACCAACCCCAGCTGGGGCTTTGCAGGGCGTGGGTCCTGGATCTGCACCTTCCGCTTAGATGCCGAGTTCGTCTGAGAGAAGGAAAGCAACAAACTGACACGTGTGTCCTGGGAAGGCGCCTTCCCTGACGCGGCCCCTCCCCGGCAGATTTAAAGACACGGGGCACGAGCACACCTTTCGCTGGGGTGGCCCTTCGGGCAGCCAGTCGCAGACGAGTTCCAAAATGTGCCCCACTTGTCCCCAGGAGCAGAGGCAGTCTAGCAGAGTGCAGTAGCTCCTGTCCGCAGCTCCTTCCTCTTGGTTTCTTAACGTGGAGATCACACTGCAGCTGAAAGGTCAAATACGCCAAGTCAGGCCCAACATTTATTTCATTACATCCTCCCACTTTCCTCAGAGGTGAGGGAGACAATGAAGCCAAGGACTGAGGGCACCAGCCCTTCCGGTCACAGGCCCTCCTCCACTGCCAGAGCAAATGCACCATCTCCCCACCGCCCCTTGATGGGCTAACCCCCAAACTGCTGAATCTGGAAGCGGCCTCGGAGCGCAAGCGTAAGCGCAGGCCAGAGCGCAGCAAGGAGCCGCTGACGATACGCCCACGGGAACCCTGCCTTTCACTCCCGAGCTCTCTCTGCAGCCTCCAGAGCATCCTAGCTGGGGGCATGCCGCTTGTTCAGAATTGAAATATTAATTTCACTATCTGCTCGAATAAAAATAAACAATTTTCCCTGCAGTAATAGCCAACACTCTAGGGCAACACTATCCAAAAAAAAAAAAAAACAAACAACGTGAGCCACAAAACACGCACAGCACAGCTCAGCCTGGGCGGCCACATGGCCGGCTCTGGCATCTGGGCATGTTGGGCTGGACAAGCGCCCTGCCCGCAGGCCCAGAGAGCTCTGGCCCCACACAGTCCCCCAGGATTCCCGGCAAACCCCATAGCCCAGGGGAAACGGCACCCTGCTGCCCCTGCCCAGCAGCGGCTGGGAGGTGGGCAGGACGGGCAGCTCCGCGCGCCTGGGCACGGCCGTGGAGGGGCTCCCGCCTCACTGCTGCCCCGCAGGGAGTACCTGAACGCTGGCACGGCGGAGGGCGGCATGAAGGACATCAGCATAAACAGAGGGGTCTTGCAGCGGTCATCCTAAAAGCACAAAAGGAAGACAGAACACCGTGACATTCTAAAACCCTCCCACATAACTTCCTGTTTTCCAGGTGGCTCAGCAGGAACCACGTACAGCAAGCAACCCTGGCCACACACGGTGGGAAAACCTGCGTCCACTGGAAACCTCACGCTTGGTAACTATTTTCCAAGTGCACAGCCCACTTCACCACTTGGGTGATGCATTAATTTGTGCAAATGTTTATTAACATGAATGTATACCTACTGTATACCAGGCATCAATCTAGAGCCTGGGGCTATATCAGTAACCAGGATACACAAGATTTCTTGCTGTCAAGGCTCTGACTTCTATTGTAAAAACAATACTGACAAAAGGAAAAAAATTATCTGCATATCCTTGGTATCCTAAACATAAAGCTCGAGAGACCAAAACTAGTCAGAGAAAACTCTTTAGAGTATCTTTAGGAAGACACGATGGTTTGATGGAAGATGTAGCAGGTATGGGAACTGCCTCACGACTCCAAGTCCAGTCAGAACCCACAAGCCCACAGGCGGGGACAGCGGTCTCCTCCCTGCAAAGCGGGGAAGGCCCTGGGAAGGGCGGTGCGCGGCGAGCCACACGAGGCCCTGTGCAGCGCCTTGGACGCCGAGACGCCGAGTGCTAGCGACACGCATGGCCGGCAGCGACACTGCCGCGTGCATTCCAACAGCAGGGCACCAGAAACCATCTCTGCTTGGTCGGAGAATGAGGGAAGGTAGGTCCTACTTAGAAAGAAACAATTTTCCTGAAAACTTACTTGAAACAGAGAGCAGCAACATCGAAACAGGATCTGCAAACATTTGCACTGGCTGAGAGCCCACCTCTCCCCCCAGTAAGGTTTTCTCAGCATCCGGAAGGCAGACTAAGCGCTCCCGCGGGCTCCGCCCCACGGCTGCCAGCCCATTCACAGGGCCGCTGCGGGCGGGGCTCTCCGGCCAGCATCACCGGCGGCTACAGGGGGAGTTCGCTGCCTCCGCGGCCTCCCAGGTGCCCCCAGCCACTCTGCTCTGCCCACCCACCCGGCGTCCCAGGGCGCCTGGGCTGGCCGCCGGAGGCTCTCGAGGCGAGGCTGCTTCTCGGCCCAGTGGGGCCACGTGAGCTCCAGGGCACGAGGCACTTGGCCAGCCTGGGCCCCTCCCCTCCCGGACCGGACAGCGTGCAGTTCAGAGGCAGAATGGAGCTCAGAGGCGTGTCAGGAACAGCAACGGCTCACGCAAGAGCCGAGTAAATTTTCCACGAGGAGATGGTTCCTAAGACCTATGGTCTTTCCTCATTTTGACTATGTTCTCTTTAATTGTGAAAAATTTGCATTTTTAACTTTATTTTTTTTAAATATGGATTTCCTTCAGAAGTGAAGGAATGAGAAGGCCTCCTTCATCTGAGCAGAGGTTGTTACTACATCCATGGTCCTCTTTGCCCTGAGAGCAGACACAGCTCGAATACTCCAGAAACACATTTGCTCACAGTGTGGCATCAAATGTGGAAAACTGCCCAGAGCTTGGGTGCTGCCGCACCTCCACATCCACGCGCTCCTCTTCCTCAGTTCCCGGCAGAACAAACTGGATTCCAGAACAGTGTCCCCGACCATCGGAGACAGAAAGAACAGGAGCTTGCCCCTGACCTCCCCGGGGTGCCCGGGGCATGGCACTGACAGGCACGCGGCCTCTGCCCCGAGAAGGGTGGGGGCCGACTCCCCTGCCAGGAAGAGTCGGCTCAGCCCCTCCTTTTCCAGACAGCGCAGGCGCGTGGGGCACCTCTGCCCCCTCTGCCCCAGTGTCCGACCCCTTCGCCTGCATCCAGACGTGCAGTCCTACCTGGAACACTTTCAGGTACTCGGGGAGCACACAGGCAAACTTGTCGATGGTGTAGAGCCGGGCCTCCTTGTTCCTCTCCATGCTCCTGTGGATGCTCTTCCAGAGGATCACGACGATCTCCAACAAGCCCGCCATGGACGCTGCATCGCTCACCGACAGGGTCTTGTCCAGAACCTAGGGTACAAACCACGTTACTGGGAAAGGCTCGCATCACCACAACTGCTATGGTAACAGCGCTCTATTTAAAAGCACTTCTCAGAATTCTAGACTTAAAGCAGAAATAAACAGAGTATCAGTCTATTTTCATGTCAGGGGTTTATTCTGTACGTGACAATCCTGAAGGGGCAAATCCACTTTTAAAAGCCCACCCAAGAAATAATACATTCTCAATCAACCCCATATCTTTTCCTTGTTTTCTTTCCTCAAAGATTTTATTTCTTTTTTCCTAGAGAGAGGGGCAGGGAGGTGGAGAACCATCAATATGAACGAGAACCAGCTGCCTCCTGTTCGCGCCCCAGCCAGGGACTGCACCTGCAACCCAGGCCTGCGCCCCGACCGGGAACTGAACCAGGGGTCTTTCTCTTTGCCGGACGACATTCAACTCACTGGGCCACATGGGTCAGGGCGACTATATCCTCTCAGTAAACAACTTACGTAAATTTAAACCCCCCTAAAAATCAAAACACTTAAATGATTGTCATCATTTAGGGACACAGCGCACTAGTTAGTAAAAAGCGTGCTTTTTCTTTTACTGTATCTTCTGACTGTTGAAGGATGTCAGTTCTCACCACAGATCTCGGCGTGAAAAGACTGGGGGCAGCGGAGAGGGGATGATAACCCTTGATTCACTCAGTGTGATCACTACTGAATCTCTCTTTCTAGCTTCCCCCTCTGCCCCGCATCTGTGGTCCTGACTGGGTCAGGGCACAGGCTGGTGAGGAGGTGGCTGCACAAGGCGGGAGGCCAAGGGCACACGCGTGAGCAGCACTCCCCTCCTGACATGTGGCTGGACGGCTGGAGACCCGGGGCCCTGCAAAGCCGCACGCGAGCCCTGTGCAACCAGTCAGCCTGGGCTGGAGGCGGTGCACACAGGGCGGAAGCAAGGCTGGAAGGACAGGTGCCAGGGCTTGCCCGGGGGCAGCGCACCGGGCTGCAGTTCGGCCAGAGCGCAAACAGTCTTTGGTGGGTTTCTTCCCAAGGCCAGTTCAAACCTTGCTCAGCGCCACGAGGCTACGCCAAGTTTTCACTCTGAATGCACGTAAGCACGCAAGTTTGATTACCAGCTGAAGAAAGTGCTTGCAGGTAGTAATTTTGTCTAAGCCTTAAACATTCTCCTCATATGCTGGGACTGGTCTCTTTGGATTCTGAAGAAACAGCAGCGCAACAATCCCTTTGATAAATTATTTTTTAAAAGAGAATTCTGAAGGAAACTCAGTCCCAGAACTTCAACCCAAAGATGTTTTTAGTGGAATCTTAGAGCAGAGGTTGAGTCCAACCACTTAACTAAAATACAGATAACGCCTAGAATCCAGTACAGGTATGCCACCTCCAGGTGGAATTAAAATATACAGAGAAACTTAAGGCAAAGAAAATTTGGGACATGATGTTACCAACAATAAATTTCTCCTGTATTAAATCCTACCCAAACTCCACAATGAACTACAAAGGACATGCAACAATTCTTTCAAAAACGTTACTATGATCCTCTAAAATAATTAAAATGTCAACACTAAAGGAACAAATAGGAAAAAAGTATTCCTAATGTTGGGTATGGGGATAATTCCCCCACTTCCCTTGATTTGTTAAGGCTGGACTAGCAGTAAGTCGACCTAAAACTACATTAACGAAAGAAAACCAGTGTGTGTGAATAAACGAGTCGCCCTAAGGTTGGGAGCTAATCAGTGAGAACCACAAAGTTGGGGCCTGGGTAAATTGGTAAACGGGTAACCTAGTCTCTTCATAAAGGCTTTTGGCCCTGGATTCCTTAACTCTAGCCGCTGTGGGGTCTCTGGGCCCCAAGACTCCCATCTGGGCCCGGGGACGGGAGGGTAGAGCGGCTCAGGGCACCTCACCGCGTGTCCCACTTACACTCACGTTCTCCTTCTCCCTCTCCTCCTCCTCCTCCTCCTCCTGGCACTCTCGGATTGCCTTCCGGATGCAGGCGTTTAAGCAATGGCGGATCACATGTATCAGCTTCGCTAAGTGTTCGAGATAATCAAGAGTTAATTTACATGTTTCTCCATCAAAATTGCCTTTGAATAGTAAAATTATAATCCCAAATAATTATAGGCACTATTGAAGGGAAGTCATTAGCAACACAGTCAAGCCAGGAGCCTCGAAGCGGCCCACACTGAGCACAGGCGCTGTGGGCCAGGCTGCGTGGGGCGCGCCGCCCGAGTGGGCGGGCGCCGCAAGCACGTACCTATGTTGGTGCAGGCCGTGTGCTCGTGGGCGTGCTGGTAGAACCTCCGGGCGGCGGCGTGGTTCATCTGCAGCAGCGTGACGCAGCGCTCACACCACACCTCCTCCGGCTGGTTCACAGGCAGGAAGGAGTTAAAGATGAGGCTCACCAGGCGCCGACAGACAGGCCTCGAATCCGATTCCAGACGAACCAAAATGTGCTCCATGGGGCATATTTTCCAAAACTGGGGAAGGCATGTGTGTAAGAGCCCGTCACTTGTTTTCGTAATCTTGAAAATATTTTAAGTAACATTTGCAGAACATAATAAAAAAGGAGCTTTTATACTCAAGAAGATCCATTTGGCAGTTACAAAAGAGTGTCGGGGGTGTGAAGTCCAGCACAGAGAGCAGAGTCCACGATACTGCAATAACCACAGGTCCCAGACTTACTGGGGTGGTTGCTCTTCAAGTTGTATAAATGTCTAACCACTATGCTGTACGCTTGAACTAATATAATACTGTATTCAACTATAATTAAAGGATTTTTGAAAATTTTAATGGAGCTGTATAACTTTGAAAAAAATTTCAAGTGATTATAGAACCTATGACACTTCCTCGGAGAAATTCAGTAAACAAGTCCCTGTTTTAAAAAGCACTGACATATAAGGTGCCTGAGTATAAGGCTGTTGAGAGGATTAATTATAATTAATTAGCATCGTGCCTGATGCAGAGCAAACTCAAATGAGGGCTGTGATTATCAGTCTAATCATCTGAAGTTTCCTAAATCGCCCTGACGGGTGTGGCTCAGTGGACTGAGTGTGGCCTGTGACCTGAAATGCCGCCCATTTAACTCCCAGTAGGGGCACAGACCTGGGTCGCGGGCCAGGAGCCCAGCTCAGGGTGTGCAAGAGGCAGCCGGTCAGGTATCTCTCACACTTTCCCCGCCCCCCAACTCTCCCTAAAAATAAATGAATACAACCCTTAAAGAGGTGTAAGCCGACGCCCCATTTCCTACCTGGGAGATACCCCCAGGGCCGCCAGACCGTCGCCACGGAGATACCACCGTGGGCCTGTGGAGGACCCTCTGGCACGGCCCCTCACCCTCCGCACCTGCCTGCCCCAGGACCAGCCGGCCTTCTCCAGCCCCGCTCTCAGCGGCTGCCAGGTAACTGCACAGACCGGAGGGGCCCGCTGCCCCTGGCTCGCGGGCCTCAGAGTGGTCCGCTCCCCCAGCAAAGGGCGAAGCTTCTGAGCAGGAAATTCAAGACATAAGGAAAATATCACAGAATAGGAAGGAAATAGATATTAACAGTGAAACGTACAAATCCTAACTCCAGCGCTTACCGTCTCGTAACCCTGTGCAAACACTCGTACCTGCAACAGTTTCTCACCTGCGCACGGGGGTGCCATCACGGTCACGTCTGTGCTCAAGGACCTGACCCAACCATCACCCCCGCTTCCCAGAACTTCCAACGACACCCTGGACGCCTGCCGCCTCCCAGACCCCGCCTCCACTCCTGGGCCTTCCGCGGCCCCCCGGGTCAGTCCTCCTGCCCGGGGCCTGCAGGGTGAGACAGGCTGTGGCCCCTGAGCCCGGCCCTGAATGCCTCACAGTGCAAGTGAAGGGAAAGGGTGACTCGTCCCTCCAACGCCGGCTGCAGGGGACCGCGAGCCGGCCCTCGCGCCGACCTGGGGGACAACCAGCCAGCCCGTCCTGGCGGCTGCCTCTCCACAGGCCCATCCGCCTCTGACCTGGACTTCCAAGAGCCAGTGTGTGTGCCCCTCGCCACCTCTGCAGAGGCTTCCCCTTCAGACTGCGCTCTGCCCTGCTGGCCGCTGCAGGGCTACGGTCAAGCCGGAAGGAGCACCTCATTAAGACAAAACCCAAACTCAGGGTGACAGGACTACTGTCTATCTTGCTGTCTCTTCTGTTCTCCTGGGAGACCCATTCATAAGGTGGGAACTACTGCCCTCTCTGTTTCCTCAGCAGCCACCACCTCCATAATCCTGTGCAAACAGATTTCCAGTTCAAACAACACTAAGCTAAAAGCCCCCTTTCCGATGCAGAACTGCAGTTTTAATAGGCTGTTAGAGCAAATTCAATCAAAGCTGCAGCCAGGTTTCTTATTGAAAGTGACGTGCTGACTCTAAGATGCACGTGGAAAAGCGAAGGACTGAAGCTGCCACAGGGCTCTGAGGGAAGAGGCACCACCAGCAGGGGCGCCAGGCAGAACGAGGCCGGCAACAGACCACACCGTCACGTGAACTGCAACAAAAGCACCAAGGTGGCAGGATGGGGATGGTAAGGGCATTCTCACTGTGCAGATCACACAAAATATACTTTTTTAAACATAAAAATACTCGCAGTTCGAAATTCGAAAAGCATGAAACAATACACACCAGATGCAGGGACGGGGTCTCCCCAGAAACCATCCCCAGACACCCGACCCGGCGCCCAGGCGGCGGCCGCTGACTTCCTGCCGTCTTCCAGGCGCACGTTAGGTGCCCCTGAGCAAACGCACACTGTGCGTTCCCGCTTTACACGGCACCTCCACTTGCTTTTACGCTTCCCCTCGGAGGCGTTTGACCCGGGCACGTTCCTTTCCACGGCCACATGGTCTCCGTTCACTGCACAAACGCACGCCAGGCCCTGCAGCTGACCCTACGCTGATGGACAGGGGAGCCTGTGCCCACACCCTGGGCTGTGAACGCCCTTCCGCGAGTAAACGCCAGGAAGCCATTGTACAAAGAGCCGTTTCCCCACCTTCGCAGCCCTCACGGCTTTGACCTTCAGCAGCATCTCCACAAAGGCCACGCGCACCTTCTCCGAGTTATCATGGAGGCTGTACTTCAGTGCTGGCAAAAGCTGCTCTAACAATGGGTGGCTTAATTTGTTATCCAAAATTATCGGCAGACACTGCAAGAAAAGAGAAAGGTAACACTTCAAAATCAGAACATAACCCAAAAAAATTCAAGTAAGAAAACATTCAGTTCCATCTGTACTAGAACTGCTGGTGAAATAAGTAAACACACCTGCAGAACCCAGCGCTTTTCTAAAACGGTTTTATATAAAAACATACTTCTAGTGACTTAGTATGGTTTCAAAGACTGACAAGCTTCACCCACTGTTTCACTCAGACGAGACAAAAGCAGCTATAAAATAATTTTTAGAGTGGAAAGAAACACAGAACCACTGCTGGTGGAGTGGGCTCCAAAGCCAGCGGTGTCCAAAGCGAAGGCCCAAAGGTCCCTCATCTGGGGCAGCAGCCGCAGCACCAGCCGCAGCACGTGTTCCCTGCGCCTCCTGACTTCGTCCTCCATGAAAACCAGAGGGCAGCCCGTCTGCTAGATGCGCACCCTCGGCTGCACCCGCACTCCCCAAAGGACGGCCCAGGGACCCGCCCAAGCTCAGTCCGGGCATCGACGCGTCGAAAGACTGATACACCCTACTACCTTCTCTTTCCAGTTGTTAGGAAAAAGGTTTCTTTTTCTTATTTTAAAAGATACCTGTATTTTAAAGCTTATATGTAAACATTTACAGATGAGATGATACAATGTCTGGGATTTGCTTCAAAGTAACTGTGGGAGACAAAGGACCGGGCTACAGAGGAAGTAAGAATGGATGTGTCCTGATAACCAGAGACTAGACAAGAGAAGGAGAGCTGTGAAGATTCTTATTAAAAGTACATACAGTAATATAAAAAAACTCAACTTTAATGCCTAACGACTTGAAAATTTTAGTACATCCAGGTCCTATTCTAAAATGCTGTGCCCACCCTACACACACACTGAAGACTATTTCAAGTAGCAATTTTTGTGGAAAACATTTTTTAAAAGATTTACTTATTTTTAGGGAGAGGGGAAGGGAGGGAGAAAGACAGGGAGAGAAACAAGGATGTGCAAGAGAAACGTGGATCAGTTGCCCCCTGGCCTGCAACCCAGGCCTGTGTCCCGACTAGACTGAACCAGCAGCCCGTGATTTTGCGGGACGATGCCCAACCCACTGAACCACATTGGCCAGGGCTGTAGAAAACACTTTTAATTTGGTTTGTAAAACCTTATTTTGTTCATACAACGAAAACGTCAACAGTGTTATACCTATACAGGATTATGGGTGACTTTTAAGTTTTTCTTTCTCTGTATTTTCTGTGTATGTAACTTAAAACCTTACCTTAAAGACAGAACAGCGCACGTCAGCCGAGCTGGTGTCGAATGCCAGCTCCCCAGTCACCTTCTTGAGGAGATCAATAAGGATGGTTGGAGGCATCATTTCCCAGTATCTGGAAGTTATTTTGCAAACACCGAGTATCCCTGCGGAACGGACCATTGGATAAGGGTCTTCTAAAAGGCTCTGTAAGTAGGAAGTGGGGAAAGGCTTAAAAATCCTGAATTAGTTCCCTTTATATCAGTACCTGTTTTACACATCAGCACCCTGGACGTTTACCACTTAACAGGTGTTTCACGTGACACACACTCCGGGCACACACAGATTCCGGAATGCTCCTGTGCCATCCCCACAGCTGAGTGCTGTAAGGGGCCACCCAGACCCGTGCGGTGCCTGGCTCACTGACCCCGCCCGCAGGACTTGACCAACGGCAGGGCCGTCAAGGCCAGCTCACTGTTTGGGGGACTGAGCAGAGAAGCTCTGTTGAGAAAGATCCTCAACACCCCAAGAAATAAATGTCGCACTCTAATGTCCTAACGTCTCATTTGAAAAATCAGTCACCTGAAGGAACAACTGCATCGGGTATTATCCGAGGCCTGCCTTACCCCAGTCTTGTTCGTGCATATGACCCCCAACCCTACAGTAGGCAGCATCGCTCTCCTCCGGCACAGGTGGGGGTCAGAGAGGCACACTGCCCTGAGGCGCACAGCTCTGAAGTGAGAGGGGGACTAACACCCGGGGGGGCCGAACCTCTGCATATACTACCTCTGCTGGGGAGACAAGAACACACATAAACACTGACAACTATGTGAAGTAATAAATAGTCAGCTAGATGTTCCCAAGGAGGTGCAGAGGAAGGGAAAAGGACACTACGGGCCCCCAATGTCACGGATGGCACTGGGGAGAGAATGGATTTCCTTGAAGAATGTCAACATCTAAGACACTTGCCACCTCGGGGCCAGGGCAGATACGGGGGGACCGGGAGAGACAGGGCTGAAGTTATAAGGAGCTCAACTACGTGCACACGTACATAGAGTTCTTCAAATTGTTTCTGAATTTCACTATCCATTTCGATAGCGTTGAAGTTTGGGTCCCGAATAGGAAAGGCTTCGACGAACAACAGCGCAGCATTGGAGCGAACTTCAGAGTTCCTGGCCTGGAGCAATGAAAGAAGACTGTCTCAGGACCCAGAGAGACGACATTCGAAGGTGTCAAGTGCACTGTTCCTGGAGCGCAGCTCCCGGCATCTCAGCACAGACTGACTTATGAATTAAAGACAACGGCAACATTTAAACAGACCCCATGACAAAACTTTCCTTAGCTTTAGCCAAACTCAGCTCAGTGCCAACAGACATAAAAAGACTCTTTGCTTGTTCAAATCCCACCTTGTGTCATTAAGACACAGGGGCCCCCTCCCCAATCACAGCCGGGGGCACGGGGGGACCAGGACACAGAGCCCAGCCCTGCAGACCCTACCCCCCTGCTGGTTACCCAGCACGACCCCTCCCTTTCCCACCTGGAGTCGGCACTACACCGACTCAGACTCCGGTTTAATGGGCCCGAGAAACGCTTCTAATAGAAGAGTAAGACATTCATCCCAAAATTTCACCAAGCCCCCCACCTCCAGCCCTGTCTTTGCTGCCCCGTTACGATTCAGGTGTCGAGTCCCTAGACTCCCAAGTGAAAGCAGCACGTGCACGCTGGAGGCCACTGAGCAGGCTCACCTTCAGCCCTCTCCACAGGATGGGCTTGTACAGCCTGTACAGCATCTCTTCCACTCCCTGCCGAACTCTCTTTTGTTGGTGAAAATAACTCAGCACCTAGAGCCCAGAAAAGAAGAAAACAAAGGGAATGTTTGGTAAATAAGCATCTCAGATCCTGTTTGGAAAAACCAGCAGAGTGTGGGCTCTCTCCACCAGGACAGGCACCCCCGCCTGACAACTCTTCCCCGGGGACGGTGAGGCAGAGACACGGAAGCACCCGCACGGCGGGGGACGTGGGGGAGCCTGCAGCACACGTGAAGGTCGATGCCCCACCAGCAGCCGGATGACCTCATGATCTTCAGGGTGGAATGGAAAAGGAGTCAAGCTAAGTGGCTTCCACAGCCCGTCCTGGTCCTTGCTTGAGCTGGCTACGCCTCTGCTTGGGTCTTAGGGAGACAATGGACACCCCAACAAGACGCACGCGGGACAGTCCCAGGCAGGGCTCCCCAGCTGGAGCCGAGCGCCGCCCGAGCCAGCGACCGGCCAGAAACGGGCTGCTCTTCTGTCCCTCCGGTCTCCTCTCCTCCCTTCTCTTCCAGCCGCTCGTCGCAGACGCTGACCCCCAGCAGTCAGGCCTGCCTCACTTCCTTAACGCCCGGCTCTAGGGGCTAGGCTGGCATCGGTAAAAAGTGGAAACTAAAGAAAATTAAACAGGCTGTCAGACAGCAGCCTACACTTTAAGTGAGCTTGAGTCAACTTCACCCTAAAGGAACTACAGTCTGAGGATTACTTTTCTGAATATTCATCTTTATTTGGGAGTATTTACTGATGGTGATAAGTGATATGAGTCTACAGGGTTTTTTTGTGCATAACATTAGCAAGTTTTGGCATCAGGATACACTTGATTGATAGGAACTTTTTTTTTCATCCCACCCAAGGACATTTTCTTCATTGCTCTTTAGAGAGAGAGGAAGGAAGAAAGCAAAGAAGAGAGGGAAACATTGAGTGGCTGCCTCTTATTCGCTCCCAGACTGGGGACCAAACCCGCAAGGGCCCTTCCCTGGAACTGAAACCTCAGCCTTTCGGTTACAGGACAGCGCTCCAAGGACTGAGCCGCAAGGGCGAGGGCCCTGCAGATACTTTTCCACTGTTTTATTGAGGTAATTCGCATACCATAAAAGCCATTCTTTTAAAGTGTACATATCAGTGGGTTTTAGTATATTCACAGAGTTGTACGACCATTACTATCGTCTCATCTTAGAAGATTTTCATCGATATGGGGGTTTTTACTTTCAAATGACTTCTGAAGCATTTCCTGAAGTTTCTTTCAATATATCAGTAGAATGACTTATCATATAATGTTTATCCAAAAAAGGAAGTGAGGAAGAAACTGTGTGTTACAAGTAGCAAGAACAGTTACTGAAGAGTCCAGGAATGCATTTCATTTGAAAGTACAACCTAATATCCTTCCTTTTAATGCTGTGCATTTCTTTGCCTGGCGGGTAGCTCAGCTGGTCAGAGCATCGTCCCATACACCACGAGGCTGTGGGGCAGATCCCCGGGTTAGGGCACACACCTAGGTTGTGAGGTTGACCCCAGGTCAGAGCACATATGGGAGGCAACCATCAACGTTTTTCTCTTTCTCTCTCAAATCAATAAACATATCCTCAGATGAAGACTAAAAAAAATAATAATAATAATAATTCTGTGCATTTTTCCACAACTTTACCAGTGATATCGACACTTCCACTATCTTAATTACTCAGACACCACAGCAGAAAAACAGGGCATGAAAAAGCCTCTACTCCCGGGGTGCTGAGAGCGAAGCGCCTATGCCATGGGTCCGCGCCGGACTAAACAGAACCGGCAACACCAAACCGCACGCCGGGCCTGCCACTCGAGGGAGCCGCACTGGGGGCGAGGGGGTGGGGGTGGGGGCAGGGCTGCTGGTCTCCGGGCTCTTTATCTTTGGATGACTCGACCCGAATCACCAATAACACACAGAAACGTTTTCTTATCCAGTCAAACTTTATATAATGACTACATTCACATTATACAAACAGCTACAATTTCACTATTCAAAAACGTAAAGAGGTAGCCTTTGCCCACTTGGCTTCTTGACACTCAGCTGCCAAAAGCAACAGCTGGTCCCCACACCAGAGAGGCCTTTCCCGTGGCCCTGGCTGAGTCCCGGGGTCACCAGACTCCGGCAGCGCAACACACGCCTTCCTTGGACCACTTACCATGGAAGGACAGAGTTCAGATTTGAAGTCTGAGATGACCTTTAAAAAACTAAATCTTACCAAGAGAAACTAACAAAACATTATTCCATTTGGTTGGCAGAATACCAAAATGGAAATTTAACATATGAAAATGAAAAATAAAAATACTCTCAACTATCATCTTTTTTGGAAAAAAGTGACGGTGGCAGTTGGGAAGCAGTGATTCTGGGCGTTTCTCCGCCACAGAGCCTGAAGGAAGGTGGTCGGAGTGGGGGTCCGACGCCGGAACAGCACCCCGCTGCCCTACTTACCGCTCGGGCAGCAGGACGCGGCGGCCAGGCTCCGATCTCAGGGGTCTGGGAACCCGGAGAGCTGCTGCCCCCGGAGGCTTAGCCTCACCTTCACACTGAACAAAACCAATGATCTAAAAACAAGAAAGACAAGACGCACGCGAAAGAGGCGCAGCAAGTGCTGAGGGCCCGGCTCACCTCGCGCACTTTGCTGTGCACCGGCGACCTCCGTGGCAGGTGGATCCCGTGGTACATCAGGTCCTGGATGCAGTCGCTTTCGATTGTCTGCAAGAGCAAGAGCGATGCGGTCACACCGGGCCGGCGGGCGGGCGTCCCACGGGCGGGTGGGCGGGCGGCGGGCGAGCACGAGGCGTCTCATCTGCGCCCCTTGCCGTCTCCAGCCCTCGGAGCCTCGGTGCTTCAGGCGCACACCTCTCTCTGAGTTTCCCCAGGGGGCACACTGAGCCTCCCCTATCTTATTTGATGAGAAACTAACCTGTGACAAATGGCAGCCTCAGCCAGCAGGGCCCAGAGACCGAGTGAGGCTGGGGCCCTCGTCTGCTGCACCCTCAGAGCCTCCCGGAACTACACTGACCCCTCTGGGGTGGGACCCAGGGTTCCCAACCGACTGAAACAAGGTCTTTTGGGGCTGCAGGGCAGGGCGCGGTGCGGGGAGCACGGGCCCCGAGGCCCTCCAGTGGGGCGGCTGAGGCAGGGCCAGCCGCCGGGCGCAGCGCAAAGCCCCAGGGAACGACCTGGTCTGCACATCCAGACGCCATGGCTTTAGTAAACATACAGGAAAATTTCCTACTAATCTTAACCTCTTTGCCATTATCTTTGAAAATATTTCCTCGCCTGAAGCCACTAGCGAATCCCAGCACGGCCACACGTGGGGAACCACACACTGCCAGATGTGCGAGGAACTAGATTTGCGGCACCACCTACCGGGGACCTGTGCCACAAGCTGAGCCTTCGGAGCCAACGACCAGAATATGGGCCTAACTACAGAACGTGGGCGACTGAGGGGGCGCGGGACGCCCTCGACACCCTGGCGGCGTGGGCTCCCAAGGGGAGGGGGGCGAGCGCTGTCAGTGCGAACTGACACAGCCCTTGCTGCTGGGGGATGCGCTGGATCCCGCGTCCAAAAAACTACAAAAAGACATATTTGAAACAAAGCTGAGGAATACGTAAACATGGCTTAATTATTTGTTAAAATACTCTGCGACTGTTCGATCTGCTGTGGCCGGCGTGGACAGGCACATGCAGGGCAGGGACCTGCGCGGCCTGGCTGCACCCGGCTTCACAAGCTTGCGGGCAGAATGCACAGCGGGGGCTGAAGGCAGCCGTCGCTGGGGCTGGTGGGGCACCGAGCTCGTCGGACAAGGAGGTTCTGAGAGACGGGTTTCTGTCCTTTAACCCACTACTGGAGGGAAGGGGGGTGACTGTTCCTGCCTGTGAACAAGTTCCATTCCGTGATAAAACAATGCAAAACATGCATAACGAGGCCCCCACAGTCACACACTATAAATCTCTTGTAGAAGCTGAGTCTTTTGTTTCCTAGAAGGAGAAGCCAGAGACAAACCCTGGTAACACAAACCCAGCGTAAGTGAGGCAGGAGAGCAGGGCAGAACCAACTCCAAGTCTCCCGTGCCCTCCCCCACAGCCTGCAACCATGCCCACCCCCCCCAAAATCAGGGCACATTCCCCAAAAGGAAAGACCCCTTTCTGACTAAAAGTAAAAATTTCACTCTCAGAAGTGAAAACACAACTGAGACCCAGGATGAGAAAAATGGAAGGGACATCAAAGACACTTTCTTTTGATTTTTTCCAGAACGACCTTTGAATACAGAATTGTGATTGTGAATTACGGAGCCATATCTTCATGATACAGGTATTGTGTCGTCATTAAAATTTAGCCACATTCACCTTGAGTACCTTTAAATTCTCAAAAGCAATGTAACCAAAAAAGCAACCCCAGGTCTCCGGGCAGCACTGTCCAATAGAGAGGGGTGAGCCACAAATGCCAGTTTTAGTTTTCAAGTGGCCACAAGAAACACAGAAAAAAGAAACAGGTACAATTATTTTAACGATATGTTTTGTTTAACCCGATATGGCCAAAACACTGCCAATATGGACAGAGTGCAACAGCACAGGTTTTGAATCACTCTTCCACGACTGCTGAGGAGAATACAGTAAGTGTTAACATTTAATAAAATGGAAATACCTCCAATATTTTCCCGGAAGCCTTTCTCCAAGCTCTGAAATAAACTTCTGCAATGTGCACCATCAAAGACCTATTTAAAAAAAAATGTTTTTGAATTTAATGCAAAGAATTATACTCCTGACGTTTCTCATTTCAAGGACCCTCCTACCCCCGGGAAGCAGCAGCTCAGCTGAGAGGAGAGCTTTGCGAAGCGCCTGTGGAGACCTGTTAGCCACTTACAGCAGCAGGGAGGCAAAGGAGCGTTTTGAGGAGGGGAATTGAGGCATCAAACTGTTTCTCCCGTGTCCGTCCAGGCTTCCCCAGACCTTCACTATGAGACTGTGTGAAGCTATGAGAACATAAGCCTAGAACGAAATTCTTAAGTAAAAAAATATTTTAAAACTTTGCAGGTGACTAATTCTCGAAAGAACGGGAGTTGACTGTAGAATCACAGTTAGGACCCTACGGGTCCAGCCCAAACGCCCCGCGAATGAGGACACAGGACACATCCCGGGGACCAGCAGGGGCTCTGTCATCAGAGACTCAGCACCAATCCCGACTTGGGCCCCCACAGCTGCCGGAGGAGGGAAATTCAGCAGCAGGCCCACCTCGAGAGGCTGAGGATTCCATTTAAAATGCAGACTCAGCCCTGGCTGGTGGGGCTCCGGGGACTGAGCACCGGCCTGCGAACCAGAGGGAGTCCCAGGCAGGGCACAGCCCGGGTGGCAGGCCAGGCCCCCAGCAGGGGGCGCGGGAGAGGCAACCACACAGTGGTGTTTCTCTCCCTCTCTTTCTCCCTCCCTTTCCCTCTCAAAAAATAAATAAAATCTAAACTTAAAACAAGTGAAAACATTTATAATGTGGACTCAGCGCCCGGCCCCGGGGTGGATTCAGCACGGGCCCCCCAGCCGGCCGACAGCAAACGCCCCCAAAGCGCCCAGCTCCACGTGGGGCCGAGGGGCGGGCGCACCCCCTGTGCTCTCCCTGCCGGGCTTTCCCACCCACCCCAGGCTCAGTGCACAGCTAATGGGGAGTAAACGGCATGTGCCGATGGCAGCAGACGTGCCAGCGAGATGGGCTTCGCTGTGACTGAGGCTCACATTTAACCGGTGCATAATTCAACCACTTAAAGAGCTACCACAAATCAACATCTTAACCTTAATGTCATTACTGAGAAAGAATGATTTCCTATACAGGGAAAAAAATATCCAGTTATAAAACAGACCATAATAAATGACATGAGGCAATTTCTAAAGCTTCTGAAAGACTAATATAACTTTTCAAAGTCAGGTCAAATAGCATCTTTCAATGCCAGGTTAAGACAGCACAAAGTATGAGATTTACTACTTACTTCTGTTATTTGCAGATGACATGATAGTGTACACAGAAAACCCTATAGGCTCCACTAAAAAACTACTTGACCCAATAAATGAATTCAGCAAAGTAGCAGGATACAAAGTCAATATTCAGAAATAGCATTTTTACACACCAATAATGAACTACCAGAAAGAGAAACTAGGGAAAAAGTCCCATTTACTTCTGCAACAAGAAAAATAAAGTACCTAACAAATTTAACCAAGGACGTAAAAGGCCTGTACTCAGAAAACCACAGGGCATTGAAGAAAGAAACTGAGGACGATGCAAATACACAGAAGCCTATACCATGTTCCCGGGCGGGAAGACTCAACATCATGAAGACGTCTGTGCTGCCAAAGCCGTCTACAGATTCGGTGCAATCTCTATTAGAATACCAGCGGCATATTCCCCAGATCTAGAACACATATTTCAAAACTTTATATGGAACCAAAAAAGACTGCAAATAGCCTCAGCAATCTTGAGAAAGAAGAACAAAGTAGGAGGGCTCACAATACCTGATAAGAGACTATACTTCAGGGTCACTGTAATCAAAACCGCCTGGTACTGGCATAGGAACACACACACACACGGACCAATGGAACAGAACAGAGAGCCCAGAAATAAACCCGCATCTTTACGGTCAGTTAGTATCTGATCAAGGGGGCACGGGCCTACAGCAGAGGAAAGACAGCCTCTTCCACAAATGGTGTTGGCAGAACCGGAGTGGTAGATGCAAAAAAATGAAACTAGACCATCAATTCACACCATACACCAGCATAATCTCAAAATGGATAAAAGACTGAAATGTAAGTCGTGACACCATAAAAACCCTAGAGAAAAGCATAGGTAGTAAAATTTCAGATATCTCGCATAGCAATATTTTTGCCAATATATCTCTTAGGGCAAAGAAAATCAAGGAAAAATACACAAAACAGGACTACGTCAAAGGCAAAAGCTTCAGCAGAGCTAAAGAAAATATCATCAAAACAAAAAGGGAGCCCACTGTATGGGAGAAGATGTTCGCCAATGATACATCGGACAAGGAGGGAACCAGAGGGCCCACAGACACATGGAAGGAGGCTCAGCATCACGGGCCATCAGAGACGCAAATCAAAGCGACAGAGAGATGTCACCTCTCGCCAGCCAGCATGGCCATCGTCAACAAATCAACAAACAAGTGCTGGGGAGGATGGGGAGAAAAGGGAACCCTCGCGCCCTGCTGGGGGGAGTGCAGACGGGTGCAGCCCCCGTGGAAAACAGTACGGAGTTTCCTCAAAAAACTAAGAATGGAACTGCCTTTGGCTCAGTGATTCCACTGCTGGGAATGTATCCCAAGAACCCCGAAACACCAGTTCAAAAGAACCTACACACCCCAACGTTCATAGCAGTGCTATTTACAGTCGCCAAGTGCTGGAAACGGCCTAAGTGCCCATCAGCAGAGGAGCGGATTAAAAAACTGCGGTGCGGCCCTGGCTGGTGGGACTCAGTGGACCGAGCGCCGGCCTGCGAACTGAAAGGGCGCCAGTTCGATTCCCAGTCAGGGCACCTGCCTGGGTTGCGGGCCAGGTTCCCAGTTGGGGGCGTGTGAGGGGCAACTGGACAATGTATCTCTCACACATCGATGCTTCTCTCCCTCTCTTCCTCCCTCCCTTATCCTCTCTAAAAATAAATGAGTAAAATCTTTAAAAAGTCAAACAAACTGTGGTACATTTATACGATGGACTACTACTCAGCAGAAAGAAGGAACGTCTACCCTTCATGGCAGCAAGGACGGCACTGGAGAGCATTATGCTCGGTGAAATGAGCCAGGGGGTGAAGACAAATACCACATGACCTCACCTATAAGGGGAATCTAATGAACAAAATAAACTCACGGTCAAAGCAGAATCAGAGGCACAGAAACAAGGAACAGACTGACAGCTCTAAGAACAGGAGGGGGAGGATGGGCTGGTTGAAGGGAGGCGAAGGGACCAGACCCGGAACATGTGCATGACCCATGGGCAGGGACAGAGGTGTGGGGACTGAGGGACGGGGGGGCTGGAGGAGGGAGGCAGAGGGAGCACACTGGACGAGTGTGATGCATGAACAACACAAAGCCTTTTTTTAAAAACCTAAAAAAATTACTTACTTCTGTAATCCCTGTAACTGGTTTTTAATGGTCCCATGGATCATTTTAATGAAATTTGTATTCCAGTTAAAGAGAGAACTAAGAAATCTTCTTCCCTACAAATTAAGAGAACAGGATAGATTGGTAAAATTGAAACCAAATAAAAAGTAAGTAAACAACAAACAGTTCTTTGGATTGGGAAGCACACTTAGAATCTACAGGCTGGAGCTGCGCCGGGGCGGGTGGCTCCCCCCGGTGGGGGCAGAAGGGAGGCCCCGCAGGGACGGTGGGTCAGCAGGACAAGGGCGGGGACAGCAGGCACACGGAGCCCCTCCCTCGCTCCACCACAGGCAGTGCCCACACTGCCCTGCAGGTGAGCCAGACGGTCCGTGCTCCTTCCCGCTGGCTGTCACGGACGTCTACACAACCTAAAACAGAATGTTTGGATCTCGTGTTTTGGCATGGGAATGGAATTAAGCATTAATTCGTTTCATCTTTAATAAATGAGAAAACTGAGGACTTGTAAATTTAAGAGGCTAAGCAGTTGCCAAGCTAGAATTCCCAAATGCATACAGTCCCCAGGTACAAATGGCACAGCCCAGTACCATGTACTGTTAATTAACGTGCGTGCAAACAGGGGTTACACATACGGACCCCAAAAGCGCCCATTTGCCCTCTGCAGAGGGCATAACACAGCCCCCAAGACGCTCCCTGGGGAGCAGCACCTGCCCACTGCCTCCCCGCACACGGGCTGGGACACCTCGGAGATGCAGCATACACTCCCACGAACGGCAGGAGACCCACGTGTGCACCAGGCTCCTTTTAAAACATTCGTATTTACTGGAAATATCAATAACTTGTTAGTAGAGTACAAGCTATTTTCGTTTACCCAAAATGACAGGAAACTGACCCAACCAAATTAATGACTAACTAGGAAACTAAGCTTAGATCCCGTAAATACAAAAGGGCGCGTCAGTGAAACAGAGCTGTGACCCTCACAGGTGCGCGTTTCTTTACGTCTGTGCCACACACTTGCACACACACTTACGTGAGACGAAGGCACTTCACCAGCTGCTATGTATAAGCCAATGCAAACAAGGTTCACGTGCCTGAATCCACTCCTTCCTCCTTTCTCCCCCCACATTTCCTAACAATCCTGGAGATTAAGGCGCAAGCCACATGCCCAGCGTCCTTTTACAGGATGACACGTGACAACGGCAATAAGCCCCATCAGAGCACTTCCTGAGGGCTCAGTGCCCGCCGGACCCTGCATAGAGTTTCTCCAGCCTCGCCCCGCGCTCCTCAGAGCGGCTGAAGAAACGCTGAGGCTGAAGGTGGTCCTATTGAGGCCGGCCCTCAGAAAGGGCCCGGACAGGGATGTGAACTCAGCCTGAGCACGAAGACAAAGGTCTTGGTCAGTACAGCCAAGACTCACGCAGGGCCCTTGCCCCTGGCGGGCCGGGATGTGCGCTGTGGTGAGGGGCAGACCACGGACCAGCTGCGAGGCCTCGGGCAGCTTCTCCAGGTAGGAGCTTCCGAACTCGGGTTCGGACGGAGCCCCTCCCTGCCCTCCGCCTCCCATGTGCATCTGCCAGGCCATGGGCACCCCCATGGAGGCTGCGCTCTGCATATGAGCAGGTCTTTGCACCCCAGCACGGGAACCCAGTCAAGGCTCAACAAACAGCTCCAGAAAGACCTAAGACAGCACATCAGTACCGTCCAGAACGGTATAAGCCACTCTAATTTCAATTCTCCAGTAGCCACATTAATAAACGTGAAAGAGAATCAATTAATTTTAATATATTCATGTAAACCAATATATCCAAAATACTATCACTTAAATATATATTAAATTATTCATGAAACATTTTGCATTTTTTTTTTTGAGAAAGTATGTGTGTTTTTGTAAAACTTCACCTTGCAGTTTCCTAGGACCCTAATTATTTTTCCTTCTTAATTGAAACCCACACCCAAAGAGCCAGTCGCCTCCGAGCCTTTTCTGTGTCCCCTTAGTGTGCTACCCAACATGCTGGTCTGGACGAGTGACTCAACCAGCCAGGAGGGACGGCACCCAGAAGAAGGGCCAGCAGGCCCTACCCCAGCCTCCTTCCTCCTGCTCCGAGGTTCAGGCTGGAGCCCCAGGGCTGCTGTGACCCAAGCCTGGGCCAGGAGACCAGCAGATGGGCCACCCAGCTGTTCAGCACGGGCACACACGGCCACGCAGCTGTGGCCCTCGGTCCGGGAGCCCACACGGCAGGAAGAGCCAGCATGTCGCACACACGTTTCAATCAGAGCGTCTCACAGAAGCTGAGTGTCCCCCACCCACACCCCTTAAAAACACCATTCTGAGATGACGTCTGGGGCTCGCTCCAGCAATCCCAGTCGGGGGGGAGGTAGGAATAGAGAGGAAACAAAACTGGCCACGTGTTGGTGTAATTCACACTCAGTTTTGAATCCCTGTGTACTTTACACTCAAGGCCACGGTGTACGTGGCCACGTTTCCTGCGCTCAGCAGCCACGCTGTCCAAAACGGACAGAGCAGCTGAGGACAGAGCTTCTCTCAGGACCTACTGGATGCGCAGAAAAAGGGAATCAAGGACGCTTGACGGCAGCTGAGAGCCCATGCCAATCAACCTGGAGTTAGGACAGAGGGTCCGACCTCGTCTGTGGTGAATTGCTTCCTCAACCTTATTTTTAACCGTCCTTAATTTAAAATGCAGTCACTGTTCCCCCAGGATTGGCACCGCCCCCCACCACCATCTGATTCCACGGAATAAGCAATGACTTGTAAAATGTTTACTCAGTACTGCCACGCAGTAAAAATATCATGCAATAAATATAACAGCCTTCCATAGCGAAGCATAGTATGAACAGCAAGCACGTGAACTTAGAAAAAAATCCATGAAAAAGCAGCTCGCAAACATACCAAAAAAGAAAACCCTATTTACCTCTTCTTTCTTGATATAATTAACACTTATGAAGCACTCCAGCAGCATACTTTTAATTTCCCTACTTTCCTCCAACTCATAATCAAAGCAATATAAAGCTTGATGAATGTGCCAAAGCCGACTTATGTCTGCGCCCTAGGAATGAAAAACAGAAATGTTAGTTTTCTATAAATAGTATGGTCAAACATTCACATTAACTCTAAGAATATTTTATATCATGAATAATTATAATTCTAGGTTATCTATCAAAAAGGAAGAATGACAAGAGAAAACAGACTTAAAACTGTGCAAATGTCACTTGCACCTCTAGGGAGCCCTCTCTTCAAGCAGGCGGAAGCGCCTGCGGCACTGCCACCAGGCCGCCCGGCAGGCGCCACGCAGAGGGGAGGCCTGGGCCTGCGCCGCCCGGTGCCACGGCCGCCAGCCTGTCGGCTGCGCAGCAGCCGAGGTGTGACTCCCACACGTATGAGGAAAGCCGCCGGGGTCGGGCCACACACAAGGACATGGCTCCTAGCCGGTGTGAAACGCCCACTCGCGCAGCCGAGGGCATGTTGAACGCACACACGCACCGTTTTTGTCTGGAGGCTCTTCCGCAGCAGCAGGGTGAACGCGGTCTTCCCCATGTCCTCCTTGGCCGGCAGGCCCCTCTCCCACCACGTGACGCACAGGCCCTGGATGGAGCGCTGCAGCTTCCGCTCCGATTCTGGCAGCGCGTACAGGACGCCTAGGAGAGAGCCCAGTCACTCTCCCACGGGTCAGGGGAACCAGCGCCGATTCGGACTCGACACCGCGGGGCAGCGGTTTCAACCCTCTCAGCCCATGGCACGTTAAACTAATCACTGAAATTCTGCGACACACCAAAAAATATATTTTTGCCAATCTGACAAAAAGTTGTAATTTTCGTTCATTCACATCAGACGGCTATTGGTATATTGACCCTTGTCATTTTTCAATTGGACAGTCTAAGGGCAGAGGCCAGTACCCCGGACTAGATAGTCAGGTACTGAATGTTTTAAAGATGCTTGCAGCACAGCAGCTGACAACTGCTGGTCTAAGCACTACGACTTAAAAAGGTTTGCTAAGGAACAGTGTATGTTCAACCTGCCAAAACTTTATATACGTTATTTACAGGATACAAACGATGGTCACTGAAAGACTGTTCCACTCCTGTTACAAAAGCAGGATTTTCGAACGGGAGGACAGAGCAGGACTGCTGCCCAAACCCCTAACTCAGGGGCAGAGGCTGAGGGGCCCAAAGGCCAGGGCGCTCGCACCACGCGGCCACTCTCTGCCGCGCCAGGCCAGGCCTGCTGACCGCGCAGCCGCCGCAGCCACCCCGCAGTGTGTGGCCTCGGGTTCTGGATCATCGGTGAAATATAGTCAAAGCAACTGCTATAATGAATGCAAAAACTCCAGTGCTTTTATTAACAGAAAAGCTTAATAATTAAAATACTAATAATGCGCCCATAATTATGCCATCACACTAAAGTAAAATTCCGGAATCCGTGCAAAGTTGGAAACTGCAGTGTCAGCAGTGATCATTTTACCAAACGGCTACTTGGAGCAGGTACAGTCAGGCACATCCACGAAAAAGTGGCCTCGGGGGCCACTTTTACTCGGACCAGGGATTACTTCTCAAAAGCGCAATTTCCGTGCAAGAACTCTGAGGACAGCGGCGCACGGCCCGGGAGACGCCGCGGGGGGCCTGGGCGAGGGGCGCGCCGCGCAGCCGTCTGTCACGCAGGAGCAGGGAGGGTCCATGGGAGGTTCTTCTTAAAAATCATCACTTAAAACTACTTTTGTATCTATAAAATAACTTCATACAATGTTTTACAATCGCATCCCCTCGTTAATTCGGTCTAGGGTCCCCCCTAAATTAACGACCACAGTCTCACAGGTTAAACTCGAAGGTTTAGGTCAGAAAACCTCCTGAGTCGACCATCACTCCTACGGTGGTCACAGCACATTTAAAGGAAAAGGTTCCGTGTCACAAATGCTTGGTTGAATTCAAACTTTCTGGAAGAATCGCCAGCTGAGAAATTCACCCTTAATAAGCTCTAACCCGTGGTCTGGTGGTCACGTGCGGCACCCCGGGGAGCCCGCACCGACAGGGCTCGGCTGTCCGTGGTGCGCACCTGCGCCACCTGACCTGCGCCCACGCCATGGACTGAGCCAGTGACTCCGAGCGGCCCTCGGACGCGGGCTCCCCGGCCCCCGGCGGCCCCCGCAGGAGCGTGGCTCCCACGCCCGCCTCCCGCCCACGCCGCGCCGCCCCGGCCCACTCACCATTCAATATGACAGCACATTCCAGCAAGGCCTCATAGTCCTCACTTTCATTTATTACAGACACAGAAGCGAGAATCACAGATGTAATTGCATGGATTATTTCTAGGGTTTTTTTCTGTAAATAAAGAAAAGAAAATCAAAGTATGAGTGAGTTAAAATCAATGTAAAATTCAATTTTTAAAAGAAATGTAAAAGTTACCTAATTTATAAAAATCAGGCCACACTTCTGGCTTATTCTAAAAAGGGAATTGAAGTTGAATACAAACAAGTCCGTTGCCCGAAAAGCACAGCAACACCGACTACTGCTGCGGATGAACAACAGCAGGGCCGTGAAAGGGCAACACTGCAACAGACGAGACAGCGCCTAACACTCTTGACTTCTAACTTTTAATTTCTCTTAACTTAAAACAACACCGCAGAGCAGACAACTGCCTTTTAACAGAGAAAAGGGAACACACCCGACTGCGAAAGGCGCCCGTTACCATTTTTGAGCCGTGGTCCGTGTCCGCGTGGCCCTCCCCGGGGGGCGCGATGGCCGGCCAGCCCTCCACGGGGCTCTCCAGCAGCACGTCCGTCAGCAGCCGCCTGAGCCTCTGCCACAGCTCTTCCTTCTGCTTCCTTGATAACTCGTCTAGCAACTCATTTAGGCTGAAAGGGTTGGAAGCATCTTCCTGTAAAATACACAGCAACCGTTACATTTCAAACACAAAATATTAGTTTTATCCTTTTCATAATGGCATCAAAGAAAAAGTGGAACTGTTAACTTAGATACAAGTTTAAGAGTTTGGTTGTCGTTTTCAAAATCCATCCCTACAAGGAAAAAGTACAGGGTCACCAGGCAGAAAGCAGCAGGTTCCTCCTCCACCTGCTCAGCTCGAGCCCCCTAATCTCTGGAGTCTAAAATTGCACCCACTCAGCAAAACCCTCCCCCAAGTCAACCACCCCAACGCCACCACCCCAGGCCTGAGGTCGGGCTGCCGAACAGTTCCTGCCCTCCAGCCGCCGTGGACCCTCCACAGCACCTGCGCGTCACCTGTAAGCGCCTTTCTCTCCCAGGAGCCAAGGGGGCTATTTCAGAGCCTCTCAGCTGTCACTGCCCTCCCTGTCACTCTGAGCGGACCACCTCGTCTCCCCTTGGACATAATAAATAGAAGCCGTCATCCAAGGGCAGAGGATCCAGCTTAGAGGGGATCCCTGGAGCCAATGCGAGCACCAAAACAGTGGCAGCAATGAACGTAAACCATGAACACAGCAAGGATCAGTGGGGCCACACCGATAACACACGTGCACACGCACACACGCACATGGACGACGGGCGCACCGGCACAGTATCGAATGCCGATGGATTCCGAGAGGAAAAAATGCAGCGCTGGAAAAAAGCCACAATTTTAGGGCCCACACAGTATAAGTGACTCGTGCAAGAATCATCAATGGGTGCCAAGCGCAGTGTGTGCAGGTATGACGAGGAGAAGGAGATGGTTACCAGTCTCAACTTCCTTCCCCACAGGTCACCTCTCGACGACAAAGCTTCGGTGGAGAAACCTGGCGGAAGCTCACCCAAAGCGACAGTCGCACGGACAGCGCCAGCGGTGGGGCCGCCCCTGCGACCTGCTGCCCAGCCCCGGCGTTGATTCAATCAGGCCGTCAAACAAAGGCAAACTGGAGGATATGCCACAAAGTAGCTGCCCGGCCTCTTCCGAGCTGCCAGAGCGGGAAAGACAAAGTAAGGGAGAGGGACCCTGGGGTACGGAAAGCCCCCGCGTGCTGACAACCCGAGGCACTGTGCGATGCTGAACACGCACTGCGGCAACGGCGTCAAATTTCCGGAGTTTGAGGATTTTCTTGTCATACATATGAGAATACCTTTGTTCTAGGAAAGGCACTTGCAGATATTTAGGGGTAATGGGATCCAATGCTTGCAACTGACTCAAATGATTCAAGGAGATGCAAACACAAAGAGTGGCAGGAAGATGTGGCCAAGCTGAGTGCAGGGCACTCTGGATTCCTCTGCAGCGTCCCAGCGTCTCCGTGGGGCTCCTCCCGTGCCTCAGGCCCAACGCCCCTCCTCTCGCGAGTCCACACCTGAGCTGTCCACGGGCACGGGGCCCCCGGCGTGCGTGTCCCCCGCCCTCCCCGTGGCCCACTCAGAGCTCGGGTCCAGACCCCCTGCCACGCCCACCCTCTACCCTGCTTCGTCTGAGTGCACACCTGTCTTGCTCCTCTGCCTCCAGCCCAGAAGGCCAGCTCCACCTGGGCAGAGTCTTTGCTCTGTGCGCGCAGGGCCCCAGCCCCCAGAACAGAGCCGGGGGCAGGGAAGACACCCAAGGTGCATTAAGGAGGTCGGCTCTCCTCAGTCCTGAGTCCTCGCTCCCCACGCTGATCAGTTCTGCTCCATCGCGCTTGCTTGAAGCGTAAATTTATTCCAACACAATCAATTCACAAGGCGACAATTTGAGCGAAAGGCAAATTTCTGGTTTGCTTAATGTGGGATCTGGTCCCCAGATGAATTCAGAAAATTGCACCTGCTGAGCAGAGCCACAGAATCATACAAGCCCCGGCCCCCCCCGCCCCGCCAGCTCCTGTGACCCCACAGGGAGCTACAAGCGACACTATCCGCACCTCGATGGTCACGCCAGCTCCCACCACGGCGACCTCCAAGGGCAAGCCTCCGACTTCCCAGCCGCTTCTGCACTTTTTTTCTCTGTGCCCGCTCACGCTCACACTCTCTCTCACACGTGTGCGTGGGTCATCAGGCCGGGTCCAGGGAACACAACCACCCACTTCCACTGCCAAAGCTCAGATCTTTGTCAAAGTAAAGTGTCGTAATTCCTCTGGTATTTATGTACTTCTCTGTGATTTCACGTGTATGAAACTGCTACTTCTTGATCAGATCCTATTTCTTTTTAATGGGTCACTGGTGAAGCTCTGGAGCGCCACACCCCTAAACCCATTTCCCCCGTGACCCCTCTGGCTCTCACTGCCCGGCTGCAGAGCCACGGTTTCAGGAATGCACAGGACGCACTACCGCAGAACTGACCGGAATGGCAGAGGCCCCCCCACTGGGCTTCCAACAAACTCAAAATAAGTCCTTCCGCTCTCCGTCAGACTGACCATGTGAAACTGCCGTCGTTCAACTACGCTGACCTACCAGATGGCATTTCCTAGCGTCAGCTGCATAAAGCCGAGAGGGGCACACCCTACTCGTTTTCGTTTCTGTGTTTTCAGGGTGACAGAGGCCCCGAGCTGAGCGCTAGCGAAGCCTGCTCCTCGTGAGCCAACGGTGACGACACAAGAGCGTGAGGATGAGGACGGACGCAGCCTCCACCAGCTGCCTGCCAGCGGCGGGCACGGCTCCGTCTCCGGCTCTGGCGTGGGACGCGGCAGCTGGAAGGAGCAAACGCACCTCCAAGGACACCACGGCACCAGGGTGACACGCAGCAACCGTGCCACCCAAATGTTGCAAATTTTTGCCTTCAGATTTTAAATTAATATTGACTTGGCTTCATCGTCAACTTAGTTTGTGATTTTAGTTAACACTACAGTACGCGGTTTGCGACCACCTCAGACTGTAAGCCATGCGCGTTATACGCGTCTCAGACAGATCACCACACTCCTGCTGCCCCTGACACGCACGTAACACTGCAGCTTCCGTTGTGGCACCTCTAGGATGATGTGCTGCCTCTAGTTTCTGCTGGTTATTTTTAAGTTTAGAGAACACCGTTTTATAATACAAAGTCATATCATTAGTCCATTTCTCTTAAAAAGAAAAAATAGCTTCATGCACGTGGCTAGCAACAGATTTATTAGATTGGTAACTCTAAGGCCGAGTTACCACTAACTTGATTTTCCCATGTGATCACGGGCCAAGCATGCGCCTTCTGCCCAAGGTCACAGTTCTTGGAGTCAGTGTCTTAAGCGCTGGGTTCCTCGGAGTCCTGTGTGCGGCTCCTGCTCCTTTATTCCACTACACAGACACCCCATGCTCTCCCACAGCTAAGCTTCCGCGGGAGCTGCTGCCACCGCAGCTTGTCCCCAGCCCCGACCTTTCCGGGGCTTCAGACGCATCTCCCACCTGCCCACAGGACACGTCCTGGGGGCTTCCCCTGGTGGTCATCCCGCAGCACACCTCCAAAACCGAGCCACCTCCTCCCCCAAACCTGCCCCTGCCCACCTTCAGACTGCAAGACCTCGCTGACCGGCTCTACCGGCAGAAGTCCGGGCCCTTCTCCAGCCTGTGTCCCCTCAGTCCATGGTGCCCGCAGCCCCCCCGCCAGCTCACAAGACACCCACACCTTCCCGTTTCCACGGGCTATTCCACCACCGTCAGGAAGGGCGCGGCCTCTCCCCTGCTCGCGGCCTCTGGTGGACCTCTCTCAATGTGTTTTCCACGTGCAGCCAAAGAGGTATTTCCAAAGGGCAGCCCTGCTTCTTCTGTCTCTCCCTCTCCTCCTGCCCACTCATTTTCTCTCCCTCTTTGTTCTCTTGCACGCAAGGCACTGTCGGCTCAAAGCCCCCATGCCTCTCAGGATAAATAAAGCCTCGACTCCTTCACACGGTAAGGAAAGCCAGGGCTCAGCTCTCGCCTCCTCCTCCTCACCCCGCACTTCTACACTCTGCCCCTGCCGAATCTTCCCGCTCAAACGCAACGCACCTTTGACCTGCTAACTTCTATGTACCTTCCAGAGCTTAGCCCCCCTGGCCTCTGTGCCCGGATGGGAAGCAGTGGGGCTGGGTTTGCCCCTCCCCCGTCCTTGTCCCTTACTCTGCTGCATGTCCTTGCCTGGGCCCACAACACTGAATAACCTGAGGACAGAGGCGTCTTGTCCTCCTCCGTATGGCACCGTGCACACAGAAAAGAGCAATGAACGTTTACTGAGTAAAACAGAAGCACAGTGCCCTCCCTCGCTGAGCACCTTTACGGCATCTGAGCCAAAAGCAGGAACTGCAGTTTGTGAGCAGCGGTCCATCAGCAGATCTGTGTTCGTACAGTTTATTTTCTTAAATGAACCTTGCTCCCTAAGGACTCACAGAGATGACCCTATTTCATTTATTCACATAATTTCAGGAAAATGTTTTACATTAACAGTCAAAATCACAACAAAGCTAAACGTAAAACTTACATCAAGTTGAATGAACTGCAAAAGCTCTCCGATCAGCTCCTTCGACACGGCCTGAACGAACACTTCACGTTTCTCCATGACGGACGGGCTGGGTCGCGCTCCGCATTTACTCTCGCGTTCCCCTGGGGAGAACACAAGCACAGCGCAATCGGCATTTGCGAACCCACCTGCTCCTCCACGGCGTCCGAAACTGCAGGCGAATCCCTCCACCAACCACGGCGGGCCGCTTCTACCAGCGTTGACACACAACGAGCGATACCCAAGAAGTAATTTCCTTATTTTCACAGCAACACAACCAACATAAATAACACTATGTCGTTACCAGTTGTCAATGAAATCGCCAGCGAGGTAGCGGGAGGCCCGGACGCCGCCCACCGCTGCTCGGCTGCCGAGTCCCCAGGGCGCCTCCGGCGCCACGGGCCCCAAGAGACCCCGCCACGGCCGCTCGGTTCCTGGCGTGGCCCCGGCAACCCGGGAGCTCGGGAGCTCGTTAGCCCGGGCCCAGAGCGCTGCTCCCGCCCGCGAGGGCGCCGGGCTCAGGGGGCTGCGACGCAGCCGCCTCCTGTTCTCCGGGGACGGACGCCACCTGCGCTCGCGGGGCCCTGGGAGGACACCCCCCCGTTCCCCCCCCCCCCCCGCGCCGCTCAGAGGAGAAAAGGCAGGTGACGGTCATCACGGCAGCTGCCGCGGCCGAACGGAAGGCCGCGACGGCACAGGCAGCCTGCCTCCCTGCACCTCGTGCACGCGAGGGGACCCCTCGCTCTAAAACGTATCCCATGACAACCTGTTCGTGACACTGAGCGCACGGGGAGACACGGCTGGTAGCAAAGGCAGTGATCAGGGGCACAGGAACCACGTCCAACCCCGGGCCCGCGGGTCCAAGTCACACCAACAGCAGCAGAAAGTAACCTCCCCGCGAAGCGGCAGCGGGGTCCGGCCCCTCCTCGCTCGGCGGCCGCGCCGGGAGCGAACTTCCTCGGACCACGCAGGGGAGGCGCCCGCAGCGGGTGTCTGACGGCGGCCGGGACCAGCTCGCCGCTTCCATAACGAACAGCCGCCGAGAAGGTGCGACCCGGCGCAGCGCGAGGAACCGCACGGAGCGCGCGCAACCCCGGGCCCCCGCCCCCGCCCCGCCCCGCCCGCGCGTTGACAGCGGAGCGTCTCGCTCTCAGCCACCGCCCCAGCGAGCGCCCCGGCGGCGCCGCTCTTCGAGCGCGGGCCCGGGCGGCTCCCCCGCGGCTCCCCGGCCCGAACGCGAGGTCGGGCACCGCCTGCGGGCGGCGCTCCGGCCTCCGGAAACAGAGCCCGCCCGGGCAAACCGTTCGCTTCAGGACGGAGATGCCTGACAGCGGGTGTCCCTGAGCACAAAGCGGGGCTGATCCTCTCGGGGGCTGTCCCGGGCCGGTGGCCCTCCCCCTCCCGGCCAGTCCCGGGGGAAGGCTCGGGCGTCGTGCGCCCAGGCCCCGGTGCCCGCTTCTGTCGCGCCTCCTCAGAGACGCCGGCTGGGCCGTGAGTTCGGACGCGGCCCACGCCGGGCGTGCGCTGCTGGACGCTCGGCCAGCCCCACCCCCGCCGCTTCCCGACCCCTGGCCCCGAGCCCTTGGCGGCCCAGCACCGCGGAGCTCACCTCGTCCTCGGGAACCGCCGTTTCCCGCGCTCGGACCAGATTCAAAACCGCCCGCCCGCGCGCGCGACGCGCTCCTCTCGCCCGCGCGTCACCACGCGCAGCTCTCGCGAGAGCCCGACGCGCATGGGTGGGGCCACCGGGGAGAGCACCCCTCCCGCGGCGCCAGGCCCCGCCCACACGCCCCCAGCCCGCTCTCCGTCCCCACCCACACGCTCCGCCCCCTCCCGGCCCACACGATTCGTCCAGCCCACACCTGGCCCCACCCACTAGCTCCACCTTAGCCCCGCCCACGAGCTCCGCCTCCGCGCCCGGCCCCAGCCGCACGCCCTGGTCCCGCCGGCGCCCCGCCCCTGCACCCGCTCTGACTCCGCCTTTTCCGCGCGAGCTCCGGTCCCTGCGATTTTAGTCTGACGTCAAAATGTTTTACCGTGGGTTAAACGCCTGCAGCCTTTGACACAATTACAAACATTGGCTCTTCAAATACAGCTGTGGCCTCAGTCCGTATGGTGTCAGTGAAACCTGACTATTCCCGCAGGTGGACCTCGCGTGTCCCGCTGAATCCGCCCCTAATGTGGTGCCTGTCTTTGCTGTGGTCTGTGAATCACTTCTCCAGCAAAGTATGACATATAAAAATTCATAGTGTTTTGTGACCATAATGCTGTACATTTGACAACGTTCACATGTATGAGCGATAAAAATAGATAAAAATCATGTAAATTGTAACATTAAATTTGAAACAATTTTTTGAAGCACCTCTTGATGCCATGCTTAAGACTATTTAAAAAATTGTTTCCAAAGATGAATATTCCATTCAGATTTTTTATGTTGATAGATATAGAGAAAACTTGTTCACATAAGGGCTCAGAAAATCTGAAAAATAGCAATATCATACAACTCCTTAAACATATTTTAAATACCAAAAAATCACAGATTATCAGCTATTCCTGTTTATTTAATTTACATCAGCTTTCCTTCACTTTTTGTTGAAAGCTAAAACTTGGAAACAACCTGAATTTCACAAAGATTTTCTTATCCAGTCACTTGAGATCATTTCATCAGATTCTAGGAAATTTACCAATAGACCTTTACCCAGATACATCAAATTGCTATTAACTTTATTAGTTACTTTTACATTTCAAGGCACTTTGTCAAAACATTTTTTTTTAAAAAAGGTTTTATTTTTAGAGAAAGGGAAGGGGAGGGAAGGAGAGAAACACCCGCGGCCCCTCTTGCTCACGCCCGCCCTGTTGGTGGACCTGTCTCACGACCCAGGCACATGCTGACCCAGAACGGAACCTGGGACCCTTCTCTCTCACCAATTTTGATTTCTCTCTCTCCCCCCGCTTTCTCTCTAAAAGCGATGAAAAAAATGTCAACTGAGAATTTAACAAAACAAAACAAAAAAACACCTTACAACGTGGTAATGAGAAAAGGTTTATAGAATTAAAATTGGACCCCGCGGCAAAGCAATATAAACACTAAGGCTGAAGCTGTTTGCAATATATACACAGGTAGGTATAAACCTGGCTAAAGTAATATCTTTGATAAACAAGTATAAAGCTGTTTTTTTAAAAATTTATTGGGCAAGTAACAGTCACATGGCTCAAACCACTCTTATCCTTTTCCTTAATATCCTCCCATAAATATTTTCTGCCTAGTTAAAAAAAGACAAACATTGTGGACTCTAATCATAATTGCAAGAGCAGGCCACTGGCTTGCGCCTTAAACACTCCCTACAGGGCTCATCAGGAGGAGCACTTCTCTGGGACTCTGGGTGGAACCCACAGGGTGGGGCAGAGCGACGGCTGGGCTGTCCCCGCCGGGAGCTAAACAGGCCACCGCCCCACAGCTTGAGTCACAGATTCCGAGAAAGGGGCTACGGGCTCATCAGGAGGCAGCTGCGGGGACACTTCCTTCCTTCTTGTGGTTTCAAGCTGCACCCTCTCTAGACTTTGAGCTGGGAAATGTGAATGTGTTCAAACAATTAAGGAAAAAGCAGAAGCCATCAGAGCCACGCCTGCGCCAACAGGCTCTGCGGGGTGCCCGCTGCACCCCAGGCTGAGTGGCCCTGCCAGGTGACACGGGGGCGGCGGGGGGAGGACAAAGGCTCGCGCCTGCCGTTGTGCGCCTCCTCCTTCGGTCAGCGCCTCTCCCCGGGCTGCCAGCTCCGGGGAGGGGGAGGGGAGGCGGGTGAGCTGCCCTGCAGAGCCGAGCTCTTCGGCGTTTAGCCTTCACTTTCCTGGGCCGTAACTGCTGAACACCATTCCCAGCCTTTCCTTCAGCCTCCCGACAGGATGACCTCGGGAAGGTTGAAGGGGTACCCGTCTGCCTCTTCCTCCTGGCTCCCGGGGAGGAAAGCCCCTCCTGGGGCGGCCACCTCACAGCAGGGTGACTCGGAGAGAGACAGGTGGTGGGGGAAAGCGTGGCCCACTAGACTGCCTTGAGCCGCATGTAAGAACATGAAGCCTAGGCCTTCTGCAGGCCGATTAGGTCAGACGATTGAGGGGGTGAGCCAGGCATGTGTTTTAATCAGTATCAGGACCCCCATGTGGTCCTAACGTAAAGGTTAGAAGTTGATCTCAGAAAATGCGGAGGAGGAGGAGTCTTAGCGGCCAAGCGTACAATCAAAATGCCGACGTGCCCCCTGAACCCAGTGAGCGAGCACTGTGCTGTCGGGGAAGGCACCTTGTCAGCATCCTTCTGAGCCGACACCCGAGACAGGACAGCCTCACCATCCTCCCAGAAGGCGGACACCACACAATGTCCACCCGCGCACAGGTGGACAAACGGTGGTGGTCCATTCAAACCCTGGAGCATCACTCAGGCGTGAAAAGGAACAAGGCTCGGACAGGCTACCACGGACGGTGTGGAAGGGGCCCTGGGCAGGACCCACTCCAGCCGAAACCCACAGAAAATCCCAGAAGACTGGGGATGCTAGAATTTAGCTTTTAGTTAAAGTATTAAATCTGCCCCTCTCAGCTGCACGTCCTGCCGTCCTGTGGAGCGGGCGGGGGTCTGCCTGCAAGGCAGGTGGCCGGGACGGCTGGAGGACACAGTCCGCGTAAGACAACAGAAGGCTGCAGCCTGCCGAGCACCAGGCGTGCGGCGCCGTTCTATTCCGCCAAGGTAACAGCACTCCGGTCCCAAGGCGTCTCGCAGAACTCTAAGCAGGAAGACCACCTGGTCCCCATCACGAGACACCGAAGAGGACACCGCCAAGAGCTACACGATCAGAGGGAGTCGCTGACGCCTGACAAGAACTGACCAATGAGCGGAGTGCACGACCCCGAGCCCCGTACTCATGGCCACTCGTTATTCTTCTTCTTTAAAACCCGACTGGAGGCCACTGGGGAGTTTGGGTTTTGGGCGATGGCTTCAGTTTTCCTCACGTGGCCCCTGCAACGAAGCAACTCGAATTCTTTTGCGGCCGCTCTCGGTCCTCAGTGATGGCCCTGCCAGGCCAGCGCCCAGAGGACAAGGTGACAGTCACCCCAACCTCAGCAGCGGACACGCCAGTGTTTCCCCTCCAGTGCTCAGAACAGCCTCCGTTTCATTACTTGTTGGTGCTCTGGTTATAAAGCACATGTAAAGACCCCATTTTGTACTCATAACTATCATCCAGGAGAGTGGTTTTCAAACCCCCAAGTCTGAGGTGGGAGGACAAGGGTTCGATTATGACGGGAAAAGAGGAGTGAGTGACCTCAGCCATCAGAGGGGGTGCTTTTGAAAAGGGAAGAAGTCGCAGAGGCTAATGTGACCAGCATCCTGTATTGCTTTTCAGATCCTGGGCTCTCACACTGGAATTCTCCCTTCAGAAGACAGAGGAGGAACGAGTCACACGGGAGCTGACACAAAGCTTTTATTGAACAAGTACACGCGCTGTCACGTCATCTCGGCGACACAGCGGACCCCTCCAGGAGAACCCCTGCCGCAGCCCCCCCGCGGCCGTGGGCCCCAAGGGCAGCGAGGCGGCCACAGCCCCCAGCGCACAGCCTCCTCGGTTCCTGAGGCGGCAGGGCTGAGCGCTGCACGCAGGGCGTCTGCAGAAGGGATTCTCGCAGCAGAGGGGCGATTCTACAAGGCTCTGGTTTTCATCTGAAGTTGGAAATGCCTTCATACTTCGGTACTGTAAGGCACAGGACTAACCACCCACACAGACAAGCTTAACAGAATTCAGATTCCGTTAAGAGAATGTCCCTGCACTGGTTTGGCTCAATGTGGAAAAGCTCAAAGCTAAAACTCCCCTTCCCGGGGGAATCGGTCAGGAGGACCTAGCAATGAACGCTCTGAGGGCCCTGCAGGGCCGGCTGGGCCTCACCGGTGTCCCCGCGCTTCCCGGGAACCGCTCACGCTGCCAGAATAAGCCGGAACCGCACCCGCGAGCTGTGTCAGCGCCCCGGAAGCACCCCTCCGCTGCTGCGCCCCTGTGACGGCCCGCGCCTGCAGGTGGGCGCCGTCAGGAGGTGGGCAGCGTGCGGCCAACCGGTTTTCTGCCTCATGTTATATTTATTTTACCTAATTGCTTAAATAAAGCAATCCATCAGTAAAATACTCATCAAATGGGTGAAGCACATGGCTGCGAAAGCCAAAAGTTTAGGATGTTGGTAGAAATTATTGGTGTGCTGAATTCCAGCGAGCGTTTCTTCTCTGTCAGAGATCACACCCGAAGCCTTTCCACAGACCTGATGTTAAAAATATCCTCAATAAACCTGCCCCGGTGGGTGTGGCTCAGTGGACTGAGCACCAACCTGCAAACCAAAGGGTCGCCAGTTCAATTCCCGGTCAGGGCACAGGCCTGGTTGCAGGCCAGGTCCCCAGTAGGGGGTGCGTGGGAGGCAACCACACGTGGATGTTTCCCTCTTTCTCCCTCCCTTCCACCCTCTCTAAGAAGAAATAAATAAAATCTTTAAAAAACATTTTTTTCAGGAAACCTAACATCACAGGCAGGCACCTAAGGCCCCATCTTGCTCAAGCTACGGAAACACCAGTTACGTGCCCGGGTCGCGTATACATTCACGTGTTACCAGGATACTGGTAAGCTTCCTCCTGCCACTGCGCAGGGGACGGTGGGACCAGAGGGGTCTTTTTGATGACCTGAAATGCGCTATGAAGCTGGAGGCTCCCCCCTGAACACACCCACAGTCCACGTGCAAAGTGAAACAAGCTGACACTCGCTGAAGGGCGGCAGCGTGCGGGGTGGCAGCCGGCCCACCCAGGCACGCAGGCGCCCGGTCAGAGGGGCAGCCCAGAGCCGTGAGGCGCGTCCTGGTGAGGGCGCGCCCCTCGGTCACAGGGCTCCCTCCCGACGCCTTCGTGCTGAATCCTAGGGTGTCCTCACGGCAAGGAGGCGCACACCATTCAGAGCACCCTCTGCACGTGTGTGTGCTGCCTGGACAGGCACCCGCGGCTCAGGTCACGGCCGCAGGACACTCTGAGGAACAGAAAGCATGCTTTTGATCCTCGGAGAAAAAAATATTCTCAAAAACTGTGTGACAGAATTCCAATACTGAGGTCAGGCATGGCAGGAAGTAAGGAAACCCAGGAAGTGGCGGGCCCCCAAACGCGGGTGCCGACACTCTCGGTCCCTGGCGGCCCGGCACGAGGGCAGCTCGGAACCAGAGCCAGCTCAGGGCCCTGTGCTGCGCTCATGCGTGTCACACGGAGAAGTGGGCAGGGCGGCGCCCGGCCTAACCCCTTCCCTGTGTACTCACCCGAGGCCTGCACAGCCCGAGGGCGACCGCGGGAGCGGCTCTCTCCTCGCAGGCTGGGAAAACACGGAAAGTACCAGCGCTCACAGCGGCTTCGCGGGAGCCCAACTGCTGACCCTGGGAGTCTGGGTCACAGTTACAAAAAGCGATGCCGTGCACGCGACAGCAAACTTCGGACATTTTCATTTTATGTAAGAAATTTCAGATTAGTACACTGTGATTTATGAACCATGGCGATTCTCTTAGTATTTTATGTAACTTGGCTATATAACATTATTCTTTATAAGCACTTCAACTTCTCAGTAATACACCTTTATAGTTATGAAAGTGTTAATATTTTTAATACTTTCTTTCATTGATAATAGGCAGAAATATACTAATATTTCATAATCTTTCAGCTTTTCTTTTTAAAAATAAACAGCACAAAATAAGTCACTGAGAACTTTTTCCTGCAAAGACAAAAATGAATTATCATAAGAATTTAGAAGAAAATATATATATTTCCTTAAACCATTTTCTTCTGAATTCAAACCAGCATGTGGAGATTATAAAAAATAAGAGTCTCTGCACATGGCACGGTGCGCCTCAGGGACACACACAGGCAGCAGCGACGTACGCCGTCCCCCGCCCCCCCGCCCCCCGCAACACGAAGGCGGCTGCTGCCCGACCGCAGGCTGGGACAGCCGACCAGACACCAGGGGACGTCCCGCATACAAACTTTAACCCTCATGTTGGCCAAATATGCCTGAAATGTCCACGTTTTATAAAACGATTAAGGTGCGTCCAGCGAAGAACATGAAGTGTACAAGTGGCCCTGGTGCGCGGGGCGGGGGGGCCTTCGAGCCCGCGGGCGGGCGGCGGCAGCCAGGGGGCGCCCCGGGCCCAGCTCGGCCTAAGCCACCACGTGTGGTCGCGCCCCGTCTTCCGTGAGGTCATACCTGAGGGCACGGGGAGAGGAGGCAGACGGGGTTGGGGGGACGGGGTCAGCGAGCAAGCACTGGGTTCCCTCCCCAGCAGCTTGTCCTCTGCAGCGGGACACTCACCACTGGGTCCAGCCTTTGGCCAGTTCTTCTGACGCCAGAGCAACCAACACCTGCGGGTCAAAGGAGGCTTGTGAGAGGGGGCGGGCGGCGCCCCTGGGCCTTTGCCCCCGCTGCCGGTCTCCCCGCCTGCCGTGTGGGGCTCGCCTCCATCTTCGGCCTCTCATTTCTCAAGGAGCCCCACCCTAGGAAGCACCTAAGAACCAGGTGGTCGGGCCTGTCCACGAGGCCCTTCCTGCCCCCGTCGGTCCTCAAGTTCGGGCACTGCGCACGGTCGGTGGGGCGAGGGGACCAGGCCACGGGCCAGTGAGGGCGGCACAGTGGACGCGGACTGTCCGTGAACGGCACCTGCACCCAAGCCTCTCCTCCCTGCCTTCACCCCCACGCACGGTGCAAGGAGCGCACCAGAGTCACACAGCGATGGGGTGCAGACTAAAAGGATTCAGAGAATAAACCCAACGATCTGTTAGGGGCAAAAAGGTTGGCTAGTTGAGGAGAGAGACTTGTAAGAGACTCGCCCCGTTTGGGTGATACTCGAAAACGAACCTTTCTTCCACTGTAAGTTCATGGTATTAGTATGATAAACATGCCCATATCAAATATGTAAAAACAAGGAAATAACTCAGAATGTCACAGTCTGCTGTTTTATCAATAAGCACTGGTCCCAGAGCAAGTTCACTCCTTCCTACTCACATAAGTATGGTCTAAAAAATGCCCATTGGGGAGCTGCTGAATTTTCCCAGTGTGGGAACCCATCAGGGCTTTTTCAAACTTACTTTGCCCAGAAGCCCTTTGTCTTTGGACAGGAAGCCGCCGCTGTTCTTCACGGCAACATCCAGCGTTCTCCGCTGCACGTCCGGTAACGAAACGCTGAAATCAAAGCTGAGAGAAGGCGGGCCCTCCGTAAATTTCTCCGTCATCTTGCTGCAGTTTGTCACAACTGAGCCTGACGTTTCTGCTTACGAGACCACCCCAGATGGTACATTTCTTATCATAAAACAGGGTTCTTGTGCTAGATGTCTGGGTCTGGCATTTCATGAAATCTCAGAATCAAAGTATTTTTCATTGTTTTGAATGCCAGAGAGGGCTCTGGCCTGTGGCTCCCCCACGTACAGGGCGGGGCAGCTAGCGTGTGGGACCGTGGATGTTGGAGATGGCTCACCAGGAGCCAGACTGGTTCTCCCCACCCCCAAGACTAAAGGAGAGCAATTTCAAAGCCTGGGTGAGCGGATAGGAAGTGTTCTGTGATCTGGCTTCACCACGGGAGCAGGTCTACATCGCGCATTTTAGTGGCTAAAGTCAGATGCTGCAAACTAAAGTGCCTGCGGCCTGGGAGGGACATGGCAGGGAAGTGCCCCCCCGCCCCCCGCCTGGAGCTACCGCAGCGAGAGACCCAAACCCGGGGTCTGCGTCTTCCGTGCTGCCGCGCAGCAGGGCACTGACAAACGCCAGGTGCCCACGCCGGGGCTTGCTGCACACCTGTCAGTAAAACCACGACAAATGACTAGCAGCGTCTTGAAGGACGAAGTGTGACCTGAATCAGCAGGTTCCGGTACCGTTCGCCTCTGATTTCCCAGAACGCCGGCGGGTTGTCAGCTGCAGAGGACTGCAGAGCGAGACGCCAAATGCGCGCAGACAGCAGAGCCTCACGGGGCCCGAGGACCGGCCACAGGGGCCGAACGGAGCCTCTGTGAGGCCGGACTGTTCAAGAGGTTCGCAAAAACCCGAAACGACGCCGCCGTTCTCTTCACTAATCTTTAAACTGTTTTGGAAACCAGTTGTTTTTCACACAAATGTTGTATTTTAAGATGCTGTAGATTTACCCTTACTTTTCAAAATATGTGCACTGGAATATGCTCCGTTTTGATTCATAACTCATTTGTTCTTCACCTCATAGCTCCCCTGCACCTCCTCTCTCCTGCCGGAGACCCGCCGCGCTCACTTGCCTCGGCACCTCCGCGTCCACCTGCCCAGGGCTTTCGCTGTTTCTGAGCGCTGCGCGGGCCCCCTGCTCCCATCCCTAGACAGCAGGCCTGGGCCTCCCCAGTTTCATCCAGTTTCATCTGCCCAGCTGATCAAGTCCGTACCTCTGATCAAACACGGGGTTCAGAGTTTTCTTTGACACGTGTGTTTTTCTCCTTCCTGACCTCCTCTTGTCCGGCAGCAAGTACATGCGGACGTAGGGGTCGGAGCCGTCCTCAGAGAAGGCGATGAGGTTTCTTGTAACACAAACCAGAGAACAGCAGACGTTAGAATCTACCGATATGACAATTAACATCACATTCAAATTTACTTATAGCACGTCCTCAAGTAACATCGTTTTGTTACAATGTTCACAAGAAAAAAAATTCCCAAAGTGGAATTGTCCACGTGGAGTTTGCGTGTCCTCCTGTGCCTCCTCCCAGGACTCCGGCTCCCTCCCACATCCCGACGACAGGCCCGCGGGAGCGGCGTGCCTAGACTGGGTGGGCGCAGTGTAGGCGTCGGTGGCCCCCGGAGGGAAGCGAGTCCAGCCCAGGGCTGTCCCCACCTTGTGCCCTGAGCTGCTGGGAAAGGCCCTGGTCACTCGTGACCAGACACTGGAACAAGCAGGTTGGAAAATTCATCTTCCTAACTCAATGTTCAACGTTGGAAGTGTTTTGGGTCTTTGTTTCAGAAGTTTGGTGATATCTTTAAGACCAGAAATAGGCAACAGGAACTTGACTGTTGTTTCGATCAGTCATATGCAACTGCTCCAACTTACTCACTTACCGATCACCCTGAAACTCTAGTCCGGGGATTGTTTAGGGGGAGTTCCCGAAAACAGCCTCCTGTTCCCTCCCCAAAGGGATCATCTCAGTAGCAAGAACCTATAGGCGCTCAACACGCACGTGCTGCAGTGAACTCTCCATTCACTGTCACACCCCTAAATGGGACCGGTTTTGTTTTTCTGTGTTCCCGGCCGCTTCCCGTAAGTCCCGCGCACTTGTGTTAGCACGTTCATGTCGCCAGCAGCACAGAGGCGGACACAGCACATAAAGGGCGACTGCTCCAGACCGTCACCAGCAATCAAACACACAAAGCGCGCCGGCCCTCGCGCCGCACTCTCCGGCTGGAATGCAGCCGTAAGCACCGGCCTCCCTGGCTGTGGGGAGGCCTCGGGGGCCGCAGGCGGCACACGCGCTTCTCTGACAGGCGGCGGCAGTGCCTGCCATGACCCCTCACTCCGGGGCCCTCTGGACTTACAGAAATTCACTGCTCAGAACTTAGTGCTCAAAAGACACTGCGGTAAAGGAAGAGCGTGTGCCCCGGCCAGTGTGGCTCAGCTGGGCACCGTGCCGCACTCCGGAAGGGCGCCTGTCTCATTCGCGGACAGGACACGGGCCGGGTGGAGGCACACACAGAAGGCAACCAATCGATGCTTCTCTCTCGTTACTGATGTAAGAAAATAAGCTTATCGTCCCGCCCCGTGTGACAGGCCGCCTGAGCACCCGTGTCGGGGCGGCACCCACACTGCACTCGAGACGGTGCTGCCGGCAGCCGGGGGACACGCCGGGGGCCAGCGGAGGGGCGTGCGCGCGCCCCGGGGCGTGCGGCTCACCTGCAGGCGTGCACCACCACCACCAGCTTGTTTCTCTGCGAGCTGTGCCGGATGGTCAGCTGGATCTGCCCCAGCGGAGACTGTCCCAGCGCCGTCCCGCTGAGGAGACAAAGCAGGAGTCACAGCCGCCCGCCTCACACAGGCCCCGCGTCGCAGTGGCACCACACGAGGCCACGTTCATTTGTGCGGACCAGGGGGAATCAGATGGCCCACGCGCCTGGACGCCGCCGCACGTCTGAGTTCAGATACGTTGCCCCTCCTTCAACCGAGGGCCAGTGCAGCTTATTCAAAACGGGCGGCTTTTCCATCTAGGGGCCTACGTGGAAGGAGACCCGGAGGACTCCCCATTCCGAACCCCAGTTCTGCGGTCTCCGGGCCTGGAACTGTCCAAACCTGCGTGTCCTCCCTCAAGACCTTACACGAGTGTCTGGCTCGGCGGGCCACCGACAGGACACCCGACGGCATCCCCGCGCCCCCTTCGGCTCCTCCCTCTCCAGGTCGGAACACAGCCTCTGAGGGGCAGCGGCCCCCCCCAAGACCGTTTCGGCCGCTCCCCAAAGTTAGCTCCTGAGAAAAAGCGGGTTTCTTATTTAAAACTGTTTTCTTCTAGAGCAAGACATGCGGAGGGACAGATTTCTTTTTTCCAAAACAGTGGACATGAGAAGGAGCAGAGGAGTCCAGTACGCTGGCGAGGTCACAGGAAGGCCCCACGTGCGCCCGCGTCCCAACACCGGCCACCGCGTTTTGCCTCTGCTCCCGGGGACTCCTCACGCCCCCCACACCTCCCAGGACAACCGAGAGAGGACTGTCTCGAAGGCAGCTTCCTTCGCTGAGAGGCAGAGGTGAACTACTAAGCTTCTGCTGCCTGCAGGCTGTTTTTCCTCTAGGAACCATGGGGTTTTAAGAAGTCAACACAAACATCCAAAGACAGACGCAAAGCAGCGGGGGGCCAGCAGAGCAGAGCCGAGCAGACAGAGAACAGGCCCAGGCGCCCACAGCAGAGGCCGGTCACCAGAGCCGGCGCAGCAGGTCAGCTCCGGTGCAGCCTGCTGGTGGGAGGGCGGGCACAGCGAGCGCCGGGACCGCCGCATCCTCGGGACCCACTTCCCCCGCATCCCGATCCTCACTCGGGCCCCACGCTGGCCCTGGAAAACGGCAGGCTTCACTCTGAAAGGGCGCGGCCACCAAGCTCCTTTAGCTACGGTAAGACAGAGCCCCCCCGCCCCCCCAGCGCCCGGGGCATGCGGTGACTCCGAAGGGCTAAGGGGCATCTAGTTACTTCTCCAGCTGCCGCAGCCTCTGCCGGAGCTCCTGCGTGGCGATGGGCAGCGATATGTCCGAGGCGATGCTGGGGGTGGGCTCCTTGACGGCGATGTGGCTGGGGGAGCAGGGGGAGCAGGGGGCGCCGACCTGCAGGCTGGAGGAGCTTCGGCCCAGGTCTCGCAGCCCCTGAGGGCCGGCCTCCGCGGACGGGGCTCTCTCCTCCAGGCTGGGCCTCGCGGCGCCCCCGCTGGCCGGCGTGGAGGGGGCCGGGCTGCTGTCACCAGCGCCCGGTGACGGGGACATCTGAGACCTGACAGATCTTTTTCTCCCTTCTTTGGAAACGGAGGGTCGCTTCACTTGAGCTGAGCGTGGGTGGTCCGGGGATCTCTCTCGCTTCTCCAGGTGCAGCACCTGGAGGTACAAATAATAAAGTTATAGCCAGTGACACTGGAACAGCCTGATGCATGAACAGCTTTAGGTGTATTTATTTGCAAATGTTTCCTTAAAACTTGGCACGAAACACTATAAACAATCTGGTCTGTTCAGCTATTTATTACTAAAGTAATACAATGTTCCATAAAATTTTTAAAAAGAAAAGTTTAAGTAGTCAAAGTATCCCTTCTGTGCCGGGGGGTCATTTCTGTGTGTTCTCTTCCGCCTCTACCAGGGGCACAGCTGTGGCTCCTGCCGTTGCAGGAGGGGGGCCGCGCGCCCGCACAGGCCTGGCCGCAGGTGGCCTGGCCCCCCGTCCTAGAGGCAGCCTCCTCCACCAGCAACCCCGGGGGAAGGATGGGAGTCAAGGACTCCTCTGCCCAGCGTGCTGCCCCAGGTGCCCAGCAGCGACATGGGAGCAGCACGTGCCCTCAGCTTCCGGGCAGGCACTGCGCTAGATGGTGACGTGTCCCCCCGCCCCTCCCACTACGCCACTGAGCGGAGTCTGTGCCCTGTGAGCCCCTCCCTGGGCTCTGAGGCTATTGTGAGAGCCGGAAGCTTTTCCTGCTTTAAAAAAACACAGCTGCAGCAAACAGCTACTGTTCACAGCCTCCAGCTTTGTGCGCAGTAACAGAAAGATTTCCAGAGAAAGGCCCCTGGCCCCAGGGCTCTCTGCCGGCCACGCCGCAGTCCCTCCTGGAAAGGCCGCACACAGCCAGGCCCCTGACCAGGGCCGGGGGCCATTTCCACTGCCCCTCCACACACCGAGTCTGCCTTAATTCTTTTAAAGAGCTTATTCTCCATTTGAATTTGCATTTTTAAAATCAGTGAGTTTCAGTATCCTCTCATGTTTTCCAATCTTCAACATTTCCTTAGGTGCTTATAAATGAATTACTGTCTATTTTGGACAAAAAGTTTTTCTGTAATTTCCACCACCTTGAAGAGTTTTATTCAATTCTCTCTTCTGAATGACTGTAAAAGGTTTAATCTCAGCAGAGACTTTGTGGATCCCGACGGCAACAGTTTCTGAGCCGAAGGATAAAATACGGCCGACGGCATCTGACGGGAAGGCTCACTGAGTTCCCGGGCGCACCAGCAAGCGGAAGCGCTGCTTCCGTCGGACCTCGTCTTCCGTCAGCCCTGACCCTGCGCCAACACCCTGGCCGCTGCCACCCGTCCGGGGCCCTGCGGCGGCACTGTGGCCGCCGTACCCGTCACCCCGAGCCCAGGGGAGCAGTGCGCGCGAGCCTTGGCTGCAGCCCGTCCCCTCCTTGGCAGACTGCGCACCCTGAGGGCGATCTTCATCCGCAGGGTGCTGTTGGGGCCCGAGTTGCTGAGCTGGAATCGCTGGTTGATGGTCATGTCGTCGCTGGTGAGCAGCTGGCTGAGAGGGATCTTCAGGTTCCCCAGGGAGCACTGGTGCTGCTCATCTCTGACCTGCAAAACACCACAGCGCACCCTGAGCGCCGCGAGGCGGAGCCCAGACGCCAGGCGGCGCGTGCACGTGGGGCAGGGGCACCCGCTGAGGCACTCAACCGCAAACACGGCGCTACCGCCGACGAGCCAAAAAAGGAGATAAAATGCAATTGTAAAAAATGCTCCATCCAAAAGTCATATTAAAAAGAAAAAGAGAACAAGGAACAAATGGGGCAAACAGCATGGTGGCAGATTTAAATCCAACCACATCCACAGTAACATTGAATACAAAGGCTCTACATGCCAAAATTAAGAGATTATCAGAGATTATCAGATTGGATAAAAACGCAAGATTCAACTACATGTTGTCTATAAAAAGTCAGCTTTAAATATAAATTTACAAATAAGTTAAAAAAAGGATAAAAAAATAAACCTCATTAACGTCAATGAAAGGAAGAGTAGTTACATTAATATCAAACAGAGTCAGTTAAGGAGTAAAGAATGTCATTTAAATGTAACGGTAAAGGGGATTTTTACGATGATGAAGGGAGCAACCTGTCAGGTGGGCGAGCATCGCAGTTCTACGCAGATGCAGAGAGAGAGAGAGAGAGAGAGAGAGAGAGAGAGAGCGCGCGCGCGCGCTCCCAGCATGCGCGCTCCCAGCATGCTCTCCGGGGCCTGCACCAGTCACTGACACACAAGCTGGAGAAACAAATGACAGGTCTGTGTCCTTCGGGACCCAGGTGCAAAAACTCTTAACAAAGCGTTAGCACATTAAATTGAATACATAAGGAGGACAGGACCTCATGACCACGTGAGCATATCCTCTACGACAGGTTTGCTCGTGAGGCTCTTAATGTCAAATCTCGCAAATCAAATAAAGGCTTGCAAGGTTCAACATCTGAAATTCAACATGTTTCACCATATTTACAAACTTAGGAAAACCAGGTGATCATCTCACTAGTTGCAGAAAAATCTTTGATAAAATTCCACATCCATTCATGCCAAAACCGTCAGCAAACTGGTAGTAGGAGAAGAAGACATCCTCAAACTTCAGGCTTAATGGTAAAGCCCTAAGGCTTCCCCCTAAGACCCGAAAAGGCCAAGGGGTGCACTCCCCCGAGGCTGGAAGGGCAGGAAGGCAAGACCCAGGAGTCAGTGGTGGGGCCGAGGCGGGGGGTCCCGGTGCGGGGGCACAGAAGCAGACGTGTCCTTACTATCTGCAGGCAACACGATGGCCTGCGTAGAAGACAGTCCTGAAGAATCCACAAAAAAGCTAGCGCTGGAACCAGTAAAGTTCAGCAGGGTAGAAAAAAGGATGCCAAGGTACAAAATCAACTGCAATTAACTGAAAGTTTAAAGGTAAAAAAAAAGAAAAGAAGTTAACAGCATCACAGAATCTGAAATACCGAGGGGTAGTCTGACAGAGACGCACGGATTATGGTGCTGGATCCATAAATGGTGTACTTCAAACACATACAGTTCTTTGGATGCTGCTTGTATCTCAAGGAATCTATAGGAATGCAAGTAAAATACCTCGACTTCAAGGTCCTGGCGCTTGGGATTGTGGACAAAGAACGTGAAGTGCTCCTCCCACACAGGTTCATTGGTTTTGTACCGAATCTGAAAGAAATACCCCAAAATCAGCTCTGTGGTATCTTCTGTGCTTACTCCTTTATTGTGTTTGGACGCCTCAGAGGACTTTAATTAAATTCCAAGACACATACTGTACTGAGCCTGCACTATCATGTATTATTTGTGAGAAATGTCCAGAGGCCAGCCCCGCGCTCCTGGAGGGACAGGGTCCGTCTGTGGGCCTGCCCCTGCGCCCAGGAGCCGCAGGGGAGAACAAGGCCTGGAGGGCCACGCAGGTCGGGACGCGCTTCCTCTCGGGTCGGGGAAGTGGGACACGCTGCGCGGCGGCAGGGCCCTCCCTCCAGTGCGCAGAACGCGGCTGTTGAGTCGTAGGAGTTTTAAGTGCCATTGGTTAGCTTGTAAACAAAGTATTTATAGAGCATTCAAAGAAAACATTCATCTACCCATGGAGTTACGTTATTTCTATTGTTATTTTAAAAAATGAACAATATCTTTGTTCCCAAATTACGTAGCTGGTGCTCTGTGAAGTGACTGACTTGAGAAAAAGAGAGATCCAGGCCCCAGTGGTCCCGACGCTCACGCCACCCCCCCGACGGGCAGCCCCCCGGGCCGTGCAAGTGGCAGGGACGTCCCAGCAGCGGGGCCAGCCTCACCTTGCTCTCCTGAGCCTTGTGGCCAACCGACATCTGCACAAGAGGGTTTGGGTTGCTGTTTATTTTCTTCCCCGACTACCCAGAAACAGAAAACAGACAAAATAAATAAGCAACCATCCTGAAATAGGCCTGTTAAAAATGAAGTTATTGGCGTATATTAACAGTCATCTCTATTTACTTCTCAGACTTCAGTTACAGGGACTGAGAACAATTTAACTGGGAAAGGGCTGCTAAGTGCACTCCAAGGCGTAATCATCACCACGGAATACGCTAGGAAAACGTCTATTTACGTGCAAGTTTTAAGTGTTAAGGTCTTTTATTTTTAGAGCAAGCTACTTTGGAAAAATGAAATCTTCTGAATATCCTTAACGTTAATTCCAGCTCTCAAAACTTATTTTACCAGGACAACAAAATCAAGTGTAATGAATGAACAGAAAACATGAGCAAGAACAAATGTAAAAGAGTTTATAATTCAGAACAGTCCTCTTTTTGAAATAATAAAACTACAACAAAGTGTCAGAAATAAGTTTTTATGTTTTTAACTTAGTGTCTTCTGTTCAAACATGTAGCTATCAGATTATCAAATCTCACTGACCAGCAGCTAAGTAATTTAACTGGAAGAATAAACATCAATCTAGAATCACATTAAAATAAGCAGATATAAATATTTAAAGAATGGTAAGAAGCATACTTTAGCACAGAGAGCTGATAAGAGAAAACATAGTAAAACACAACATGTATGAGATATGAGGTTTATTTATAACTGAGCCCCACAGGAGATGCAGTTAAATATGTTAGTGGAAATTAATGATAAGGTCACAAAAATCTTTTTAGTAACAATTTTAAAGTCAACACTCAACACTGTAGCAATGACAAAAATGAGCATCAAATTCATATGATTATTTGAATGAAATATTACTAGCCCAAACCTACTGCAATAATCTATTTTCTGGTTCATCTCTTTGGTGTGAATGACTTCTGCAAAATGAAATAAATATTGTTAAAAATTCAAAGGCTGCAGAGTCCTGTGGCAGAGAGTACTACTTTCCCCTTCTTCCTTGAACAGCGGAGCCCTGGAGCGCTGGCTGAGCCCAAGTCCTCAGTGTATAAAGAGTCTATTTCCGAATCACCCCGGCAGCTGGGTGTGGAGACATGAGGGTCTGGCCTTTAAGGAGGGGCGCCCCCCGCCCATAACCCTTCTCGGATGGAGGTGTGAGCAGGACAGAGCCCCAAGCCACCTACTGTGCTGCTGGAGCTACAACTACTTTCCGAATCCGATTCAGAAGCTGGGTGTATTTCTTAACTAACATATTTCATCTCTACAAAAGCAGCCATTCATTCCTAGAGACTTACTATATTTGTCCCTTTTAAGACACACCTTTTTAAAAAAAAGTTCTAACATCTCAGAAAAGGATGGAACAACAGCTGAGTCTGGGCCCTGTGTCAGGGAAGGTGGCAGGAGCGAGGTCCCCCCACTTCCTTTGGCCGCTGACGTTGCTCCCAGGTCTCTGCTGCGTGCACACGTGATGCGGCAGAAATCCGTTCATGCTAAGAAGTCTTTTCAGACATGTAAAATAAACATTATCAAACCTCAACTGACATGTTTTCTTTCTTTGTGGTACATAAAGTAATGGTGTATCTTAAAACAGACAATGTTTTAGAGTCTAAATCACTGTCTTCCACCACGATGCCGTCTTCCAAAGGCACGGAGAGGCAAGGCATCATGCGAGTAGCCTGGACTGTCCTGCAGTTACATCTCAGCTCTTCACCACTTGATTACTGAGACTGCGTTTCATCTAGTTGAACCTCAGTCTTCACGTCCATAAAATGGGCATGATACCATTCCCAGAACCTGGCTGCTAGGCTTGAATGCGGTGATGCAGTAACAGTGAAAACCAACACGCTGCCCGAGCTGCCCAGAGCGCTTTCCATGCACGATCGTATTTAAGTCACTCACTGCTCCAGGAAAGGAGACGCAGTCTCTTCCATCCTGTGTCTTGGAGTGACCGAGGGCTAACTACCCTGCCACATGGGGGAGAGGCCACGTGGGCCGCTGGTGGCCCGAGCAGTCCCACTTCCCGGTCTTGTTCTAACCATGATGCAGAAACGGAAGCACTGGCTGCTGGCACAATCCCTTCCAGTGTTTTATGGGAAAGTTGTTTCAACTCCTGCTGGGCCACAGGCTTCTCCTCTGCACAGGGCACAGTGAGGGCTTAATAAACGCGACCCCAGAGCAGGCTTTCCTAGCCTCCCTCACTTTTGAAATTTACCGTATCCTTCCAGATGAAACTGATTTAAAAACATTCCGAGTCCTTTCTATGGATTTTTCTTATAACAATTTCATTTATACCCTCTCCCCAAATATTTAAGCCTGAAATGTTCAAAGAAATTGAAGAAAAAATAATAAAACATTCGAAGTCATTGAACACTTCTAACAGCTCAGCCAGACATGTTTGTGTGTTTGGGGAGTGGAGCTTAGTTCTCAATACACCTCAGTGAAAGCAGGGAGAGCTTCCGGAAAGGCCGGGCCCGCCCAGCAGCAGTAAGGGCTGAGGCCACCACGCAGAGACGGCCTGACTCCGCACATTGGAAGAGGTGACGTTTCAACAGACGGTCACAGTGCACAAGGGTGCCTTCCAACCATAATCTGGAAATTGGTTACGATCTTAAACAGGACTTCTAGCTTACCATTTTCACAATTTCAAATCCAATTAAACTACAGATGATTTAAAACCACTGTGGATATTGCTGCCTCAGGCCAACAGGACCGATGTTTAATTTATCACATTGGAACTTCATAAAATTTATCTTTCAAGTTGACTTAAATTCTAACTACTAATTTTTGGGTAACACAAACAGGCTCTCTGCAACGACAACTAATTACCAATGAGTAATAAACCCATGAGGGTTAAGGCATCACCTCTTTCAATATGTCTTAATGAACTTTTCGAAGGGAAAACCATTAGTTTACCTTTAAAGCTTTCTGAACTGCAGTCTTCTTCAAGACATCAGGGTTAAATTCTAACGGGTTACTCTTTCACGTCAGAAGAAAATGAACACACCAAGGGTTAATAAGACAAGCGATGGGTTTATGTGCGGTCAATGACAGGAAAATGTATGCGAATGGGCAAAATCTTTAAACAAAAACCACCACCAAGAATTACACACACACACAAAAAAAACCAGTAAAAAAATCATCTGTACAGTTTTTCTTTCTGCTTAAGATTTTATCTTAGAACGAACCTTTAATCTATAAATATCAACACACATGTCCTTCTCCCCGCCGTGGTTGCTGTTCCTCTTATCTTTGGGGTTTGAAAAATCCAACAGTGATTACTTTAAGAAAGGCCTCTCTATACTATCCTTTGCTTGAATAAACCACTAAAATACCTGTAATTACACCAGAAGTTTTATCTAAAGTACCAACAAATGGGCCGTAAGTGTCCAAACTACTCTCAAGCCAAATTATATCCTACGGTAGCAGATGCACCTTTTCTTCCTTCTAAAATCTACTCTCTTTGTGCAAAACTGGTGTGGAGGCAGGCCCCCTCCACTGCGTCCCCCGTTCCCTCCCAAGGAGAAAGCGCTGGGGCTGGTCCAGGCATCGCGAGCTTCTTCTGGCTTTAAAGTCCCACATCAGTTGTATTATCACAGGTGTGTGTCCTACTTCTATTGACTCTGTAACTTCATTACTGTCCGGCCCTCAGAAGGGCAAGGCTGAGTTGTTTTTGGAAGCTCCTTCAAAGACTGACCCATAAGACTGACGATTTTATCATTTAAGTTGTAATTAGCTTCAAATGACACACTGAATTTCATCACTATTTTTTAATAAACAGATTATGGAACGAAGAGAGAGGGATGCTCTGCCTCCGCGTCCCGTGGCTGCAGCCGCCTGCCCGGCTCAGGGGCACTGGGACCTCCGGGCGCCTCTCTGTGGGGAGCCTGGACAGGGGAGTGCCCTCTGGACAGGTGGGCCGTGCGCAAACGCACGTATCACTGCAGCAGGCGTCACTGACCGCAGCGCGGGCGGGGGAGGGGCTGTGGGGGGCGGGGGCGGGGTGCTGGGGAGCCTGTGAGGTCGTGGAAGCTGCTGAGGCTGGGAGGTAGCCAGGCCAGATGATCCAGGTGCACTAGGCAGGGGCCCAGCGTGAGGCCTCCAGACATTGCTGCCCCTGCCCCCGGGCCCCTCACTCTAAACGGCAAGGCAATGCCACCTGCACTTCACAGTGACGCGCCAGGTCTCTGTGTCACCTGGCTCGCACGCAGGAGACCTCAGACAAAGGCCACCCACAGCACCACAGACTTAACGAAGCAGAGCTGGGCTGGAGCAGACAGGGGGCTCAAGAGTGTGACTCTGGGTCATGTGCCGAGTTCAAACCCCAGCTCTGCTGCTCACCAGCCGTGACCCTGAGTCTCCAGTCTCAGTCCCTCACGCCCCGTGTTGGCTCCTTATCTGAGAAGTGATCCCGATGGCCTGAGACTAAATGAGCCCTCTGTGCAGAAGCGTGGAAAGTGCTCCGCAAACACAAGTTACCCCAGAAGCCGAAGGTCTAAAGCTGTCCCCCTGCAGTCAGAGAGCCCCCTCAGCTTTCGTCCGAAGTTCCGGCCCAGGACCTGCTCGAAGGAGGAGAGCACAGTGCTGAGTCGGCATCGGAAAGAGGCCGCTTCCGGTTTGGGACCCAGCCCCGTGGGGCTCCGTCACGGGTGGCAGTGGCTTACGGGCCTGGAAGTGAAGGGCGCAGGCAGCAGGCAGCGGGCAGGAGCGGGGCGGGCTGGGAGCCGTCCAAAACCCCTCCGGAAAGGAGGAGAGGGCTTGGGCTTGAAAACCAGCGGATTTTTAAAAAAGAGTGACTTTATTCAAATTTAGTTTATAGAGCATTCTGCTGATGCCAACACTGGAATCACAAAGCAGAGCCTGTGATTTTCATACTGTAGGAGGAAAGGCAGTTTTGATAACAAAGCAATGTCACCGCACCCATCACAAAGCAATGCCACCAGCCAACCGGATTCACAGGCGGCCGCTGGCACGGCAGCTGGCCGTCCAAGTGTCCTCTAGAAACGCCACCATGGGAGTCACCTCACCACAGTGCACCACGGGGCTCACAGGCGCAGACGGGGAGGGGTACCCGCTTACTGTCGGGGCGACTGAGCCGCTCACCCAACCCGGGGCCTGGCTCTCCTCCCGTGTCGGGGGCACGATGGACCTATTCGTCACATTCTGCCCGTCCCCCCTTTTCCACGTGGAGAGCCCCTCACGAGTGCAAAACCCTGCCTCTGTTAGATTCAGGAACCAAACGACCTTGAAGAGTCTCACGGTCACTGAATTAAACCAGCCGTCAGTCAAGGACGGGCGACTCTGGCTCGTGACTGAGCCGTCGGTGGCTGCCTTCCGCCCACAGCAAGTGGAAAGATCCATCTGCTAAAGGCACCGAGACCCGAGCCGGGGATCACGTGCGACATCCAGGCCCCAGGAAACGTGGACGGAGGGCAAATTAGCTTCCCCACAAGGTCAGAAATGCACCCTTGTCCCCTATAGGCAATTCTTTAAGTTCCTGAAGGAAGCTGAATAATGATAAACTCAACCATCTTTTCCCCTCTTAGGAGCTCTGGTTAAACAATGAGGGAGAAGGCCGGTTTCCAGGCTGACGGGCGGACTTCGGGCCTCGCCGACCAGCCTGTGGGCACAGCCGGGACGTTCACGGAGGACCACGTTCTAACTCTTCCGCTGGGTCAGGAGGACAAAGCGGGTTGAAGGGAGTTTTTTGAAAGCTTGCCAAGAAATATTTACACTTCACACTGAGATGAACCCCAAGAAAATCAAATGAATCATTATGGCTCCACTTTTTCTATGGGAGCGTTTTTATTTTTAGTTTTCTGTGGGCCTCCTCATGACTCACCTGCCTGTTCATCTCATTAGCAGATGCGGCCGCACGGTTAGTCACAGCACTGTTAGGCATCACAGAACGAGCACAGAACGAGCACACAGGGCACTGGAAACCACGCACAGAAAGCAAGGGGCATGCTCATCATTCCACCCGGGGAGAAGGTGCGAGAAGCTCCAGTCCACAGTCTCGCAGTCTCCACGGAAACACACGGAAGAAAATGTGGGAGAACTCACAAATAGCGCTCTACAGACTGAGGCGGTATTTTCACAGAACACCAGTCCAGAGGCTCGCCTCTCTTTCAGGTAGCCACACCCAAAGTTTCCCTCGTAGATACTCTTAGGAAAGTGGAAATGGGGGGAGGAAGCAGAGAACAGTGGACTGCGGTCAGTGCGCACGAGAGGCACCGCGGACAGGAGCGCGCAGGGCAGGCCGAGACCCGCAGGCCTGAGAGGCCGGCGACGCTCCCACGGCGTGCGCCCGGCCGGGCGGTGCTGCTGAGGCCCTGCGCCTCGGCGGCCAGAGCACACCCCATGCGCCTGGTGCCCTTTCACAGGAGGTTGGTAAACTCACCTGGGTTTTCAAAATAGTTTTGTTTATGTGACGTCTTAAGATTTCAACTTAATGTGATGAAACACAGTTTTGAAGCACAGTCCACCCAACAGGGTGCTTTCTGTGTGTCCTAAAATACACCGCCCGCTCACTCCCTCCCATCAGGCACAGTGCTCACAAATGTGACTGTGGCTAAAAACCAAGAGTCCTGCCACACGAGGAACCCTGTAGAGGAAAGGTTAAATGATGGTGAGAGAACTTCCCCAAACTGAACTTGTAACAGGAAAAGCCACAGACTTCAGACTGGAAGACAGGCCCAAAGGTGAAGGGAACCCTTTAAGAGAAACCCAGATGTTAGCCTGAGTAAAGAAACTGCCACTAGAAAGCATGACTGTGGCTGACCCCTGACCAGCAGGCGTCTCGGTGGCCGCGGGGCTCGGGGTCACTGCGCCTCTGAACGGGGCCGGGAACTCGGGCGAGCGCAGAGCTGACTGCGGTTACACGGGGATTTCAACGCGGGGTTTGCAGCCCTAACCCCCAGGTTGTTCAGAGTCAGCTATACACACAATTTCAGACAAAGAGTTCACGTACATGTTCCCAGTGGGGAAATCAATGCTCGAGAGATGTTAATTGTTAAAAACTTTACATAAAGGCACCAATACCCAAAGCACGTTTACTGTGCTGCTGAGCACAGCCCAGGGGACGCACAACCCCGAACCCTGAAGGTGCCGAGATGGGCTGGTTTCATAAAGTGAAGGGGCCACGGTCGGCCCCGGCGAGGCGAGGGCAGGCTGGCGGCCTCGGCGACACACCGAGGTGCGCCAGGGGCCGAGGGACACTTTGCTCCCTGTGTGTCCACGGGGACAAGGGACTCGGGGGGCAGGCACAAAGGGCCTGGACGAATGAGCGCCCCCCACTGTGGGAGGGAGCCCCGGCAGCGGGGAGCAGTCGGCTCTCCGTCCACGAAACGGGCCTTTGGCACGTGAGGCAGAGCGAGGACCAGGAGCAAACCAGCGCGGGGGCGGGCCACACCGATCGCAGCAAGAGCACGCTGCTTGTGCGCCGCGGGGCCGGACCACGGTGCGGGGGTCACGGCAGGCTGTGCCGGCTGAAATGCACGACTTGTCTTCCCCAAGGTGCAGTGGTTACCTATAAAAACTGTTCTTCACATTGTTTTCTAAGAGCAAAGCAATTCTGATGCAAACAAGGTGCACCTGCTCTGGGCCATGGGCGCCGTGCGAGGCAGGAGACCACGAGGCAGCGCGTGTCCGTCGACCGCGCAGGTGCCCCAGCGGCCGCGGCTCTGCTCACACTCCGCTCCCCAGCTCCCCACCCCCGCGGTCCCACCTGTCACCCAGCCACCGGCAGTCAGGATGGGTTTGTCCTCAGAGGTGCTTCATTTCATTCCCACGTCAAATAGAGAATAAGCAACTACGTTTTACTACTGAGTGACTTTCTGTGGAATGTCTCCTTCCGTAGCAACAGGGGAACTGCATGAAGCGCCTCTGAATCAGACATTTCCTCACACAGCGCACGGAGCACAGACAACCCTGAGCATCCTGAGTGACGGAAAAGATGCACGATCATGAGGTAACTGTCCCTCTTTGCAGCTGCTTCTGGGCTGGAGTGAAGGGAAAACACAGCCACAGGAGCAGGTGGCAGCGCGGAAATCAGCACCCCAGCAAGTCCCCACAGTGCTACCCACCGGGAGGTTCCTCGCGGAGTCCAGGTACAAGACCAGCAAGGCAGACGAGAGACCATCGTTGGCCTGGCCTTTGTCGGCTCTGATGTCTGTGAGCACCTGCGAGGAAGGAGAGGCGCCTCAGCGGGTGCTCTTCCACATGGCGACACCTGCGATGCTCACGAGAGTAGAAGAGCAGGACACGGAATCCCCCACTATGTGCACGCAGAGAGAGGAAGCACGTAAACCCCCCACTACGTGCAGGCGGAGAGAGGAAGCACGTAAACCCCCCACTACGTGCAGGCGGAGAGAGGAAGCACGTAAACCCCCCACTATGTGCAGGCGGAGGGAGGAAGCACGTAAACCCCCCACTACGTGCAGGCGGAGAGAGGAAGCATGTAAACCCCCCCACTACGTGCAGGCGGAGGGAGGAAGCACGTAAACCCCCCACTACGTGCAGGCAGAGAGAGGAAAGAGGAAAGACTGTCCCCCTGGCAGAGGAAGCACGCAGCGATCTGTGGAACCCTGGCACTGTATCAAGCAAAAGATGTGAGGATCTTGTAGAACAGGTGTAAACGACCAGTGAATCTTTTTAAAATTCTGAGCCTCCAGCACAATCACCCACAGTCCTGCTGCAGCTTTCTGAACCGTGGTGCAGCACCACTGGAAGAAACTGCTGTCAGCAGTCGGGAACGCGGTCACGCACCTGGTCCAGGTGGGCAGCATGTGGCAAGAGTGTGAGCCACTCCAGTCTCAGGTGCAGCTTTCCTCTGGGGACCTCGTCCAGGGTGAACCACTGAAGACAAATGTGCAGGTTCAGCAGGTGAGCTCCTGAGTGTGGGGTCTGCAGGGAGGGAACATCCACAGCCCTGCCCGCTGCCCGAGGCCACCTCCGAGCTCCACAAATAGAGCCCTGGGGGGCAAGTAACTTTCACCCCAATTTACACTCAAGGACACAAATGTCTCCCAGCTCCATCAGCGCCAACATATGGACTTTAATAGAATTGATGGGGCAAGAGATAATAACATCAAGCTCAAATGCTGAATTTCAATATCAAACAAGTTAGCATGTTTGTTTTTATTCATTACTATATACCAGTAACAAAATAGCAGTTGTTTCAGCTTAAAAACATCATAGCAGTTAATCCCAGATGATCCCCAGACCGCAGTGTTGGAAGAGCTGGCCGGGACTGGGCCCGCGCGGGCTCACCCGTGGCGCTCGGCTCTGCAGGCAGTGGGCCGCGGCACTGACCCGCTTTACTAATCACGCTGCACTCACCCAAAGCCACTACCGACGTTCCTTTCTCACACTTTTATTCAGACAGCAGGTCCCCCTGGAGGTGCTGCCGCCTGCTGCCTGTGCCCGCTGTACTTGCAGACCCTCACGGGGCGACCTCGCATCGGCCCCCTCTGCTTTAAAATGCTCGTCGCCGACAAACGAAGAATAAAGCGAACGCTCTCATCAAGCAGTGGCTCAGCGGCCACGCCCTGACTCCGAGGCCGAGCCAGTGCCTGCCTGAAACACAGCCTGGGCTTGCGTCTTCACGGACGTGCCCGGCTCACAGCTGGTGCCCAGCACGCATTCTGTGATTTGGCTCTTAGACGCCTGTCCACTTTGCTGTTACCACAAGGCCTAAGCTCCTAGTGTCTGAGAGGCAACTGTCAAGTTTCCGGGACACAGGGGCGGGGCGTCCGCACTCAGTCGACGCCCTTCAGACAGACAGACAGAACGAGGCGCCCGGGCACTTACTTCATCCAGAAGGCGCTCCTTCTCCACTTGGGTCAGATCGAGCATGAGGCTAGAGAAGCAACACACAACCACTCAGGGCGCAGCGGCGCACTCCTGACAGCTGCAATGACTGAGATGGGGGTTACTGCCACCCCGGGAGCCCCCACGATCCGCTCCCCGTGTCCTGCAGCCGCCCCCGCAGCCTCGCCCCACAATCTGTCCCAGGGGAGGCCTCATGTCTCTTCCCAGGCTGACACCCTCCAGCTTCAATCAGGAGAATCTGGCCTACGCAATGGTTTTACTAACATGCAAACAGCCTGTTCACTGCGCTGCTTAAAGTTTGTTCCTTGTTAAACTGTCTCGTAAATGAATTCTTAAGTCACAGTATGACATAGCCATTCTCGATGATGCCAAACCTGTCCAATGTTACCCATTCCTGTATCTCTTCTCACCTGTCCTGGTTGTTCAATTGGAGTAAACAAATCAGTATTTTCTTTTTCAACATAAATTACTATTCCCTCCACTCCCCTCCACCCCCCAAAAACCTCACCAAATGGACACTGTTTAAATCCCTATTTCTACTTCTAGAGCCCTGCTGCCTGCCCGGGGGGAAGGCTGGAGGCCTGGCCTGCGGGGCCGCGAGCCGCACGGCCGCTGAGCACTCCCTGCGGGGCGCGCACAGCCGTGGCAGCGACGTTCCCGTCCCGTTTGACTCGAATACGTCCAGGGGCTGCTGTGGCGGACCCAGCTCCAGGAGCTCCCTTCGCTTATGTACGTGTGTAGCTTGTTAGGAATAAGCGTGGGCCAGGAAGCCTGAGGTGGGACAAATGTTATGCCCAGCAGCCACATGCATGTCCACAGATCTACTTCTGAAGTTACATTACAGTTTTCAGACATGTTAAAAACAGAGTGTGAGCCTGCACCCTGCTCCGGCCCAGAGGGCTCACCTTCCCAGAAAGTCGTCCTTGTCCGGGTCTTCGTCGAAGAGCTCGATTTCCAGTTCCTGTCCAGGGTGCTCATAGACCAAGGCCTGAAAAATTGACAACCTGGGGTCAGTCCACACTTTTACTAACATCATCGTCTGCTGAGTATGACGATTATAGCAAATGCCACCATGTGCTTCTCTCGGGCGCTCAGCCCCTGTAAAGCACGCACGTTTTCTCACCCTCAAACCATGCACCCTCGTGTTTGGAAACGTGCCCACACAGCAGCAGTCTGCTGCGCTTGTTTCCGGTGGGGCTACGTCTTAGGGGCTGGGCTCCGTGGCTCTAGAGCAGGACAGCCTACAGCCTGGAGCGGCCTCTGCGCAGACGCTGTCCTTGGATGACCCACTGCCCCCAGCACCACCCAGAGACTAGGGGCTCGGGGGCTGAGAAGCCGGAGCAGCGTAACCTGCACTGGCCCTGGAGGGCTCTCTGCTTCCGACACATGTAGCTTCCGGTGCAGCAACTCCACTTTGAGGAGCTTCACATGGGGAAAGGCAACCATGTAAAGAACACGCTTGCCTCACACGTGCACAGGACAGTCAGTGCGGAACCCAAGAGCTGAGGTCTCTTTGGGTTAAGAAGTGACGGTGTCTGTCCAGTGAATGGCTGTTACAAACCAGGCCCAACCACATTCACTGACACGCATGGGTGTCCTGCTATGTTACATGACAGTTTACAAGAGGGCGTGTAATCTCATTTTTGCACATATTACTGTGTGTTGATAATAACATAAAACATTCACATTATGAAAAACTTCTGCCAATTATTTATTGTGATAGCTTTATGCAATTAAAGTCTCAAACTTTATGTGTTGGCATGACACACACAATTTTAGGGGAAGTGCAATACTTTTTAAAGGTGGGAGGGTGAAGTGAAGAGAATTTAAATCGCCACCTCAGTGAACTGCCGCCCGGTGAGGCAGCAGGGCAAGCGCCACCCGGGACAGAGCCTGGCGGCCGCCTCACCTCATACACCTCGTTCCACCTTGGACTCAGGCTCTCCTTGATGACCTTGCTCTGGAAGAGCTGGCTGCCGACTCGGATCACGCCATAGGGGTCTGACTTGCCCTTGACAAGCCCCTTAAGGTAGGTGTCCTTCCCCTGAAGGTCCTGAGCTTCAATGAAGTGTATCCTGAGAACACCCTGAGAAGACAAGAGCGCCGGCTGCGGACCGGTTCACCCGCCAGACAGGAGCGCCGGCTGGACCGCTGGGAGCCGACGGTCTTGTCTGCCCCTCCCAGGAAGGCAGTGCGCGGGGCGGGGACAGGGGCGGCGCTCAGGAAACCACACAGGGACTGTTCAGACAGGAGGCTGGAGGCAGCAGGACGTGGGGGGCGAGTGGCTGAGCCCCCGGGAGACTCTGGGCAGACGACCCAGAGCGACCCTGTGCTCAGGGGCCGCAGCTGTCAGATCAGAGTGGCCTCGTGGGTCACTGAACAGCCCTGTTTGATTCTACAGTAAGTGATGCCACAGGATGGGACGTGTTGGCCTGTTACGAAGCTTGTGGTGTCGTCCCTTTGCTTGATGTTTACAACAATCCTGTGAAATACTGTCATTAGCCTATTTATAGACAGGAAACCGAAACTCTGAAATTCATACTACTCACAGACTCCAAACACAGTTCTCTTTTCCTAAAATGGTGTTTAATTGATAAATAAAAAACAGTGACTCTTATTTCTTTCAAGGCCAGCAAAGGCAGTCAGGCTGCCTTGGGTAGGGTAGCAGTCTCCCCCACAAACCCTTTTCCAACAGTCCTGGGCTGTCACGCCGTCTCTGCCACCCGAGGCCCCGGCTGCAGCCCAGGGGCACCCCAGCCTGCGCCCACGGAGAGCAGCAGACCAAGCACCGGCCGCACCACCATCCGTGCGCGAGGCACGGGAGATCCTGACGCCCCAGCCGCGGCTGGCCCCCCCACCACGCCCGTGTGCCGGCGGCAACGGAGGCTGGGGCGCGCTCACCTTTGGTATCGGAAACCGCAACTGGGCTATTTGGACGTCGCTGACAAGAGGAACCGTGATTCGATTGGGAAGCACCAGGTAGTTTGATATTATATCCAAAATGATAGTATCTGATAAGCCACTGTTAGGTGGGAGGCAAAAAGAAGGCAACAGTTACCAGACACCCCCCTTCAGCAGCACGCTCACCACAGACTCGCCACAGTGACCCAGTGACAGGGTTGGAGCGGCCCCTTCCCCGACCCCGGCTGAACACCGACCGGCAACACTGCGGTGCTGCCTGTCCTGGCGGTGGCTGCAGCCACAGGTCCCGCGCCCCTACACACCTTTACCATTGATTTAGTGCTGAATAGCTAATATCTGTGTCACTCAGTTTCTTTTGTTAACATAAAATATTTCAAAGTTCCGTAAAATCAAACATCCACTCGCTCACTCCACGTTCATTACGTTCGATGTCTCTCCTTATATATGCAGAGCTCCCAGAGAAGTACAAGAATCTGGTTTATGCAGGCTGCACTTGGGCACAGAACACTGTGTTAGTCTGAGACACTACATACCACTGCAGAGATCTCAGGCTAAAGAGACGAAGGCACATTCAGTACACTGCTTGCCTGCTCTTTGGAGCAAACGCGAGCAGGACGTAACATGCATGTGCACGTACGTTCATGAGGTTTCACCGCTACAGAAGAGCGCCCGGAACGTACGTGCCGAGGAACTGCACAAGCAAGGGCGCCCGCAGGACAGGCGGGGCCCTGATGCGGCCGCCAGACGGAAGTGGCCCACAGACCCGGCCCCGGGGAGACAGGCCCCGGGCACCGCCACCGAGCCGACCGCGGCACGCGACGGCACACTCACTTCAGTCCCGGGATGTCCAGAAGGTTGGTCAGTCCTGTCCAGTTAATTTCTAAAAGCTGTTTAAAAAAGGGGGGGAAAGAACGTTAGCCCAGTCACTTCCAACCAGCACACCCAATCACACAGGCATGTCTCTCCACCCACCAACACCGCCCTGCGCCGCCTTCCCTTCGAACCACCGAGGCCGCCGTCCTGCCGGCACCTGCAGAGCGGCCGTCATTTCGACGGGTGATGATGCCAGTTTCCCAGTAAAAGCATGTAAGGGTCTGTGTGCCCGTCCCCCTGTCGATGGGCACTGCAAGTGTTTATTATAACCCCGCTCTTATTAGGCCAGGGTTCAGTGAGGGCCCTTCTACAGACGCGTCCTCCTGGGCACACGCAAACGGACACACAAAAGGTAAGCGTTCCCGTCAGAGGCGCGCGCTCCCTCTTCACAGTCGCAGTGCTGCCCGAGCACCATGCAGCAGCTGTGCCGATGCACACTCCCACCGAAAGTGGCGGAGGCTGTCCCTTCTCTGCATCCTCACCAAAAAGAAAGGAAAACTCAGTCCATTTCGCAGCTAAAAATGGCACTTCCCCACTGTTTCAATTTGTATTTTCCTGACACTAGTGGCACACATTCCACCCATTCATGCATCACCTGGGGTTTCTGGCTCATTTTTCTACCAGGTATTTGTCTTAGATGATTCCCGCACAGTGGGCGAGGTGGCTGTGGGTGGGTAAAAACCATCGCTTAGAAACACTGCTCTTCCTGTCACAGCGGATCCTGCACCGAGCCCACTTCCCAGCGCTTCTGTCGGGGGAGATACACCGAGCGAGGCCGCCTGGTCTCGTCGCCACACAGCGAGGCGCACGTTGCTGCTCAGGCCCCTCTGGGAAGTGCTTGGTCATAAACAAGCCCAAAACTAGAAAGCAGCCGGCTTTACAAGGCCTCAGAGACTGACATTTTTCAGCCCAAGAGAAGTGAGATGTAAACACGCATGGCTAATAGCAGCATGGGCTTGTGCTCCTCCCTCCGGCCCCCCAGACGACAGGCCGGGGAGCAGAACACCCCGAAGTGGCTGCCCCGCCAGCCCCGGAACTGTCTGCACAGACGCCTCCCGCTGCAAGGAGCCGGGGACACTGCCAGGACAGCAGGCGCCGGCCTCGGCGTCTCGCGGCATCAGGAAGCCCGAGGAATCCCAAGGCTGGCGAGGGGGCTGTCAAAGGGCAGGTCCCCCGGAAGGGACCGTGGCCAAAGACGACAAACCTGTCAGGCGACAGAGGGCCTATGCACGTGACCCTCGTCAAAATGACAGGGCGCGCCTGTTTCACTGCTCCCCGAGTTCAGAGAAACAAACGCCAGGGAGGCAGGCGCAGGATTCGTGGAAGAACAGGACCCAGATGGGACTGAGGAGAAGGCGCATGTGAACGCAAGACAGAGGCCCCACGTCCAAGGCCTGGAAGCAGGGGGAGCCGACCTGTCCCTGAACACAGGGACCGTTCAGGCACAGGAAGCACCCCGCGTGGATAAAGGTGGGAGCAGTGGACAAGTAGTGTGTGAGCACAAGTGTGAGTGAGCGAGAACGCGTGTGTGTGAGAACACGAGAGCACAGGAGAGGCCTGAAAGCCGAGTCTGGGAAGTCAACACAGGGACAGAGGGGAGAGCCCATGAGGAGGGACAAGCAACTAAAATTAGTGTCCCTGTCCCCTGCGTCTGGATGACTCAGATCTGTTTCGGGAAACTGAAGGGCCAGGGAGTCGTGTTTCCAAAGGCAGGAAGCCACCTCGGGCGGCTGTGGCTCCTGTGAGACGCGGGACACACAGCGAGCGAGCCGCAGCCCACCTGGAGCGAGGCAGCCGCGCCCGCACGTGTCACGGGAACACGCAGCCGCGCCGGCTCCCCTCTGCTCCCCCTCAGCGCCCGTTGCGTGGACGCAGTAGAGTCTGCAGCTCGACAACAGCCACTGTTTGTTTTGGCACTCACTGTGCACCAGGCACCACAAGCGCACTCATTCTTCGGTGCAGAACGTGAATCACCCAGGAGTCCGTTAAGAACACAGGCTGGTGGCTCCCGCCCTTCCCCTGCGTTTCTGAAACCGTCACTTTGGGCTGGTGGTGAAGGTCAAGAACGTCGTCCATCTGTTTTGAAAAGCTCGCAGGACGGCGACCCCCACTGGGATGCAGGCGGCTAGAGGCAGCATCGCCTTGGGGCAGCCCCGGCCTCAGGCAGCAGCCCAGCCGGAGACGGGTTGCCCGCGGGGCGTGCGGGGGGCCAGCGTGGGCCCCGCCGAGGTCCACAGGCCCGGGGCGTGCGCCGCCGCCGGGGGGGGGCCGGGAGACCCCTGCTGCAGGGGTGAGGCCGGGAGGCGGCTGCGCTGCTGGGGAGGCAGGGCCCGCTGCCCAGTGTGAGGAACAGAGGCCACTGCGGGCGGGGGGGCGGGGGGCACACAGGGCAAGGCCCACTGCAGCTGGGGACGGCGAAGGCGGAAAGGCGCCCGGGTGCCTTGGCGGGGGGAGGGCACTGCCCAGGCCCTGGCCATTGGGGAGCCCATGTTGCTGGGCCACTGCGTGCAAACCCACCTGCACAAGACCTACCAAAGGCACAAGCGCAAGGAGGGCGGTCACTGGAAGAGCAGCGGCCCCACGGCCCAGCACAGGCAGCAGCAACGCGGGGCCCATGCCCCCGCCCCCCACCCGGGCACGCAGCTCGCTGGGCCCGCTGAGGAGAGCTCTCAGGCCACGGGCTGAGGAAGCGAAGGAACTCCCCGAGAACACCCAGCAGGGGAAACGCCTCGGCGGCTGCCGGGCTGGAAGGGGAGGCGCAAGGCGGCTCACGGGCTGCAGACTCACCCGGGGGCCTCGCCCAGGCCACGCGCCCTTCCTGCTCCTGTGGCTGAGCACCCGCCCCCGACCCCTGACCTGCCCAGGCAGCGCAGGGTGAGCGTGGGAAGGCTCCCTGCCCCTGGGGAAGCGCGTGGACCGGTGGGAGCGGCCTCAGCGAGAGAGACCAGCGCGAGGCCGCGCAGGCTTCGGGCGGCACTGACGTAGGCCACCTTTACTTTCAAAGAAAGCCTCTCCTTTGCTAAAGGCACCTCGACTGCAAACACGGTCCAGCTTCTCCCCATCACTGTGAAAGGAAGACAGTGCTTTCCCCTTAGTGGGGAGAACAAAGCCGTGGGTCAGGCCCGGGGGCCCGAGCTCTGCTGGCGCCCCCACCCCCCCGCCCTGGGGCAAACCCACCCGCAGCAAGCCCCAAGCATCTCCCAGACAAGTCCCGGAACGGCCTCCTGGCCGCGCTCTCGGCTGATAGACCCCCGGGGTGGGTCTGGAAAAGACCTGAAGGCCCTACGACGCCCAGGAGGGCGTGGGCCAGAGCGACCCCTGCACCCGTCCAGTCGGCAGCGTGAGGGGCAGCCCACGCCACGGACACGCCCGCGGGGGACGCTGGCCCGCCCTGGCTCTTCCCCGAAGCCTCGCCCGAGCCCCGAGCTCACTGGCTCCCGCCCCCCGGAGCCGGGGCCCGCCGCGAGGCGGACCCCTCGCAGGGGAGACGTGCCATCTCTTAGACGCCCGGGGGCTTGGGCATGCCAGGCACCGGACCGGGTGGCTCTCACCCACTGACATCTACTTGCTCTTCACGTTTAACCCCTGGGGTAGGTATCACTGCCGCCCCTGACAGGTGGGAAAACTGAGGCCCAGAGAAATCGATGAGTTGTTCAAGCTCCCAGCAGGAGGAGAAGGGACGGGGGGCGCGGGGACCAGGCTGAGAGCCGAGCCTCACGCAGCCGGCCTGCAGCTCTGCCCACCGCCAGGCCCGGCCTGGACACGCGCTGACAAGGACAACGCGCACAGGGTCCCTGTGGGTCTCTGACACGAAGCGCCTAAATCTTCCGGAGGAAAACAAAACGAAACAAAACCCCGAGTCTCTCCCGCTGCACTTTTCCCTGGGGTGAGGACGACTTGGCAGCTGGTGGTGAATTCTGTTCTCATATTTTCCAGTTGAAAGTAACTGAAAAAACTCCTTCTGTCCAAAGGATACGTTTGGTGACTTTAGTCTCCATATAAGGCAATGAATGATCCTGAACTTTTCAGAGCCTCATCCTTCTTTTCCGAGCACTGAAACTTCGCCTGGAAGTTATGATGATGCTACTTTTTTTTTAAAGATTTTATTTATTTTTAGAGAGAGGGGAAGGGAGGGAGAAAGAGAGGGAGAGAAACATCCATGGGTGGTTGCCTCTCGCGCACCCACAGCTGGGGACCAGGCCTGTGCCCTGACAGGGAATTGAACCAGTGACCCCTTGGTTCACAGGCCGGCGCTCAGTCCACTGAGCCACGCCAGCCAGGGCTGATGTTATTTTTTTTAAAGTAACTGCACCTAAAAGATCCACTAAGGAAGAGTATTACTAAGTTTTGAAGAAGATTTAAGGATTTGGATTCTGCACTTAAGTAAAAGGACATTTTGTTAGATGGTTAAAAATCCACAGTAAGTTAAAATACTCAACGATTTGTTAAAGATTAGCTTTTTATGCTTGTTAATGATGAAATACGCTGGCTTTTAAAATCTGTTACGCACTCTCACAATTTAAGTTAAAGCCTGGCACACGGGTCCCTTAGCCGCCTCTGAGCCTGCCACGCTCTGTGTGCAGCTGCCCCAGCCTGAGGGGGTCCGAGACCCCCGTGGCGCCTGCGTGCGCTCTGCATGCTGACCCCTGTACGTGCCATGTTTTCCAGTATGTAAATAAATACCTACGATAACGCTCGATGCACAAAGTAGGCACAGTAAGAGATGAACGGCAACAGTCCCCATAAACCAGGACAATCACCAAGCGAGATGAGAGCTGCTCGGACACAGGCGCTGGGGCGGCGACCGGACCGCCGAGCCGGCTCCTCAGCGAGTGACCCGCGGCGGGGAGGGGGCCTGGGGGCGGGGGGGCCGGGGCCCCGCGGGATCCCACCCGCTGCTCAGGACAGCGCGCGATTTGAAGCTGATGACGCGTTTATGTCTGGATTTTCCATTTAATATTTTCAGACCACGGTCGATGACAGGCAACTGAAACCATGGAAAGCAAAACCGTGGGTAACGGGGGCCACTGTCATTAAAACACATGCAAAATACGCCCGTATCTAGGCAGCAGAAGGCACGTGAGAATGGCAGTGGTAATGGAAATATAAAGTGGGGACACGCATTCTTATACGGAAGAGCCGCTTGCAGCCCGGTCCAGGCAAACCCAACAACGGTGTGTACCCGGTCATTCGCGTCAAGTTGCACAACAGAGGGTCCCACTTGCAGCTGCACGTGACGCTGACGGCACGTCCTGGCAGAGCCCCTGGAGGGTGACACCACGGCGCTGTGGGCGGGGCCCGCTGAGACGCCGGCCGCTCACCCCCAGCCATGCCTGGGCTGCGCGGAGACTGGCGCTGTGCTCCCTAAGAGTTGCCAGGACGTGAGCAAGGAGGCCCAGGGCGCACGGGCGAGGGCAGGCGCACGGGCTGAAGACAGCGCTGCAGAGGGTGGCAGGCTGCTACTGCCGCTGCAGACGGCCCCTCCCTCCGGGCGGGGAGGGCGGGCACCCAGGGGTGCTCCTGGGGCAGCGGCAGGAACTGAGGCTGGGGACAGAGGCCCGGCTAGACAACAATGACCCTGCAAGCGAGGGGCCGCCCCCGGTGCGCCCCTCTGCACCTCGGGCAGGTGCCCGAGTGGTGGGCGACGCCCCCTGAGGACAGAGGCCAGGCAGGACGGCAACCAGAGACCATGGGAGCCATAGGGAGGGGGGGCCTATGTAGGAAGGGTGGCTGTGTGGTCTCATTTTTGTGGTCACTGATAAGTAATAAGTATTGAACGCTTCTAACGAAACAATGGAATCACACACACATCTCACCCTGTAAAGGGATGACATCATGATTTATCCGAGTGTTAGAATAAAACCCAGTATGAAGAACCTTCAAGACTTTTGAAACCCTACTTGCTGACTGCAGTCCACACGCACGCGTGACGGGCAGGCTGCGCGCGGGACGCAGGGCGAGCAGCAGCCCCACGGCCGAGGCCGGGCGCACGCAGGCCCCCAGACTGGCTCTGTGACGGGACAGACGGGGGTCTCCCTCTTGGTCAGGAAAAGGGAGCCATGCCGCTGTTTCACTCGGGTACGAGGATTCAGTGAGCGAGTACCTGCAAATCACCCCCAGTGGCAGGTGTGGAATGTTGATCACAAACCTACACTGGAGAGAAGCCTGTTTTCCCATTTTCTGTAACGTATTATTTCTATCACCAGGACAAGCCTCCCCGTCTATTGAAAGAGACGAACCCTCCTCCATCAGGGCCTACAGAGGTGGGAGTGTGCAGGACGCAGGCATCAGAGCGAAGGGGATCAGACGCCTCTCCATGTCACGTGACCTTCGACACGGACGCCTTCTCGTCAGTGAGCGGGAAGGTAGGACCGAAAGAGATGCCAACTTACGGGCTTCCTGAGGAAGAAGATGGACAAGGCTCCCACTAACGGCATGTCTCCAATCAGCGGTTCCAGGATCACCCGCATCGTGCCGTGAATCTAAGTGCAAATGGAAGGCAAAGCATGTAACAGCGAGCGGGCCCTCGGCCAGTCACGGCGCAGGGAGGAAGCACACAATCGGCCTCGTAAGACCTCACGTAGAGCCCACCGAGACATTTAACTGCCCCAGAAACGTCACCGTTCTCTTTCTGAATACAGCACAGAGAACTTCAGAACACCAGAAATGTGAGAAACCTTACCTGAATACTTTGCACACCAGCTCTGCAAAAATATCGCTTGATCTCCAAGTCAATCTCACAATTTCCTACAAAACTAGCAAAGAAAAGTTCTGTTACAGTCTCCTCATTGCCACAGGCCTGCGAGGGGTGTGACTGGAATAAAGTAACGAACAGCGAGGCAGCCAACCCCAGGCTGCGACCTGCGGACCTGCGGCCCGAGTCCGTTCCCGGCCGAGGCTGCAGGCGTCCCCGCTCCCGCCGGACCCGCCGGACCCGCCGGACCCGCCCGACCCACCAGCCGCTGCAGCCTGGGTTCCTGTGACAGACGTCCCTTCCCAAAGGGCACCTGGGGTGCCTGATGGAATGTAGTTTTCGTTTGTTTTAGAAGCAACAGTCTTCTCCGCCGGAGGAGCCCGGCTCCCGACCTAGGAAACCCGTGGGAGCGCCGGACCCCGAGGCCGCCGCCTGGGCGAGGCCCCGCCTTCCTCACTGAAGCGGTCACTGCGGTCTTTCCCGTGGAACAGCAGTCAGGGCGGGGTCTGTGTGACCCGACCCCCCCTTGACTCCAGAGCGCTGCACCCTGTGCATCTGAAACTCTGCCCCCAGGGAGCACGCGCTCCCAGGCCACGGCCCCTGCTGTCTTCTGGTTCGATTGGACAGCTGGCTGTCAGGACGGGCGGGCGTGAGGTGCGACTGCGCAGTAGTTTTGATTGCATTTTCCTGATTACCAGTTAGGTTGAGCATCTTTTCACATACCTGTTGTCCATTTGTATATCGTCTTTGGAGAAAGGTCTATTCAAGCCCTTTGACGTATTAGAATCAGGTTATTTTTGTTGTTGAACTACAGGAGTTCTCTACGTATTCTACCTATTCTGGAACCCAGTCCCTTGCCAGATACACGACTGTGTGGACGGCACCGGTTCTACCGTTTGCGGTCAGTGTTGACATTTAACAGCATTAAGTCTTCCAAACCATGGACAAGCGATGTCTTTCCATTTGTCATCTTTAATTTCTCACAGTGCTGTTCTGTGGTTTACGTTATACAAGTCTTTCACCTCCTTGGTTAAATTGATTCTTAAGCATTTTATTCCTTTTTGATCCTACTGTAAAAGAAATTGTTTTCTTAATTTCCTTTTGGACTGTTCATTGTTAGTGTATAATTTGTAACTAATCTTTTTGTGTGATTTTTGTATCCTGCTAGTTTACTGAATTCGTTTACTAGTTTTAAGAGGTTTTTTTGTGGAAACTTTAGTGTTTTCTATGTAGAAGATTGTATCGCCTGTGAACACAGATAATTTCACCCCTTCCTTTCGAGCCAGGTGCCTCTTCCTTCCCTCTCCTCCTCCCTACCTGCCTTCCGGTGCTGGGTTTCCTCACAGGGTGAGGGCACCCTGGCCTCGGCCCGACCTCGGGGGAGAAGCTTGCGCCCCCACTGCCGGGGGGGTTGCTGAGTCTCAGGGGGGCCGGAGACAACCTCACCTTTCCTTGCTGTGGCGTGCGGTCATCGTGAGCCAGTGCCGGACTGTGTCACAGACCTTTTCTGCGTCCACGGAGGTGGCCACGCAGTGTTCTTCCTTCAAACCGCGAATGGGGTGCACCCCACCGACGGATTTTCACATTGAGCGACGCTTGCGTGCCAGGAATGAACCCCCCTCGCTCATGGTGTGAGGCCTTTTCAATGTTGCTGAATTCAGTTAGCTGGTATTTTGTTAAGGAGTTTGGCATCACTGATTGTGAGGAATTCGATCTGTAGTTTTCCTCTAGTGGCTTTAATTTCTTTTATTTAACATGTTTTATGAATGCCAATTATCTAGGCTATTAGGAACCCACAAAGTAAATAAATTTGGGTCTTCATCAAGAATTTAGACAAATCCCACCGAACAGCAGGCAGGAATTATGCTCCATATACCCTCCACCACATGGGCAAAGTGACATTACATGTCACTAACCATGGCCCAAACAGGACACGAATAAAAACTTACCTAACCTGAAGGTCCAGAATAATCTGCCTTTTGTCCACATTTTCAGTGTACACCTTGACGCCATTGATCCTGAGGGGCTAAACAAGAAGTGGCTTATTTTAAAATGCAGGGATGGTAAAGAAAACCACAACAAAACCACCAAACCTCGCGGCAGGGCACAAGAACTGAGGAGCGTGCGCCGCAGCGACCAGCAGGAGTGACAGCCCGCTCTCACGCCACGCCAGCCGGCCGCACTGTCTGCGAGGTGCCTCGCTCCTGTGACGCGGGGGTGGCCGTGCGACCAAGGACCCAGGCGCGCGGGCACTGACGGCGCGTGGCCCTTGTCTCTTACCACGTACTTCCCCTCTGCCCTACCCTGACCGCTCTGCGTGAGACTCAGCTGCCGTTCAGTGTTTTGTCTTGTAATTTTTCATTTTTTAAGATTTGCACAAAAATGGGACTTTTGAACGAATCAAAATGACCAGCTGTGGGTATAATTTCAACCCCTGACACATGACGAGGGTCTGAATCAAATGACCGTAAAAAGAAAGGCAGATCGTAATGGACGCCCTATCCTAAGGGCCCAGTCATAACACCGTTCCGACACCTCTCCATCCGCCCACCCAGCCGACACCCTCCTGCTCTGGGACACCCCCGCACCACTGCTGACGGGACGGGGGCCCGCCCCCTCCGTGAGGCCCGGGGCTAGGCCCTCGGTCTTCACCAGGAGCCCGCGTTCCCCACACCCCAGGTCCTGGGCTCTTCCCCGATGACACCAGCTCAGACAGGTACCGCCGGACGGAGCACAAAGAACACAGTCGTCGTGCTGTGAGGACACGTGGACGTGGGCCTGGGGCTCACTGCCTTTAGCTCACGCCCGCCTCGGGTAACGCCTCTGTCCTCCGCTCTGATCACCAGGCAGAGGCGGGGAGGCCAACCCCACAACGAGGACGGAGCACCAGCTACAGACGGACAGAGGCCCGAAGGCTGGAGGCCCTCGGCTCCGACACCCGGCGCAGACACAGCGCCCTGCCCGGGGCTCGTCTGTCTGCCTCCGCCTCATCAGACGGCCGAGTCCCCCTCCTCCGTAAGACGCCAGCGTATCGACGAGGCCACCGTCACACACTGATCATCCCCGCTCTTCCCATTCCTGCCGCTCCCCAGCGACGCTCTCGTTCAGTGAAAGCAGGAGCCATGCAGCATGAACACAACTCTTCCTCACGCAAACCGGCCGGGGTTAGAACCCTCAATCTCTACACACAGGAGCACAGAGCGCGCTACGGCCTGCAGGCTGAGGTTGGCTTCGGCTAGGGACGGTGTTTACATTTTAAAGGGTTGTAGAAGAAGGGGACACTGGAGAAGAACGTGCCTCAAAGGCTCACTGTGCCTATCAAACCCTGAAATAGTCAGTGTCCTGGCTCCTGCTTCAAAGTCACAGAGCATTCTGACTTCACCAGCCTGTCGTCACCATCTCAGGTTGCAAAAGTTGCGTCGATGGGAGAGGCGCGTGTCCCGCGGGCCCCCGGGCAGGCACTGGTGCGTGCCTGCAGCAGCACGGCCACCGCCCGGCTGCCCCGGAGGCCTCGGTGCAGCTCCGCACCGCGCACCTGTCCCTGGGTCCCCAGGAGCTCAGCGGCGATGGGCCTTCTCCGCGCAGAGCCAACCGCCTCTCACGGCGGCGGGTGCCCCGGGGAGCGTGGACGGGAGCGAGCCTGGGGCAGGCCAGGCATCGGCCACGTCGGCTCCAGCCCGACAGGCGAGGCCAAGACCCCCGCTGTCTGGCTCGGCAGCACATGCACTGGATGGGCGTCAACTGTGTGGCGGGCACTCTTGAAAGTGCTACTGAATTCTCCGTGTTCATTAGGTTCATGAAACAACGTGACCTTAAAGCTCAAATAATGTCAGATGTCAGCTACACCTCAATTAGAAAGGTCTCCTCAAACTGTTGCTAATTACTGTAAACAGGGACTTAAAAAATAAAAACCGGAAGCTTGCCATGATTGACTAATCGAGAAGCCGTCCGAGAGCTTCGCCAGGGAAGCACCAGGGACCAGCAGGCCTCCTGTGCACGGACAGGCAGGCCGCAGCGACCCCGCGGGTCACCCAGGCCCGCGCCGGGAGACGGCCGGCGCGGCCCAGCGAACCACGGGAGACGTGGGGTGCCCAGTGCGTATAAAGGTTCTGTTCGCACTATACTGCAGTCTAACGAGTGTGCCATGGCATGTATCTAAAAAACACCATGTACATGTTCATTAAAAAATACTTTATTGCTTAAAAACACGCTGTCATCTGAGCCTGTTAGAAAAATGGTGCCGATGGACTCCAGTCAGGCCTGCCACAGACCTTCCATGCGTACAGACCCGCGCCATCGGCGAGGCAGAGCGCGCCCTCGTGAGCTGCGCCGGCGACGCGGTGCCGGCAACAACACAGACCTGTCCCTCCACCTGGGCGACTGGGGAGGCCCACAAGACCGGCACGGGGCAACTTCGGGGCGCACGTCTTAGGCTTGCGGTCCATCACTGAGCCTTTAGTGTGAGTCCCCACACAGAACTCCCTCTCCAAGAGAACAGACTGCTGAAAACTGAACGGAGTTCATTCTGGCAGAAGAGTGAGGGGTAGAAAGAACCCCCGCCCCCTAGTGAACCTGGTCTGAACGAAAGACCACTGTGGACAGAGGAGGGGAGGGGAGGACCCCGCAGCGCCAGGCAAGGGAACCCCACGAGGGGCGGTGCCCGGAGAAGCTGCACAAGCCCCGCCAGCCTTCCCGGGGAGCAGTGCTCTCTGGGAACGACCACGGCGCCCTTTGACCTGCGGTTTCAGTTCCCACCGCAGTCTTCCGCGCGCGCACACAAGGGCGCCACCGAAGGGGACGCTGACCTGCTGACCCATGTCGACTCTGGTGAAACTGAAGGTGCTGAGGTGGGTGTTTGCTCCCCGCACGGCCGGCTCTATGGTTTCTCGAAACAACTTCTCTATAAATTGGCAAATAAAAGGCCACATATGCTTTACCGTCTGGAAAGGAAAAAGAAGTCACGTCAAACAAAATGTTACAACATACAGTGCATGTAAGTCATGAAAATTTATGCCGCCCCGGTACTTTACCAGAATTTTTGAAAATTAAACAGGAGAGCTTTTTGTTATGCAAAAATCGACATGATTTTAAATTTTAAAATGTATTACAATAAACTGCTGATTAACCTATAGGTTGAAGGAATTAGTTATTATGGTTACACGTTCTCTTTATCCATATCAGCACATTTAATGATTGCTAAAAAAACCCAAAAACCAAAAAACCCAGAAAACCCTGTGGTTTCAACTCATTGCTCAAAGCCTTCTAAAACTGTACAGATCTTAATAACCATTAACGAGTCCATCTTCAATGATGGACTAATTTCCTGGGCCGTAAGGAGATCAGTGTCTACATTAGTTTTCACCCCGCAGCGCTAAGGACACATGAACTATGGAGACAACGGAGACCGACGTCAAAGCGCACTGATCTCAAAATGGAACCTTTAAAAAAATTAGACAATTATCTATTTCTGGGATTTTCCCCCTCTTCATAATACTGTTTCCAAAACTTTTCCTTATGATTATTATCTGGATCCAAGCAGTAGACAGAAGTTACCAACTACGAACACCTCACTAACTGTCTCGTATCAAAGACAGTTTCCATGGCTTAGAACAGGACAGCGAGGCATCGCCTGTGACCGAGCCCTTTGGGAGCAGAAGCCAGGCCCCGCGCGTGCACGCGACGCCGACGCCGCGCCCCCCAGTGCGGCAGGGCGGCTCCCACCCCCACGCCCCCACTGCCCCTGCCTCTGCTCTCTCACCTGGTTCAGCCATTCTGCCCTTTCCGTGTCTGGAAAGTGAACCTAAGGGGAAAACACACACACGTGACTGGCGGGCCCCACCACGCAGGCCCGCCCTTGCTGTGACGCTCCTCTAGGCTCCTGAGGCTCGGGAACGGCCGCGGAGGGGGACTGAGCCGCGTGGCACTCGGCCTTCCAGCCTCAGGACGCTTGGGGCAGGAGAGTCTCATGCCATCGAATGCCCCAGGCCCTTCCCCACAGCCCTGCCGTCCAGAGGAAGGCGCCCTGCTGTCCGGGACGTCCAGCCGCCGTCCCCAGGGGCCCGTCGGAAGAACGGTTCCCCCACGCGTGGGCGCCGTCTCGGGTGCTGGCGACCCAGACCCAGACGCACAGTCTTCGGAAGCCCGCCCGCCCGCCTGCCGGGCCCTCCCCACGCTCTCCCACCGAGAACCGCAGGGCGGCCTCTGAGGTCCCCCTGCGCGCCAGAGAGGTGAGTGTTTGCAGAGACAGAATGAAACCCATGGAGAGAAGAGATGAACAAGTGTTTTCTTTGCTGTTAAAACATAAACATTTGTGAAGGAGGCTGAAGCTGCTCTCCTGGGAAATGCTGTCCCCTCCCCGACCCCGCCGCCAGGAAAGGGCGAGCGGAAGCACCCACGTGCTTCTGAAAAACACATTTCTACCCACTTCAAGTCGAGGGCAGGCTCGAAGGCTGGGGTCCTGCCTGGGAGTCCACGTGCAGAAAACTCTGTAGGCAAACCTGCTTGGAGACCAAATCATTACATTTTCAACAAACACGGAGATCATAGCACAAAGCGGTCAACCAGGCTGAGCTCTCTTCAAAGGCTTTCTCGGAAAAGGCGCAGGATACCAGGGAAGGCGGGCCTGAAAGAAGGCCTGATCCCCGAGGGGCCGAGCGACAGACAATAAACCTCCCCGGAACCAAGTTCCTGGGAGACCACTGTGGACGGTGAGTCATCAACCCACCTCTACCGTGTGAAAGAGCGACGTGATGATTGGTCACCGAATGCGCCCTGCACACGTGTGCAGGTTCCGTGCGGAACTATTCCCGTATGTTATCCGAGTGAATTCTGAAAACGAGCCACAGGTAGGAACTACTAATAGCCCACGTTGATGGGGCACCTCAGAGGCAGGCTGGGGACAAAGTCCCGAGCCGCCTGCCTGTGCTGGTGCCGCTCTTCCTGAGGGGCTGGCGGGTACCCCGGAGGCAGACGGCCCACAGAGCCCACCGAGTTCTCAGCATGGCATGGGGCAGCCAAAGAGTGAAGCCTGAAACCTGGACGGTGCGCACGAGGGGCTGGCAACAGCCAGAAGTAGGAACCTCTGCGATCTCTCCACAGCCATCCCTTTCCCTCGACCCTCAAGGTCAGACACAGCGAAGTCCTGAAACAGCTGGTCGAGTCCAGCAAATGTGACAGCCGTTCACAAGGAAGCACTGTTACCAGACCCAGCATTTCACACACGACTAACAAGAGAAGGACTTAAAGCCTGGTTTTGACTTAATATTCACACTCCTTCCCATGAAAGGGCTGGGATAATTACGTAGTGATGTTGAAGTTCCACACACATTCACCCCGTGACCCAGCGATCCCATTTCTAAGACGCTGTCCTAAAAGCGGACGCAAAAATACGAAGTGGCGGGTGTGCAGTGCTATTCACAACTGCAGAGACCAGAGACAGCCCAACGGCCCCCGTGGCAGACCAGCAGGCCCCCACGCCCAGGCACCGCACAGCTCAGAGGGACGGGGCGGAGCTCCGTGACGCTCCTTCCCGGGGTCATGCGGATGATGCGCGGAATAACCTCCAGGGTCTATTCCAAAGTGACAACACAGATGGAGAAAACCATGTACAACCGGCCACCCTTCATCCCAGAGGAGGGGAAGAGGGAAGAGGGGTGTGTGTGTGTTATATATACTTGAAAAAAAAAATTCTTTTAATTAACAAAAACTGTAAGAAACAGTTTACGTTGGGGCAGGAGAGGACAGGGCAGGAGAGCAAGTGTGCAGTCAGGGCCTCGCACCCTCACAGCGGCTCCCGTTGACGCAACTCTGCAGGGCGCTGCCCCTCCAGGACCGGGCCGGCCCGCCCCTCCCACAGTTGTCCCGTCCCCACACGAACTGGCGCTTGCGAGGAAAATCGAAACTCGGCCGGGTGAGGGAGGCCTGCCTCCAGCCACACAACCGGCGCCAGGGCCGGGCCCTCGCCTCCACAGCCAGGCCGGCTGGCAGGGCCGCAGGGCCACAGGGCCCGCGCCCCGGCCAGCGCCAGGGACTCCTGACCACGCACGACACACGCTGTGACCCCGGCTCGGCCAGCGAGCCCGAGTCCTACGTTTGCAGGCCAGTGTGCGTACCAAACCCAGATGTGCGAACACTGTCCCGTGAACTTCTATTCTCTGCTAAGTCCTTCATAAGCCACAGGAAATTACTGTTTGTTAATCTAAGACACTGCCAGATTTTCTGATCCACAAATACAGGATGCACGTTTGTAGAGAAACATATTTTTATGTTACACGTTCTTAAATGCAGAGAAAAGTTTGTTAAGAACATATATCGAAATACTGTAACAAGGGGGCAATGAGGCTTTGACGTTTTCCTCTATGATTCTGTATGTTTGAATTTCTTTACGAAGCATTAACTACTCCAGTCACTACTGTATTTTAAGATAAAACTAAGCATTTTCTAACACAGTACTATTTTTACACACTAAACAACTCTAAAATTATAGGAAAATAGAATTTTCACCAAGTAAGTATATTTTAGCCACACTGGAAACAAGATGCTCTTTCAACAGAAGTGACCTACTCCAAATTGGACTTGAAAGAAAAATGTTCTGATACGCCAAGCGTTACAGGCGAAGCATAGCTCTGCTGACTAAATAGGATACAAGGACTCCTGCGAGGACGTCCCCACATGCCCACGGCTCGCCTGCACCGCCTGTTGCCAGGTCCGGCCTGCCAACTCCCACCTGGCCCGTCTCCCCGAGAGCCAGAGCGATGCCACAGAACCGCCCCGGGGCCCTGACTCAGCCACAGACTGAGCCTCAGGGGACGCAGCGGAACGGACGCTCGGGGCTGGCGAGGAGCCTGTCCTGCCCCTGCGGCAGCGCCGCCGGGCTCCTCCTCAGCCTGCGGCGCGCGTGTGGACTGCGCTTTCCGAGCAGCAGGCGCGGGGCACTCTCTCCAGCAGTTCGCAGCTCTGACTCTGGGCCCAGAGCTAGGGACGCCAGGCAGGCTGGGCAGGCTCCCGTCCGCGGGCAGCATGTGGCTGGTGGACGCGCGGGCCGGCCGGGAGGGGAAACCGCGGGGCGGACAGAGGGCCCGGCGCTGCCCTCGGGGTCCCCGCGGCTTGGAGAGGACGCGGCAGGTGAGGCGGCCCGAGACGGCTGGCTGGGGTTTGCTGCACGAAGGGCAGAGAACATCCCGAGCAACACTGATGGTGCCTGCAACGTCCTCCGGCTGGACGGGGCGAGGGGAGGCACAGGAAGAGCTGACGCTGACAGGGAGGTCAAGACCAGCCGGGCAGAGAGTGCGAGTCCGCGCTGCAGGCCATGCAATGGGTCCACCCTGGGGCTCTCGGGAGAGAAATGACACAGGATCAGCCGCTGAGGAAACACCTCACAGGACCCCCAGCCTATTCTGGAACCACCCGAGAAAAGGGGCAGAGAAGCCACCTGCACAAGCACAGTTCCAACGCAAGGCAACTGGTTCAGGTCGTTAAATTTTTATACGAGATGGATGTTGAAGGTCAAGCCATCTCCTAGCAGCAGAATGGCAAGGCCGGCAGTAGTTCCGCTGCTTTTAATTTATAAGGGATGATTTCAACGTGCCCAAGAAAAAGAGTATCAAAATTGAGGAAAGCAAATCTGTTACCAAATTTTAATTCTGTTCACTGAGCTGAAAATCTGCTTCTCACTAATACATATTCATAAACATTTGCTTAGGTTCTACAAAACAGAATTTAAAGTAGCAAAAACATCACAGAGGAAGACTGGGAAATAGAAAACATGTTTCCAAGTCATATAAGGAACGCGTGAACACATATCATTTGGTTTCAAATCTTAATCTTTCCACTAAAAATAAAAAACAAACAAAAAAATCCCACTAAATCTCCCTTAGAAGTCCAATTATAAAACAAGTTTTCTTATGTATTTATATTGTCTCCACAAACTAGAAATAATCGTTTGATTGCTCAAGTTTTGATTAAGAGTTGACACTACCCACGAAATCTCTTTTTAATCTTATTTTTAAAAAGAACAAAGGCATATCTGGGGTTCTAGTATGTTGACATTACAAAAGTTGTTCTGTTTAGAAAAAATTAAACCAAATATACAAAGAACGTTAACTGGGGGCCAGGAACTCTGCACACAACATCTTGTTTCAACCTCACAACAGCCCTTTGAACAATTTGGAAACAAACCTGCTCGGGGTCACGGGAAATACATGGGCTGCACCCAGAGGGCCCTGACGTCCCCCCGCTACACCCTGCTGAAAAAAGAGGGAACGAATGCATACAGAGCTACAATTTCTAGGTAAATCATGTGTCTCCCATTTCTGAACATTAAAAAATAACATGAGATGAACCCTAACATGAACAAAGGAGGAGCGGTCCTCACCCCGCGCGCCCGGAAGACGCCGACCGCGGCCCCGTGCGGGCGCGGGGGCTGCGGGGGGCCAGGAGTGGACGCTGTCCGCGCTGCCCTTTCCCAAGAAGTCCAGAAGGGGGTCATCGATGGCTGGGAAATGTGAAGAAAGACATGTATCTTCACACATGAGCATTAACAATTTAATACCTTTAAGTAAAATTCGAAAGACAAATGGGTATAACGATCACTTTAGAAACCAAACATCACCAAACCTCATATAGTGAACTGGTCTATCAAGTTCGTTTATTCATCTGCTTCCTCATTCCAAGAAGGATTTGAGCTTTGCTCAGTTCTGCATAGTCCTCTAGGCACCCACCTCAGGACAAAAAAGAGAGAGAGAGAGAAAAGGCCAAAAGGTCACCTGGAGCAATGACCGGCCCCCCGGACGAGCTCCTCCC